CTGCGTAATGCCATGCGCCTTCTGCCGTGTGCCAGCCCAAGTGATCTCTGCCGTTATTGTGCTTAAACGACCCATGGGTCACCCTGCTGTGTGTTTCCCAACGCCCCCTCCCTCCCTCCCTCCTCCTCCCCTCCCTCCCCCACAGGTGGCAGCCCGGGAGGCGGCAAGCGGCTGCCTGTTGCCGGGGTGCGGGGCGGGGTGGAGGCGCGGGATGAGCCCAACGACGTGAACCAGAACGTGGGGGAGTTCCTGACCACGGTGGGGGAGGGGGAGGGGAAAGGAGGGGGGAGAGGGAGGGCAAAGGGGGTAAGCGTGTGTTAAGAAACTGGCCGCGAGTAGGAACGCACTGTAAGCGTGTGTATAAGGACTATGGATGAAGGGGAAGAGGAGTGGCCATATGCAGTGGGTTGCGAGCCCACCCGTCTGAACTCTGATTGCGAGTGCGGGTGGACAGCGGGGCGGGTGGGAGACGGGCGGGGGTTGAAGACGGACTGTTTGTTTGCCTGTGGCCGCACGTGCGGTACGGTATCTACCGGCGCTGTCTCTTGCTCTCTCTTCCTCTCTTCCTCTCTTTCTCTCTTCCTCCTGCCTGCCGCCTGTCGTTACCCTTGTCCATTGCGCTGTGCCGGTCTTCAGTCCTCCCCGCTTGATGTATGGTCGATCCGGGCCCCTCTAACGAGCCCGGTCCAGCGGGCTGGGTTAGTTAACTCGTCAGCAGCTTTATTTACCCGCTACTCGTCAGCAGCTTACACTCCCTCAACACAGCTCCCAACCAACCTGTTGTTCACCGACCCCGCATGCACCCACCGGGGTACGACACCCCGCAAGAAATGTGTTTTGACACACATAATTTTCAACCCACCCACCCGCACCCCCATCCACCCGCAGACCATCTCCCCGCATGGTCAGCGCAGTAACGCCCCGGGCGTCGTCAGCGGCTTCGGAGACAACGCACGCTAGAGGAGGATGGATGGAGCAATGATGGGAGCGAGGGGAGGGGGCGGCGGCGGGACGGGCAGAGGAGAAGAAGCTACCCGCCTTAGGGTGGTTGCATGCATGTAGCGGTTACGTGTTTGTTGGTTGGTTGGTTGCTTGGTTGGATTCATAATGAACCGCTGGAGAAGCGCGGGGCATTTGAGGGGCACATGCAGGCATGCAGATTTGGGGGGGGAGTTCAGAACAACCGTACATGCATGTTACGTGTTTTGAGAGTACACTAGGGCATGGCAGCGCAGCTATCTCCGATTGAGGGCTACGGGGCGCCCATTGGCACAGTAGCGACGTTGCCTGGAAAAATCTTTAGGAGAGACGTTTCTTCTTTTGCGGGAAGCGTTTGTCAGCCTATGATAATAATGCTACGTGTTTTCAGGCTTCTGCTTTCTTGCGGGCATTAACTACAAAGTTGGGGGAGGGCATAACTAACGCACGGAAGACAAACAGACAGGACCACATGCGCGCTGAGAAGAGCGCATAGTACGTACGACGGCTGCTGTAAGCTTCCGTCCCGAAGCACTTGGTTCAAACATCATCATCATACCGCCGGATCCTTGCCGGTGTGCAACAGTGATGGCTGCTGGGCCACCATGCATGCATGGGGGGAGGAGGAGCAGGCCCCACCTACCTTTCTGTGTATGTGTACATGTATACCCTCCACACAAATCAGCCGGCTGGATGGCGAGCGAGCATGCAAGCTGGCAGCTGCATGCACCGGTGCACGATACCCCGCTGCTGTACGGCTAGCTAGGTAACCCTACAGCAGCTGCATTAACGCGCTTGTGTGTGGCGAGAAAGGGGTCGCAATGGGCTGCTGCTGTGCTAGGTAGCTGGGTAAGGTAGGTAGGGTAGGAAGGGTAGGTTGGAACCGCCGGCTGTATGTGCCGCCGGGGTGCGCCCCAGTGGGGTAGGTTGCAACCGCGCGCTCGTGTACCGGTAGATAGCTACGCTGGGTTGCGTATCGTTGTGCACGGAGGGGTGCGGCGTGCGGCATCAGGAGTTGCTTGATTGGGCCATGCATTCGCATTATGACCTCTGCTGCTTGATAATGCTGACGGCGTACTCAACATTAACAAACAGCAGAGGTGACCCATGGTTCATCTCGTGGTTTATATTTTACCAACACAAGCCAGCTAGGAACGTGGGCGGAGGGGGAGGGTTTGGGTCATAGCGCTGCCAGGCGATGTGCTTGCATGATCCAAGCTTTGCGTCATAGCGCGCGGCAGCAGGTAGCAGGGTGACTAACAGCGCTGCCTCTTGCCAGGGGTTAGTGGGAAAGCAACTCGTGTACCAATAGCGCTTCCAGAATTTTCCAAGCAAGCATGTAACATTCACACCTTTGGATAGCATAGAGCGAAGCAGTGCACGCAGGCGCACAGCAGGGCAGTTGAGAAGCCAGCTGCCACGCCAGCAGAGCGCATGTGCCGTGACCATGACGCAGCGTCCAACGGTTGGTGACCTAATGGCGTGTCCTGCTGTCGTACACCTGGGGGCATCACAACGCAAATAAACAAAGGAAGGCCCTTGCGTACATCTTGTCAGTTGACTTAACTTGCCACAAGTTCTTCATTTTACATCCCTCGCTAACGCAAGTACACAGCCAAAACACAAGAGTATCGGTAGGCATCGAATCAGCAGCAGCCATGTCTGAGAACGTGCAGGAGACCCGGGATGAGGTAGCCCAGGAGAAGGTGCGTGACTCGGACAGCAGTAAGGGTAAGGGACGATCACGGTTGTAAATAACAGCGTGCGAAGGACTTTCCGTGCCAGCAGCTGACCCGGGCTGCTGCTGACGCTGCTTTGACCTAATAACAACTGACGCTGGCAGCCAAGCAAGCGCTAGCACCAATCGTTGTCGCACGCACGAGCCGACTGTCGTCGTCGCAGATTACGCAGAGGGCAAATATTTCAAGTGGAATTGCACCTAGGAGGAGCTTTTTACGTAACTGAGGAACGCGCTAGCAAGCAATTGCTGCTACGCAGTCTCATCGCAGTACATGTAGTGCCTTTCGTTCCCAGTATATTATCGTTTCGTCCTGCTGTCCCCCGAAATGCTCTCCGCCCTCCTCCCCTCTCCTCCTGCTCCCCTCCTCCCTTCCCCAGTTCGGCAAGCCGTTTGAGGAGCTGGAGCCCATGCAGCGTATCCAAGTGGGCGGCACCATCGGCGGGCGCTCGCGGGGCGACCAGAGCGGCGGAGAACATAAGGCGCACCTGGACCAGATCGCGCAGGAGAAGGTGAGAGAGTAGGGGAGGGAGGAGGAGGGGAGGAGGGAAAATCTTAGATAAGGAGGAGAGGTATGGACCAAACCATAGCAAACCGGGGGGAAGGGGAGGAGGAGGGAGGGAGGAAGGGGGTTGGCAAACGTGACCCATGGGTCGTTAGCACTGCATGAAGTCTGAGCAGCTTCACGGCCGCTCTCCGGATTGATTAGATTGAGTGACCCACGGGTCGATCCATCACTTGTGGCTCGGTTGCGTGTATCACTTTAGCACGGAAGGAAAATATGGGACGGCGGCATGCGTCCTTCGCGTCCCTCATAACTCCCTCAACTCGGAAAGAGCTGCCTCTTATGGCCCTTGTACTACCCTTTACCAATTGCAAATAATTGCAACACCTCCCCTCCAATGTTCCTTTCTCGTCGCGTAGTTCGGCAAGCCATTTGAGGAGCTCGACTCCATGCAGCGTATCCAAGTGGGCGGCACCTCGGGAGGCCAGGTGCGTGCGCGGGAAGGGAAAGGAAGGGAGGGGGAGAGCGAGGGGGAAGACACGAGGGAGGGAGGGGCTCCATGCGGGTCGCTGTCCCTACATACGGCAGGGTGCGTGTGATGCACCGGTATTGCATGTCGTGCAGGGGCTGTGAAACGTGGTTTGGGATGTGCGGAATGCATAATACATAGCGCATGAATGATGTCACGGTTTCTTCCTTCCAATCGAGCGACTCTCGTATCGTTGTATGTGGCTCTTAAGGTTCATGCCCTTGCTTATAGAATGCCAGTTGTAACTACCTTAGTAGTACCTACTTTCGTACTTTAGTAACTACCTTACTTTCGTCGTACGTACGCAAAACAACATGTGTACATCCATTTGCTTCCCGCCCGTCCGTCCCGACTGCCCCGCAGGCTGGCGGCCTGTACACCGGCACGGGAGGCGATCAGTGAGGTGTGGCCTGGGCCTGACGCTGGCGGCTTGGGTGACCCGTGGGTCATCTGAGCGGCTGTGATACAGAGGGGCAGATGTGTGAAATGGCGGATGAAGATCGGTAATTGTAGTTGTAATTGGCATGCGGAAGGGTTAGTTGCATGGGGGAAAGTACTCGGCTTTAGTCGGGGTGATGGACATGGGTGTGGCGTCTGACGTGGGCGTTACATGCTGTCTGGACGCGCGGAGAAGGCTTTGCCAGGGAGGAGTGGGTAGGCGGGTGGAGGATATGAAGGCGGTTGAGGTGCGTGCCCTGCTGCCGTACGAAATTCGTCTTCATCCGTCCCCTTCACCCGCTTCGCCTGGTCCTGGCGTACTGACCATTATACCACATGGGATTATTTGACACTCCTAATCGCCTGTTTTGAGGTGGTCTCAGCTGAGGCAAGCTGAGGGACTAGTTGTATGTTGGTCAAGTTGGTTGAGCGTTCAGGATTGTAAGGGACTCGTACGACAAGATGGGTTGGATGAAATGCATCGTGTAAGGAACCAAGAAGTCGATTGTATCCGAAAAAAGGGTCCTTAATCACATGGGTACCGCGTGAGTAAACATGCTGCCATGTCCCGTAAGGGAAAGGAAAGTGTTGGCGCGCGCAGGTAAACCTGGCTAGTGCAAATGTACCATTCGGGCAGGACCAAGTTGGGAACAAGGCAAACACTCCTACATGGAAATACGGAGTACGTTAGCATGTAATACGCGACTTGTATGAAGGGCAGGATGTGCAAGACACGCAAGTGTAAGCTGTCGATTTGGATTCATCAGTACAATACGCGACGATTCCTCTTCGATAAGCCGGTTAGCTATCATATTTTGAACGCGCAGGATATTGTACACATCGTAGACATCAAAGGCGTTAGAGCTATAGCGAATCATCTCACTTTTATTCTAGAGTGTTACAGCGTGACCAGCATATTAACGATATGGCTGAACCTCTGTCGAACCAATGTATTAACGATGGGTTAGGTGATCAGCAAGAAAGTATAGCTGAGCGTCGGGGGCTGCAAGAGTCTGGGGACGCGGCATCGACATCGCAAAAGCGAGGTTAGTCACATACTAACATGGATGAACATCGATTAACGCGAGATAATAATCAGGCAGATGGTGTACTTGTCACAGGAACAGAGCAGGATGGTGCAGGTGTAACTGCCACATTCCAGGGAGAAATGCCGGGGCGCCGGAGAACAGGGTCAGCAAGCCGGGATTCGCCATATCAACCAGAAGGGTTACAGCCGCAAGCTGAGGTAGCGCAAAGCGGGAACGGGGACTACAGGCAAGTTGCATGTCTCCTACCTGTTCACAACTCGTGCTGTTGTAAGGGGGCATCAGAGGCTTCAGGACGGACTTGTTTTACAAGTAGAAAAGTTGTTCTTTCCTACCCTTTGGTGTAATGTCCTTTGCGAAGTGAGACCATGCCATCCCACGCTGCTACATGTGCACGTTCATTCGCCAGGCGCGTCGACACGCTTTCCATGTCAACCCTAGCTCTCAGTCGTATCCACGCCCACAAACCTGCGGCAACCCGAACGGAGTGCTCACCGACACCTGCAAACATCCTCTGTTTTCACTCCTCGTCGTCGGCCCCGCCGGGTCACCTCCGTCCTCCTCCCAAACCGCATGCCAGGGCCCTTTCCCCTAACACCATCCCTTTCGCCTCCCGCCACTCTACCCTCCTTTCATCACCCATCACATTCCCTCCAGCCTACCTGCCTCCCTCTCTCTCCACCAAACCCCACGCCCAATCCCTACACCCACACGCCTTTCTCCCCCTTATCATTTATTTTGCCCCCCCCCTCGGAGCTTGTCGTCTGGTTTCTCATTCTCATTCTCATTCAACGCAGTCAGGAATCCTCTTCTTCCCCTCCCCCCTCCCAGCCCCGGCGACCCCGGTGACTGCCCCGACGACGCCCTCGCCGCGCTGGCTGCCGCCGCCCGTGACGACGTGGTGGGTCAGCTGCCCCGCTACGCCGCCCCCTCGCTGGCCTCCTGCCTGCCCGCCTACCGCAACGAGGAGCAGGAGTTCATCCTGCGCACCTTTGCGGGCGGCAACTACGACATGCTGCGACACCTGCCGGACAGCATTCGGGAGCAGCAGGTGGGGGCGGGGGGGGGGCGGGGGCAGGGGGGTAGACCAAACCATAGGAAACCACGAGGTAGGGGGGGAGGGAATGGGGTTTGGGAATGGGGTAGGATTCGTGGGGTTGGTCGCACTGGGCTGGAAGTGTTTGAGCGGCAGGTGTGGTGGGAATTGCGGTGCAGAGCATGCAGGGAGGTGGGAGGTCGAGAAATGGAGGAGAGGGAGGGGAGGCGGGAGGGGTAAAGGAGAGAAGGGGCAGCACATGACCTGGGGGTTTTGGGTAGGGTATAGGGATTGTAGGGGTTAGGGGCCGATATGGGTCGGGTGGAGGGATGCGCAGACGGCGTTCTCTGAGCCCTCCTCCCACGATCACACACCAGGTTTCCGACCCACTCGCTGTCTGCCTCACCCCTTCCTCCCGCCTTTCTCCTCCACGTCCCCTTACGCGCCCCCCCGTCCCCCCCTCCCCCCCCCAGGTCCTTGCCGCCCGCTCCGCGCGCCAGGAGGCCGCCCGCACCTTCCTGCTGCCCGGCCAGCTGGGCTCGCAGCTGCGGCTGAGGTCGGGGCCGCCCAACCAGCAGGGGCTGTTCACCGCATTCGAGTACATACCCTCGCGGTGAGGGGGGGCAGGAGGTGGAGGAGGAGGAGGGGGTGGGGGTGGGGGTGGGGGGTCAAGGGCGAGGCCACACCGCAGGAAACCACAGGCTAGGACAAGCCAAAGGGTATACCGGTAGGAGGCGGCAGGAGGGGGAAGATGGTGAAAGCCGGGGGAGTGATGAACAGGTACCCGTGTGCAGGACACATGATGGTTGGTTGGCGTGGTTGTGAAAGGAAAGAGGGGATCAGTGAGTTCAAGAATCACATCCCCCTCTCCTCTCTCTCTGTTTGCATCCCATAGCGAAGCCTTGTCATACAGCTCGTCAGTTGCCTCATTTAAATCCCCGCCCCCTCTCCCCCCCTGCCCAGCTACTCCCTGGCTGCCGAGCTGGCCTCCAAGGAGCGGGTGGCGAGTGAGGCCACGCGGCTCACCATCGGGCGGGGGCAGGAGTTCAAACCCGTGGTGGCGCAGCCGCTGCAGAAACAGCAGGTGAGGGGGAGGGGGAAGGGAAGGGAAGGAGCGGAGGAGGGATGAGGGGAGAGGAGCATAAGGGTAGGGAGGAGAAGGGGAGGGCTGCAGGCTGGTGGATGTGGGGGTAAAGAGGGGGCTGCCCCTGGGGTCCGCAGCTGCTACCCGGTATTGGAGCAGGAGGCACGTGGAGCTGGGGGAGGAGGGCACCTTGCAGCACCTTGCGTGTAGGTGCTGGCAGCCCCCCCATGTGTGCAGCTCACATGTGTACATGCGCGGCTTCAGAGGGCAGCGAGAGGCCACAGGAAGAGCCTGCTAACACCCCCGCCCCCCGGTCCATCGTGCTTGCGCGTGTGTCTCCGCTACCATCACCTCAGGGGCCCCTTCCCACACCCAGCACCGCACCGCCACCCCTTTCCTCACTTCCCCTCCCCGCACCTCCCCCCCCAGGAGATCGGCCCCAAGACCGGCTACGTGTACCTGGCGGGGCCGTACGAGGACACGGAGGACCTGAGGCTGTCGGAGAGGTGGGGGGGAGCCGGGGTGGAGGGGGGAGGGGGCAATGAGGAAATTGACGAGGACAGTGGGTGGGGGGGGGGGAGAAAAGAGGACGAAGCAGAGGGGGGGAAGAGAGGGCTTGTATACCTCCAGCTGTACGGCAAGTAAGACAGGCCCGCTGTTGCGCATATCTCCGCGGTTTTGCCGACCACCACCTCCTCCTCCCCCCCTTTCTCCCTCCCCCCCCAGGTCCCACACCTCCTCCTCCGCCGTGAACCCTCCCTTCATCCCCGCCGGCTGCCAGAAGCTGGGGGCGGATGTGCCCACCCGGCCGGCGGCGCTGGAGATGATGAAAAACACGAAGAGGGCGCTGGAGGTAACAGGGGGGGGAGGGGGGGAGGGGAAAGTGAAGCAACGAAGTCCCAATCCCATGCATTCCAACTCATGCAGTGAACGCATACTGAGGGAGGGGGGGGGTGGGGGTGGGGAGGAAAGGGGCTGTTGGGGGGAGAGGGAATGGATAGCCTGCAATGGGCTGGAAGTTTGAAAGAAAGGGAAGAGGTTGTGGGCGGCGAGGTGTGCCTCCTGCTGCCTGCCTGCCTCTGCCGAGGTCAGCCGCCTCCGACTTACCCCTCCCTTCCTCCCTCTCTTTTCCTCCCTTCCCGCCCCCCAGGCCGATTGGGAGGGTGCGGTGATCAGCCTGTTTGAGAACGAGCACGACTGCTGGGTGGTGGGTGGGGAGGGGTGGAGGGGAGGGGGCGGGGGGGAGAGAAGGAAGGGACCTGCCCTTTCGGGTACATAGCCACAGTTAGTGGTGGTGGTGGTGGTGGAGCACTTGGAAGGCGAGGCAGGGAAGGGAGGAAAGGGCAGATGAAGGACACACGTTGTGGGTAGGGGGTGGGGTGGTGGTGGGGAGGAGCTTCCCATGCTCGCTGGCTCCTGTCCCGCGCCCCCCGGATGTGTCCTCCCCCCGCCCCCTCGTGCGCTGCAGTCGCCACTGCCCATCTGCCGGCTCCTTGCATGCTGCCCCCGTCCCTTCCCTTCCCATGCTGCCCCCCTCCATGGTGAAGCCTGCATGAAGCATACAGCTCGCACGTTTCAGTCTCGTTACTCCCCCTACCTACCCTCCCCTTACCCTCCCCCCCCCTCTCCCCTCCCCTTATCCCCGCAGGTTTGTTTCCAAGAGGCCAGTGTTGACGGCGGGCTGGCGGGGCTGTCCGCCTACATGAACGTATTCGTGCGCACCAACCCGGTGGCCACGGAGTACAGGCTGACAAAGGTGGGGCGGGAGGGGGGGAGGCAACTATTGGCATTTTCGTTAAAGGACATTGCTTTAGGGGCCAAAGCAGAAAGAAATAGGAGGAACAAACCAAGTAGGAGTACCTCTCTTGTGTTGCGCTGTGTGTTAAGAAAGGACACACAAGGCGGACAAGGCGGGTGTTGCGTTGCCTGCTGCTGCAACCCGGCATGCGCCCCGGCCCCAGGTGGTGAGGTAGCCTGGTAGGTCATACAGCTGGTGAGGTAACCCCACACTAGCAGCCTTGTCCTGGTGTGCCATTGCATGGTAACCCCAAACAACTCACCAACCACCCTCCAATTCCTTTCTTCTAACCCTCCTCTCCCCTCCCCTTTCCCCATCCCCTCCTTCGGGTTGGTTTCCCTTTGAAGCCCATCCCCTCCCCATCCCCTCCCCTTGCTTCACTTCTCATTCACCCCTCCTCTCCCCCCCTTAGGTTGTTGAGTACTGGTCCTGCAGCCCGGGTGACGGCTGCGTGTACTTTGTGATGCGGCCGCCCTGGGTGGCGCCGCAGCGGCTGGAGACCTTCTTCACACTGCACCCGGAGGTGAGGGGGGAGGGGTGGGGGGGATTGGAGGGGAGCGTGTGTGATTGGGATGAAGGTGGGATAGTGTGCCGGTGTGGGGCTGGGGCTGAGTCATGGCCGCACCCCTGCCTACCCCACCCCCCCTCCCCCGACCCCAACCCCGCCCCCCCAGGAGCGCGACTGGCGCACCAGCTTCCCGGTTGCCGAGATGGAGGCGGTGCGCAGGGCCCGACGCAAGGTGGGGGGGGGCAGCGGGGTGGGGGGGGGGACTTGGGGGGCGGGGTGTGCGGTGCGGTGCTCCTCCGCATGCCTGCCCGCTCTTGACTCCCCCCGTTGGGATTCCAGTGTTTTTGTTTCTTTCTCTTACCCTTCCCGCCCTCCCTCCTCCCCTTGCTGGCCCCTCTCCCCTTGCTGTTCCCCTCCCCTTGCCCTCCCCTCAGGCCCTGGATGCCGGTGACGACGAGCTGGAGGTGGACCAGCGCATGCGGCAGATGTCCCTCCGCTCCCACCACTCCACCACCCCGCACTCGGGCCTGGGCTCAGCACCCGCCTCAGCCTCCACACCCGCCACCACCGCCTCCGCCTCCGCCCACACCCCCGCCAGCCTGCCGCTGCCGCCGCTGCCCGCCCTGCCGCCGCAGCAGCAGCCGCAGAACCCGCCGCCGCCGCAGCTCTCGCCGCCCTCTGGCTTGGGCGCCTCCGCCTCCGCCTCCTCCCTGCCACTACCACCCTCGGGGGGCGTAGGACCAGGGGCAGGGGCAGCAGGAGGAGCAGGTGGAGGCGGGCCCTCCCCGGCCGCCGCCTCTTCACTGCCCGCGGGGGCGACACGAACGCTAGCAGCGAGTGCGGCGTCGGGGATGGGGATGTGAGGAGGTAAAGAGGAAAGGAGGAGAGGGAAGAAGGGAACGGCAGGAGAAAGAAGGGGGAGAACTGCATGAGCGAAACGCTGTTACTGTCTGTTACTCTTAGAAGGGGAAGGGAGCGGACGAGGTGGTGGCGGTGGAGGGCTGCAGCCGAGGACAGCCTTGGCACATGATACATGAGTCGTAAAGAAGAGGACGGTTTCCTGGGCTCCACCTATCGAGCAACGACAAGCCTGGTGATGGATAAAATGGTCTCTTGTTCCCCTTGCCTATGCTATGGAAATCGCATTGACTGCTGTCAAGACGTTGCTGCAGCCAGCGGTGGGGCAGCCAGCGCATGTGGACCCCCACGCCTCATTCCAATGTTTCCGTTGTGGCGGCGGCGACTTGCTGCAAGCACACCCCAAAACGTCGATGTCAATGTCAACGTCAACGTGCGGACATCCCAGCCAGCAGCTCAGTTTATCTTACCCCAGCCAACCAAGAAGTATGGCTCCTCGGCCCTCATGCCCAGCCTCCCACACAGCCCCTGTGAGCAGCATACGGCAGTCAAACCGTGGCGACCAGCATACCGGTACCCAGCCATGTACAACCTACCATAGTACCTAAGACCGCACCTCTCAGCTTAAAGGCCCCCCCAGCCCCCCTACCAGGCTACACTAGCGGCCCCAGTTCTCACTACAGTTGGTGGAAGCGGACCGCACCTGCACCTACACCCCCAACAACTCCTGCCCGTCTCCACCTGCAAGAGCCAAACCAAACAAACGTCGTCGGCCGTGTGGCTCACAAACACCAGAGCCCTCCGCACATACCGTACATTTGTAGCACACACATACCGTGCGACAAATCCAAACTTCAAGTACTGGGTACGAAGCGAAACAAGCTAGTAGAACCTATGGGTTGCACAAAACTCGGCATAACGGTACTCAACACCGCGAAACAGTCGGGTCGCGCAAGTATTGTCCAATGTCTGAAACACACACATGCCATATCCTACTGCAGCGCTGCTTCAGCTGTGTCAAGGTCATACCTACATCCCCGCACGTATTTTGCTTCCAGCATGACATTATTATACGTATACTTTTCAGTACGGCAGGCACGCAGTCGTTCCTCAGCAGTAGAGCACACACACGAACATCATCTTCCGACGATTGAGTACACGTCCCTATTCGCGGCCAGTCTTCTCAACACACACGAACAGCCCCTCCCCCGTCATGGGGGCCACAGACAGCGTTGTTGTCGTTATTATCCTTATCCTTATGTGCAGTTAATGAACAGACCATGAAACATGTTCCCCCAGATTGACCCATGGGTCACCATCCGCAACTTGCGTCAGCCTGCCGGCGGGGGGGGGCTAGGAGCGCGACACATCTGGGTTCCTCCATACCTCACCGCACGCTGCGCACGTGCGTACGACACGCCTCCTCCTCCGCGCGAAACAGAGTTCGCAATCAGGTAGCTGCTTGTGCTCAATAGTCCTCGCGCGAGAGCATTTTAAAAGCCCCGAAATTGACACCATGTGGGGTGCTACCGGTGCTAGAAGCGCGTATCATCATCTTCACTCTTGGTAAGTAGAAGACTAGTAGTAAAACCGAAGAAAGCACGTACCAAAGACGCGAAAGCGGTGCAACATCCAGTATGAATTCCGAGTAGGTTAAGCACGCGATTATTGCTATTTGCACCTTTCCTCTCCATGCTTTACTGAAGCTCTCTTCAGCCTCACATGCTCCCCGCCTTCACCACCTTCCACACCTGTACCAGACCCCTCCCTCCTCTTCACCTCTCATCCAACCACTCCTCAGCTGCACACGCCCCCGACTCACCCCCCTCACTGCCCTAGCAGCGGTACCCGCAACTCGCCCTCCGCCCCTCCTCCTGCTCCCTCTACCGCCCCCCGCCCCTCCCTCACCACCACAACCACCACTCCCCTCTCCCGTCCCTCCTCCTCCTCCCTCCGTTGCCACTCATCCACCCACCTCGCCCCAACCACCGCCGCCCAAACCGCCGCCAACTGCACCCCACTCATCACCAGCGCAACCGCCATCAAACTGCCGTACCCCATCGCCGTATGCTCCGCCAACCAGGGTACGGCAGCGGGGCACAGTGCGGACGCCAGCCCCGCCACCGAGCTCAGAATGCCGTTGGTGAAGCCGTCTAGCTGCAAGTGGTCACCCGTGAGACTGACGGTGTTGGCAAAGCCCGTGGCCACACCCACACCCACCAGGCTGACGGAGAGGTACAGCGCCCAGAGGGGAAGACCGGCGGCGAATGAGGAGGAAGAGGTGGGTGCGGAGGAGGAGGGGAAGAGGCCTGGGATGTGCGGTGGCAGTCCCAGCACCGCCAGCGCCGCCCCCACCACCGCGCAGGGACTGGTCACCGCGAGCACTCCCGATGCATGCGCGCCCGCCCCCGCCGCCGCCACCCCCGCCAGCCGAGTGCCCGTGAATGCTGCCCAGTATGCGGCGGTGACGGCCTGTGCGGGGCGCTCGTCCAGTCGGGCCGCCAGACGGCAGTAGGTGGTCACCCAGGCGCCGAAGGAGGCCTGAGGGAGGGGGAGGGGGGTGGAGGGATTAGTAGGGACATTCCGCATTAGGCTGGATTATAGGATTGCGTATATTAAACGTGAGGGAGAGTGGGGGAGAGGGAAAGGGGCGTGGTGTCAAGGCGGTCCGACAGGAGGAAAGCTTCATTCCTGCTACCGTACCCCCCCAACCACGTGTGCCGGTGCCCCCCCCCACCCCCACCTGTGTGGATATGTTGGCGAACAGCAGCACCACCACCGGCAGCAGCACCGGCCAACCCAACCGCAGCTCACGAAGGTAGCGCCGGAACAGCGCAGCGGAGGGGGAGGAGGCGGGGGAGGGAGGGGAGGAGGAAGAGGGAGAACAGGAAGAGGGAGAAGGCGCGTGGAGAGAGCCAGACGTGCGACCTATGCCGCCTCCGCTGCCGGCAGTGCTGCCACCGCCACCAACAGCAGCACCCGCACTGTCACCCGCACGGCCGTTGCATCCCGCGGCTGCTGCCCCCGCGTTTGTTGCCGCAGTCGCCGCCACCAGGGATACCGGCGACGACGAAGTGCCATGGCCGCCGCCATTTTGACATGCTGCCGACCCCTTAGCCCCCGGGGAAACCACCATCACCGGCTCAGCCGCCGCCGCCTCGACATCTTCTTCTCCTTCATCTTCCGCTACAGCGATGATTGAGGAGGTCGGGGGCGAGTACGACAGCGCGCTTCCGAAACCCTCATCACCCTCATCGTAATCATCATCTTGCTCCCCTTCACTGCCTCCTCCGCGGCTGCCTGCACAGACAGCAGGAGGTGCTGGGGCAGCTGCGGGTGCCGCTGTTCCAGCAGCGGTGGCGGCGGGGGCGGGGGTGGCGGCGGAAGCGGAGAGGGAGGCCTGCCCGGGATTTGTCGCAGCATCCGCTTCTGGGTCCCCACCGCTGCGGGTGGTGATGGCGGTGGTGGGGTTAGCGTTCAGTTGCACATGGTGGTCACTGGTCAGCTAACACGTCGACGAGAGGACCGCCGGGGCAACGAACCGGTGAGACACCCGAACTGACATGAACCGGAACCCTTCTGCTGCCAGCACATGCGGCGACACCCATGTCACCAACAAGCGGGATTCCCCCTCCCGCTTTCATCCTTCGCTCGCGCCTCTTTGCTCACACCACCCGCGTTCCACACCCCCACCCACAAGTCCACAAGTCCTCAACCCACCTCATATCCAGCACCGACACAAACGAGGGCGAGCTGCCGCAGCCGCTGCCCACACACCTGCCGGCCTTGCTGCTGCCATCACCGCCGCCGCTGCACCCTGATCCCAGTGTCCCCGCATCCGCAGCACCTGCAACAGCACCTCCCCCTGCACCTCCGGCGCAAGCAGCCTCGGTGGCCCCTGCGCCCCCACCTCCACCGCCGCCGCCTCCAGCCCCTTGCCGTCCTCCCAGCTGCCCGCAACACCCCCGCTGGTGCTGGTGCTGGTGCTGCTGGTGCGCTGCTCCCGCCCGGTTTGCCGCTGCCCCCTCCCCCTCCCGCAGCTGCTCCGCCACCTGCAGGGAGGGGCGAGGCGGGCTGGGCAGCAGTGCGGCCCACAGCGCGCAGGCGGCCGCACCTGTGTGCACCAAGGAGTGGGGTGGGGTGGGAGAAGAAAACCACCATGCGTTACATAACATAGGGCGGGGTGAATGTGTGTTAAGAAAACTGGCCGCGAGTAGGAACGTATGAATGTGTGTTAAAATAACTGGCCGCGAGGCGAAACGTACCGCCTGTGTGGGGGGAGGGGAGGATAAGGAGGTGAGGAGCTAGCCATGGACTCGCCTCAACAACCCACTCGCCCCCCCCCCCGTTGTTCAGTGTCTCATTATATTTTTAGCCCCCCCCCCCCGTTGCTTCACTTTTCAATTTTCCCCACGTGCACCATGCGGCGGTAGGCCACACGCTGTGGCCCCCTCCCCCTCCCCTCCCTGCCCCTCCCTGCCCCACACTGCCCCTCCCTGCCCCACACTGCCCACTCAATTCCACTCCACACCACCTCCCCACCCGGCATTACCCCTCACTTCCTCACAGCACCCCCCTCTATCCGCCTCCTCACCTGCCGCCACCGCATAATACGCCGCCGCCGCCGCACCACCACGTAACGCAAACGGAGCTCTGCCTCCTCCTCCCCCCGCCCCTGCTCCTGCTCCCCCCGCCGCCCCTCCCGCCCCTGCTCCTCCACCTCCCGCCCCAGCTGCCCCCGCCGCCATGTCCGCTGCCAGGTCCGCCAGCACGGGCGCCAGGAAGCAGCCCAGCCCGAACAGCGCGGAGGCCAGGTTGAGCCAGGCGCCGTGGGAAGCGGGGTAACGCCACAGGATGAGGGCGTTGGCACCTGGGAGTGGGGGAGGGGGAAAGGGCGGGGAGAGGAAGGGAAGGACGGGAGGCAGGGAGGGGAAGTGCTGGGGGCATTGCTGGAGAGGAGTGCACCCCCGCCCCGCTCCTGTGCATCACGATCTCCCTATCTCCACTTCCCTCGTTCCTCCTAACCCATCTCTTGCGCATGTTCACGACCTCTGACACCCCTCCCCCCCCCCTTGGCGGCTCCCCCTCCTCCCACCCGTGGTGATGGCGTTGAAGGACAGCGCCGCCGCGCAGTATGTGGCCGCCAGCACCGGCAGGGAGGCGCAGTGGGGCAGCAGGCAGAAGGCGGCAGACTGGGGGGAGGGGAGGTAAAGAGGAAACAGGCGAGGGGGAGAGGGAGGGTGGTGAAGGGCAAGAAGAGCAAAGCCATGATGCGGTAATCCGATCCCAGCTGAGAAACCAAACAGGCGGTGGTCTTTTCCCTCACCCCTCTCGTATACTTGGTTTTACAATCTTGCGTATCCTCCCTTAACTTGAAACCCCCTCCTCGCGCCCGCACCTGCAGTGCCGCCGCGCACGCCAGCACGCCATGACCCGGCAGTCGGTCCAGCAGCCAGCCCGAGGGCAGCCCGCCCAGCAGCAGCCCGATACCGCCCAGGCCCACAACTGGGGGGAGGGAGAACGGGAGGAGGAGGAGGGAGAGGGAAGGGGCGAATGTCGCAGCTGTTGGGCGAGGTCGGCAACGGAGGAGGATGAGGAGGACATGACCGGTGGAGGAGAAAGGAGGAGCAGGGGCATGAAGAGTAGTATAAGGCTATGCGAGTGGCTGGGTTCGGGGCAGTGCTTGGGCTAGCAAAGGACAAGGGTTTCGTAGGGGCTGTTATCTGCGGGGTAGGTGAGAGGAGGCGATCAATATAGGTAGTTCATAAACTATGGATGTGCTGAGATGGCGGAAGTGATCGGATACAAGTGTTTCGGGGGCAGGCGGATATGCACATGTTACAGCAGTTGAAAAGGATGCCCGGTTGGCGAGGAAGGAAGTCGAAGAACAACATTAAATATAAGTCGTGAGAGGTTAGCAGTTCAGGTCATAGTATTGAAAATTGCACCGCTTTGTGACCGAAGGTTTAAACTTACAACAGCCATGGCGGCCGACACGGAGCCGGCTTACCTCCACCAAGCGCAGACTCTGTCACGCCAACCTGGGCTGCTAAGCTAGCTGCAGTTGGACCTACTATGTTGAGTTCGATTCCCAAAACAAGGGATGCTATGCAGTAAAGGAGGCCATGCGAGAGGCCGCTACCGGCTCCGCCAGTACCGGTAGCCACAACGTTGCGAGGCGCCATGTAACCTATATCTTTCTCGATGGACGTCCGACTACAAAAAGCCCTGATACAAGTCAAATGTTCACAAGCTGACGTGTACCGGTATCGGGTGCTAGATGTCCGTGTTTTACAGTTGGAAACGAATCATAGTAGGCAGCGTTATAAACCAACTTTGCCGCTTTTCATTTAGAGAGTACTGTCTGAAGAGCCGCGCGCCGCGAGTAATGCGGAAAGTGGGGGCCTAGTGGCTAGGTAGTGCAATCGATTCGGCCCCAGGTCCGTACGGTAGCCCCGCATGCAAAAATGTCATCCCGTCAATGCCACACATTGAGAAAGCTGCAAGGAAGGCATATCGGTAGCTCTGGAAATCCCTGCATCTACAGTTTTTAGTCCCGTGTACTCGAGCCGCTTGTGGGAGCCTTCGGCGAGACGAGATCGTATCTTACAGGATGTGTCGCCAATGTACACTCAAGAACCCTAATACTACACAGACTCAAGTATTTGGCCCTGCACGGAGCCACAACGCTCGCAAGAACGCCCGCAGGGCTCACCCATTTCCGTGCCCAGTGACGGTTTCCCGCCAGCCACCTTCAACTACACAAAACTATTTTTCTGCCTACCCCAACAGTAGCCGACAGGGCGCGCTTTCACAGCCACAGCCCTGCTCGGAACCTCAGCAGTGCACACCCGAACCAGGTTGTTGATAAGCCGTCCAAGCACACGCAAACGGAACGTGGGCGCTTAAGAGATGCTGGTATGGAGAAATACCTTTTCCCCTAAGCCTTTGCATCAGGGGGGCGACCCGGCCATACGACCGGGCAATTTGCTGTTGCATATTCCTAGCAATTAAACCGCGTCCACGCTCGCAATGCCACGAAGTGGGCGGCTTGCTAGCTGCCCTTAAGAGCAACCCAGATGTTCCTGTCCTGCAATCCTCATCTTAGCTGAAGCCTTTACTTGTCGAAGGCCTTCTCGGCAATGCCGACCAGGCGCTCGGGGTCCAGCAGCTTGTGCTGCAGGTGGTCGTGCATCTCGTAGCTCCAGTACCACTGGCGGCCAATGATCTTCACGGTCAGGCCTGTACGGCAGAGAGAAGGGCGGACAATTGCTTAGTCAACGTTCGGCTAGAGAGTCACAGACGACAAGGCAAGTGCTAGTGGGGTTAATAGGGATGAAGATTCCGCATGACGCTGCTTGTGGGGTGCGCAAAGTACGCCAGCCTCTATTAGCACAGGGGCAGCGGATAATCTGCGTTCCAGCATTCCTTCCAAGGGATACGGGGAACACTACCAACCAGGTACAGTTCGTTGTCGCAAAACCCACCTGGCCTCTCAGTGTGCTGATCCAGCGAGTACACCAGGGTCAGCGAGGGCAGGGCAATGGCCATGACGATGAGGGTGGGGATGACGGTCCAGATCACCTCCAGAGCGGTGTGGTGGGTCAGCTTCTCGGGCCGCACCACGCGGGCGTAGTGGAACTTGGTCACAATCTGCGTGCCGTTAGGGAGATGGGGTTGTGGTGAGCTATTAAACCATCAATAAGCGGTATGTTTAGTCCTAAACCCCACAAAAGTACCGGCATGTGGCATTGTTCCCTTCCCTTTAACAAAGGCAGAAAAACTGGCTCGCTGTCTACCAGCACTCCTGCGCCATGGACTCACGTGGTACATCAGGTAGAGGACCAGCACCACGGTGATGATCAGGAAGAAGGCGATATCGTGGAAGAGATCCTGCTGGGCCTGTGGGCGAGAACAAAGAAGGGCGAGATATTATAATGGTTAGGACAGGGTGAAAACGCTTTGGGAAGGATTCTGCTTGGGAAGGGCACACACCGCCCCTATCGGCGAAGCTGGGGAGCATGCAGCATGGACATTGGCAGTATACCGCATCCACCATGTTTTGGATTAAACAAACCGTAACAACCCATGCACTGATGGCGTGAAATCCCTCCTTCCTGGACATCTTTATCTCTGTTGATGCCCCCAAAGTTTCGGTTTGGAGCTGTCGTACCTGGCCGAAGCTGGTAGCAGCGTCCTGGAAGCCGTACTGCCACGGGCCGGGGGAGTCGGCCATGGCGGTGGTGGAGGTCAGGCCCAGGGCAGCAGCAACAGCGGCCGCGAGCTGCAAACAACAAAAAAGGGGGATGAATGTGAACTTACAACGCTGAAAGCGCATGGGAGCTTAAGCTACAGGGATACATGGTGTAAACCTGCCTAGCTCTATGAGAGTACTGCAGGAGCAAACACAGGCAATATACAGGCAAATCGTATCAGGGAGACACGGTCAAGGGAGTCTAATTGCAAGTACCTTGAGCATCTTCTTCAGGCCCGAGAACTTCTCGGAGGCCTGGGCAGCCTCAGGGGCAGCAGCGGCAGTGGCCGCGGCAGCCTGGCTGCTGGTCGCCAGACCGCGAACGCTGAAGGGCTTGGAGGGCTTCAGGCTAATGCCACCTGTAAGTATTATTGATTGTTACTGGTAATGAACAACTGAAGGTCTTTTCCTATCAAGCTGGACTTACTGCCAATCAGACCCTTGCGCTTAGCGGCCAGAGCAGTCACAGCCTCGGTGGTGTACTGAGGAATGCTCTGCATTGATTAATGGAAACATAGTCAGTCATTCCTTGCAAAGAACTATGCGCTCCGCGCGACCATCAGACGCCCAACTCTACAAAGCCATAGCCTGGCGCTTACCTGAGCAACGCCCTCAGAAGCAACGACCTGGGAATAAGAACAAAGGAGAAGCAATACTTGGTGGGCATACTGGAAACTTGTGCGGACCATCACCACGCCGGAACCGTTCTCGCTCCCAGGCTTACCTGAGTGGCAGCGCCCTCAGCCTTAGAGGAGAAAAGGGCAGCATTCCACAGCAGCTTGCTGCTTCCCGAAGCCTGGTTGCTGCCGCTCTGCAAGGCCAGACGGCGGGGTCAAGCGCCATGTCCCGACACTGCGCTGTCTGCCTACTCAAAGCAAACCGCACCTGCAGCAGGCCGCTGCCGCACAGCAGGCGGTTGGCTGCGAGGCCCGATTGGCGGAGCATTCTAGTTCTGCCGAAACAGCGTAGGAATGTACCGTCAAGGAAAAAGTCGGCCCACAAAACCTAACCGGTGACACAGGGCAGTCCGAGACAAACAACTCGCTCATGCACCAGTATTATGAACCTACTTGGTTCTGCAAGTGAACGCGACGTACGACAAATGGAAGGAGCTCCAGGGGCCCCCTCATGTGCTTCAGGTTCAAGCTGCCGGACACCATGTTTGTCAAGTAGCAAGCCAAATCGATTACGGCACCCTGAAATTCTTGTCCTAAACTCAGTTCCCTACGATCTGCCTTAGTACGCTTGCATACATTAGCTGAAAGTTCCCTCGCTGGGCTAGCCCAAACTTTGTCAATGCATTGCCAACCTCTGGTATATGGAAGCAGCATTAGGTACATCGCACAGCGTTTGCGAGTCTGTCGCTGAACAAACCGATTTCTATTGAGAACTCCTTAGGCTTGGTCTGTTTGCCCACCCTTGCAGTGGGGCCTGTCACTTTACACACATCGCAATGATATTAGATGACAGGGAAGAGATGTTAGCTGTAAAGGGTTAAGCGTCCAGAACTGTACCACTGTTGCACGGAAGCGGGCAACTCCCGCGACAAAATGCACCGCACTGAGACACCAATTGTTCGTCCATGGCTGTCAAGCTCGTGGCACCAACTCGTACTTGGGGCAGAACAGATAGCCAGGAGCTGCCGTGGGGAAGAGCTGCAAGTCGCCAAAAGGGCATTACAACATGTCCGTCTCGCTACATCCCTGCATGCTCAGTAAAGATAGCCGCGCGGCAGTGCAAGCGCGTCTGGAAGTGCATCCAGTCCATGGCATGCAACAACAGCCGAAAATTGTCCTGAGCTTACACCGGGTTTCCGGCCATGCGTCACCACGCTAACCCCGACACAGCTAAAGCACCGGCAATGCGAGACGATGGTAACGACGCTGAGCGTAACGATGGCCGTGTCTGCAACCCGTAACAGTCTAGTCGTACTGGCTTGCAAGTCATCAAACACGCCTCCGCGCCTCCATTCACGTCCATGCTGGGGAATGCAGCTCGCTGGTATCCTATCATGGTGCTAACACCCCTACAATCTACACCTCACCCTACTCTAAGCACACTCCTCATCACCGGCTCTGCGCAACCGTCTAACTAGCGCCTACTCCCTTCACGACTCATATGCGCCTACTACAAAAACCATCCGCATCGGCCGCCACACCCGCAACCCCTAGCTCCCCCACCCCCACCCACCACTACGACTACTTCTTTTTCTTCTTGAGCACGCGCTTCTTCCTTTTGGGCAGGTTGGCCCGCACCGCCTCCACCACCGCCGCCAGCACGGCACGACTCAGCCGCGGGGTGAGTCGGAACTTGCGGATGTGCTGCTGCGACTGCAGGAAGGGCAGCAGCACACCCGCACCGGCATCACCTGCGGGGAAGAACAGGGGGGTTGGAGGGTAACGTAGGGGAGGAGGGTGTCGGGCTGAGTGCCTTCAGCGGATAAGAAAAGTACGGGAACTGGATTCAACATGCCCAACGTCAGCTGTTTAAATCATCCAAACTGGGCTTTCCCTCCACCCCACCCCATCCCCACCCCACCTTACCCCCCCTCCCCGCACCCACCAATCTCATTGCCTGCCAGGTCCACCTGCGTGATGCCCGTATTGACCGCCAGTGCGCCCGCCAGCGCCCCCAGCGCCTCCTGGTCGGCAGAGGAGCACCCCACCTCGGTGCCCGCAAGCAGCAGGGCCTGGGAGGGGGGAAGGGGGGATGATGTGTAAGTGAAAAGTGAAGCAACGGAGTCCCAGTCCCATATCCCGACTCATGCAGTGAGCGCATGCAGTAGGGGCTGAGGGTGGGGCTGAGGGTGGGGGTGAAGGTGGGGCTGAGGGTGGGGCTGAGGGTGGGGCTGAGGGTGGGGCTGAGGGTGGGGGTGAAGGTGGGGCTGAGGGTGGGGCTGAGGGTGGGGGTGAAGGTGGGGCTGAGGGTGGGGCTGAGGGTGGGGCTGAGGGTGGGGCTGAGGGTGGGGCTGAGGGTGGGGCTGAGGGTGGGGGTGAAGGTGGGGCTGAGGGTGGGGCTGAGGGTGGGGGTGAAGGTGGGGCTGAGGGTGGGGCTGAGGGTGGGGCTGAGGGTGGGGCTGAGGGTGGGGGTGAAGGTGGGGCTGCGGGTGGGGCTGAGGGTGGGGCTGAGGGTGGGGCTGAGGGTGGGGCTGAGGGTGGGGCTGAGGGTGGGGCTGAGGGTGGGGCTGAGGGTGGGGCTGAGGGTGGGGCTGAGGGTGGGGGTGAAGGTGGGGCTGAGGGTGGGGCTGAGGGTGGGGGTGAAGGTGGGGCTGAGGGTGGGGCTGAGGGTGGGGCTGAGGGTGGGGCTGAGGGTGGGGGTGAAGGTGGGGCTGAGGGTGGGGCTGAGGGTGGGGGTGAAGGTGGGGCTGAGGGTGGGGGTGAAGGTGGGGCTGAGGGTGGGGCTGAGGGTGGGGGTGAAGGTGGGGCTGAGGGTGGGGCTGAGGGTGGGGGTGAAGGTGGGGCTGAGGGTGGGGCTGAGGGTGGGGGTGAAGGTGGGGCTGAGGGTGGGGCTGAGGGTGGGGCTGAGGGTGGGGCTGAGGGTGGGGCTGAGGGTGGGGGTGAAGGTGGGGCTGAGGGTGGGGCTGAGGGTGGGGGTGAAGGTGGGGCTGAGGGTGGGGCTGAGGGTGGGGCTGAGGGTGGGGCTGAGGGTGGGGCTGAGGGTGGGGGTGAAGGTGGGGCTGAGGGTGGGGCTGAGGGTGGGGGTGAAGGTGGGGCTGAGGGTGGGGCTGAGGGTGGGGCTGAGGGTGGGGCTGAGGGTGGGGGTGAAGGTGGGGCTGCGGGTGGGGCTGAGGGTGGGGCTGAGGGTGGGGCTGAGGGTGGGGCTGAGGGTGGGGCTGAGGGTGGGGCTGAGGGTGGGGCTGAGGGTGGGGCTGAGGGTGGGGCTGAGGGTGGGGGTGAAGGTGGGGCTGAGGGTGGGGCTGAGGGTGGGGCTGAGGGTGGGGCTGAGGGTGGGGGTGAAGGTGGGGCTGAGGGTGGGGCTGAGGGTGGGGCTGAGGGTGGGGCTGAGGGTGGGGGTGAAGGTGGGGCTGAGGGTGGGGCTGAGGGTGGGGCTGAGGGTGGGGCTGAGGGTGGGGGTGAAGGTGGGGCTGAGGGTGGGGCTGAGGGTGGGGCTGAGGGTGGGGCTGAGGGTGGGGCTGAGGGTGGGGGTGAAGGTGGGGCTGAGGGTGGGGGTGAAGGTGGGGCTGAGGGTGGGGCTGAGGGTGGGGGTGAAGGTGGGGCTGAGGGTGGGGCTGAGGGTGGGGGTGAAGGTGGGGCTGAGGGTGGGGCTGAGGGTGGGGCTGAGGGTGGGGCTGAGGGTGGGGCTGAGGGTGGGGGTGAAGGTGGGGCTGAGGGTGGGGGTGAGGGTGGGGCTGAGGGTGGGGCTGAGGGTGGGGCTGAGGGTGGGGGTGAAGGTGGGGCTGCGGGTGGGGCTGAGGGTGGGGCTGAGGGTGGGGCTGAGGGTGGGGCTGAGGGTGGGGCTGAGGGTGGGGCTGAGGGTGGGGCTGAGGGTGGGGGTGAAGGTGGGGCTGAGGGTGGGGCTGAGGGTGGGGGTGAAGGTGGGGCTGAGGGTGGGGCTGAGGGTGGGGCTGAGGGTGGGGCTGAGGGTGGGGGTGAAGGTGGGGCTGAGGGTGGGGGTGAGGGGGTAAAACAGGAAGAAACTGGGGTGGGGGGAGGGGGCGGCAAGGGTTGTAGTTGTTGCAGGCTTCTCAGCAGCAGCTGGCTGGGCTGGAAGTCCCTCCGGAGCAGTCCGGTGTCGCCCGCGTGGCAGGGTAGCAAGTGGGCAGAGCAGGACACGGGGCAGCAATACAAGTACCACCAAGCCCGCACAACTATCAAGACCCGTCCTCCCGCACAGCGCCCTACGGTATCCACCCCAGCCACCCCAGCCAACCCCTCCCCCCACCTTGAGCTCCGCCAGGTGTTGCAGGCCCGCTGCCAGCGCCGCCAGCCCCGCGGCCCCCAGCGGGTTGTAACTCAGGTTGAGCAGTCTGTACCTGGGGGGGGGGTTGAGATGGGGGTTGAGGTGGGGAAAAAAGAAATTCCAAAGTGTGGTGTGATAATGATACAAGTTGCTGACAATCAAGGTGGGGGGGGAGGTGAGGTGGGGCTGCGAGGAGGTGGAGGTACGCAACTTAATGACGCCAGACGTGCATGCCACTAATCGGCTCTCCGGCTCTTTGCTAGGCAACGGGGCGTGAGGACCTCGCCAGCAAACAGCGCCCTGACATGCGCGCCAGGTACGGCCCCACCCACCCACCCCACACCCCACCCGCCACCCGAGCACCTGTGGTGCGCACCCCCGCCCCTCAATTAGCAACCCGTGGAGCCGCGTCATATAGTTCGCCGGGTTCCGTATTGTTACCCCCCCCCTCACTTGGGCTGCATGGCGGCCAGCAGCGGGCTGGGGTCGGGCGGGAAGGTGGCGGCCAGTGCTGCGGCGCCCGCGGGCCCTATGCCGCAGTGCGACAGGGACAGCTGCTGCAGCTTGCCGCAACTGCGTGGGGGGCGGGGGGGGTCTGACATAAGAACACTGACGGCGGGGTGGGTACAGCATGGAACGCGGGCCAGGAGGTGGAGGGGAGGTGAAATGACCGGAGGGGGGAGGGGGAGCTGTGTGGGCCGGAAGGAGGGGCCCTAGGGGATATTGCTTGGGTGCGTCTGGTGCGTGTGGGCGGGCTGCAGTGGAGGAGGAGGAGGTGGCGGAAGTGGGTTGGCAGGAGGGAGGGAAGCGTCGTGACGAGGCCGAGGATTGTACATGAACATCGGTGGGAGAGAGGGAAGCGGCGGCTTTCCGCTCTCCCCCCCCATATATATATATTCCCCCCCATCCGCTTGCCCTCACCGTCTTAGCCCGGGTGCCAGCATCTTCGCGCCCACATCGCCCAGCTGGTTGTGATCCAGCACCAGGATCTGGCGGGAGGGGTGGAGGTGGGGAGGGAGGGGCGGGGAGGGAGGGAGGTGGGGAGGGAGGGGATAGGAGAAGGGGAGGTTGTGGGCAGGAGGCTTGGAATGGAGGTGAGGAGAATTCCCGCCTGTAACAGGGCTACACGCGGTGTAGCTTGGAGACACAGAACCTCACACCAAGGCCCCCTCTCCACCCCCCACCCCCACCCACCTGCAGCAGCTGCGTCTGCGTGGCGAGGGCCAGTGAGAAGCCCTTGAGCACCTCCGGGCTGAACGCCTGGGGAAGGGGGGAGAGGGAGGGGGGGGAGCAGGACAACCAGGCGGGTTGGGGGAGGGAGGAAGGGAGGGAGGAGAGGAAGAGATGCAGAAGGAGCGCAAGGGCATGGGCAACCAGGCCGTCCACCCAAACGCAAGTCGGCTGAAGACAGCAGGTAGGGTAATTAAGCAGCGGCGGTGCATTCGAGGGAGGGCAGAGGGGTACAAGGGCCAGCGGACGGGGGAGTTGAGGAGTCTGGGAGGAGGTAGGCCACAACCGGCGATACTAGGAAGGCAGTTCGCGACAAGCGAGGGGAAACCAGGGCCACGCAGCCTGTGAGGAGGAGGAACCTCTGGCGCCAACCCCCCAACACCCAAGCCAACATTCCCTGCAACGGCTAGCACCCGTGTTCTCTAACACCAGGGCACTCATTCTTCTACCCGCCACCTAAGCCGTTGCGGGGAACTACCGTAGTATCGCAACCCACCACCCACCACCCACTACCTACCATTGGCGGTGGAGGCCGCAGCAGCGGCCGCCCCTCCCCTGCCGCCGCTGTGGTTGCACGCAGCCCGCTGGCGCCGCTGATGCTGATGCTGCCGCTGATGCTGATGCTGGCATTGCTGCTGGCTCTACAACCGCTATCAGTTGTGGTGCCGGCTGCGGTGGCGGCTGCTACAGCTACAGCAGTTGCGGCTGCGGCTGTGCTGAGGCCGTTCACGCTCGCATCTGCTGCTGCCGCGACGGCGGTTGCAGCTTCCCGTGCTGTTTGCAGTTGCTGGTAGGTGAGGGTGGTGGTGGAGAGGGAGGTGGCGGCGAGCAGGCTGGAGAGCTGCCGCTCCAGGGCGGCTAGGTCGGGGGGGACTGGAAGGGGGGAAGGGGAAGAGGAGGAGAAAAATAAATGGAAAATGGAGGGGAAGGAAGAGGAGAGGTGAGGAGCAGGGTAGAAAGGAGGGCAGGGTGTCCTAGACACTACGCCGCGGGGTGAGGGGTCAAGGCGGGATACGCGCAAGCCTCGCACAAATCCAGCACATCATGGATAACCCCATACACACCCCCTCCCCATCCCCTCCCCCTTCCTGTTGCCATCCATCACGGCATCATCCACCAACGCATGCCTCTTCTTCTTTCCCCGCCCCCGACCACCGCCCCCCACGTCTTCCTCACGTTCCGCCGGGTCCTGCAGCTGCTGCAGCGCCACCGTGTCCAGAGTGACCGCCTGCGTGTGCCGCAACGCCAGGGAGGGCAGCTGGAAGCCCGACCCACGGGTCACCATGCCGCCCGCGCCGTTGGCCTGCTCCATGTAGCGTTCGGGCCTGCGCGAGGAGGAGGAGGAGGAGGAGGAGGAGGAGGAGGAGGGGAGAAGGAGGGGAGAAGGAGGGGAGAAGGAGGGGAGAAGGAGGGGAGAAGGAGGGGAGAAGGAGGGGAGAAGGAGGGGAGAAGGAGGGGAGAAGGAGGGGAGAAGGAGGGGAGGAGGAGGGGAGAAGGAGGGGAGAAGGAGGGGAGAAGGAGGGGAGAAGGAGGGGAGAAGGAGGGGAGGAGGAGGGTGGGGTGCACTGGTGTGACAGAGGCGGCGGAGGGGCGCATATGGCTGGGTGGGCTTGTGGAGATAACCGCATGACCCCATGAACGGAGGTAAACGGAGCCACAGCCTCGGCCTTCGCTGGGGAAGTGTGCCCTCATTGCATGGTTGGGTGCGCTGTGAGGAGTCCCAGTGCCCCACACGGTTAGCCATGTTGATGCCCACATCAGCACACCACATGGCTGTTACCGCTGGTCAAACACCACCCAATCCAGCCAGTTTTGCTACCGCCCTACCACACGCCCCCTACCCCACCATCGGTCTGAGGACAGCCCCGCTCCGTCGTTCACGATCTCCACCATGCGCAGTTTGGAGCCGGTCCACGCCTTGTGCGTGGAGGCACGCAGGAGCTGCGACACGGCGCGGAGGCCCTGGGGGCAGGGCGGGAAGGCAGGGCGGGAGGGAAGGAGAGGTAGGAGGGGTAGGGAGGCGTGGATGGGATGGATTGCGTGTATGGGACAGAGGCTGCAGCAGAGGGGCGGGCTACGCTGCGGCATGAAGCATGGGCCGCTGGCTGAGACGCCCTCAGGAACGGCGAGGAAGTTGATATGAGCTGTGAAGAGAGGTGTGAGGAGCAGCTCTGCCCAAGCAGGCACCGTACCTGGTCTCCGATGTTGCAGCCCCAGCAAGCTAGGTTCTTGATGGCTGAGTAGCCTGTACGACGGGCACGATAGCGCATGCAGGTCGGTGTAGGAGTGCAAGGGAAACATGTGCATTTTTGCTGAGGCCATGCGAGACCCATGTCCCTTAAGCGCCGTACAAGTGCCGTATGAGTGGCGTACGTTCAGGCCCTGCGCCCAATTGGCATCAGCCTCCCAAAGCCCAACAAGCACCACACACCTGCCATCGCGTCGAGCGCTGCACATAGTGCGTTGCTGCTATATTGCGGTCCACGGAAGAGCACCTGACGGTGCGTAACATGGATATATGAAGGGAGAGATGGGAGCATTAGGAGAAGTCGATGGCGAATTGCAGGAAGTGTGTGCTTATACTGGGCACAGCCAAGGGGAGCTTGCTTGCTTGGTAACAAGTTGCCATGGAAATGGGTTTAAGCACACGGCGGTACTACCTTACTTCGCGTAAGGCGGTTCTAAGCCTGAGGCATATTTGGGTCGGCCAGAGTAGGCTGGCCGCACAGTATCTTCACACTAGCGCTGCCTGAGCCACTGCCCAGGCGTACCTTATCGAGCGGCTTGCAGATTAGCAATTTCTTTTCGATCTCCTCCAGAAGCGGCTTATCGGGAGTAACATTGTAGCGTTTGCACGCTCCTTTGTACGTGGTCTGGAAGACCGTAAGCTGGGTGACGTTCAATACTGCACGTTGACATGGTTGCGCCACATGTCAGTTGGAAACAGCTGGTCAATCCTAACTTATCTCCATGACGCCCAATATTACCCACAATCTTTGGGACTCTTCTGCTTTTTAGGTGCCATCTGCTAAGCTACCACGGCTGAGGAATGCCGCGGCGAAGATTTGCACACGCGCACAGCAAGGTTTCACCAGTGTACTGTTCTGTCTACGTCAAGTACAGGACACTGAGTTGGTACATCGAGGACGCCACTTCTGCACATTCAACCTGCCGTGCATGCAATCAGCATGGTTGTCAACTCTAAATCGTCAGTATCCTAAAAGCAGTATACTGATGTCGCTCGCAGATACAAAAAACATGGACGTGTACATGAGGAAGATGAATTTCGCTAGCAATCTAACATGTCACACAGACGTACGGATTGTACGGCCACGGTTGACACGGCGCGGTAGGCCGGTAATGGCGGTACCGTCAGGAGCCGTGAGGACGGGTCAGATACTTTGGTGCAGCGTCTATGGGGCTCCCCTTCCGCTTCCGTGCGGGCACCTTGCAATTCACCCGGCACTGGTCATGTACCGGTACGCTGAGGACTGGAAGGCATGCCAAGGGGCATTCTTTGGTGCCTTATCACCAGACATCCCGTACGCCAAGGAGGCAACGCCATCGCACCGAACGAGCGTGGCATTACTTTACAGGCACGGGCCATGTATACAAACCTCTTGCAATAGTAAAGCACACACCGTTTGCGAGCACACGAGGGGCCCTGACAGCTGAGTGCCCCGCCCTCCGACCCTCATGCATCCAAATCCATGCGTAGATAAAGTCCACGTTAAGTTCGGTTTGTTCGCAGCCTCCCGCCATTACCGACGCCGCCCCTAACATCTGGTAGCGCGGTGGGCAAGTTCCCATTTCTCACCTCACGAAACCCACACGCGCCAGCCACTAGCCATCTCAGCTTCACAATCAACCCGAATCCCATTATCGTCCTCTGCTAGCGGAGCACCCCTCACCCTACCATACCAGCACAGGGCAGGCAACAATAAGACTTCAAGAACTCGTAAGCGCACCACTGTACGGCATTCCACAGAAACCAACACCACACCGCCCAAAGTGTTGCTCCTTAGCTTCTTAAGGCAGGAGCCACAAGGGCAAGCACACCCGTGTCGCCTTGCCTTAACAGGCGATGGCAATAAAGGCGTCGTCATCTCCCATAAACTGGTCTCTAACAAAGTGGTTGCCGCAATGCGTCCGTGTTACGCTTGCCGTGCCGTACCGCGCTGTATCGTACCATGTATACTTCAAGAATGGCACCAAGATATCCACTTGGGAGGACGAAATCTTTCATGCCGTACCATTACTGCAAGGCTACTACAAGACTGGCAGAGCAGAGACGCTGCAGACCACCACAATTTAACCACCTTCCGGTCCCCACCCATCCTACCATCCATCCATTCTCCACCCAACCACGGCAGATACCCAGCCACCAAATACGCTACGAACACTCTGCACCTTCCCACGCCTGCTTCCGGATCATCAACGGCCTCGGCCCTTCGCATGTGTTGAGTTCATGTCGTACACTAGCGGCTCACAGCCCACACCGTAGTAGGAAACATCGACCGAGCTTGGCTACACCCGGCCAAGGGACCTCAGCCCGGCTCCAACCGTAAACGCACAAGTTACTCGTAACTACTTCCCCAGCCCCACGCATGCAGTGGTCGCGTCCATGGACGTAGTAGGCTACCGCCCAGCAACGCTTTACGGCGCATGCTTCGTGACGCTCCTGGGACAGCACATGCAAGCACCATTCCTTGCTTAAGAAGGGCCCCCGGAACGCCCGCAACAGCATACAAACAGCCAAGCATGACAGCTGCAGACGACGCTACAGCTTCTACAGCTTTTCGTTCTCACCACGGGCCTTTCACGTTCCAAACCATCCTCGTCAGTAGATAACATACATGGTTCAAGCGACGAACCATGAACAACGAGCCATAAGACACTGCGACTTGTCGCTGACATACATTTCCTTAAACCCGAACGCTAAGCAGCATCGTCACCATAGCGCGTCGTATAGTAAATAGCGCGTAGTAATATGCCATGTACTAGCTTATAGAGGCATGCCTTTGTGTGGCACGCCTCGCTACCTCACGGGTTTCTCACAGCCTGGCCATCCGGGAAAAAGTCGAATTGAACTGCGGACCGCAATATCGTGTATCGCGTCCATGCCATGTCGTACCATACCACACCACGCTGATTTACCAGGAGCTGGCTAACCAAATAACATAATCTTGACCACTGCTTATAAGCTTATGCCTCCAACCGCACATGGACGCAAGCAAGCGCATCCCGACCACACAGGCGCGCCAAACGTAAAGCGCGGGGAACACTGCCCAAGGAAAAGAGAGAGGAAGCTGGGGAGCAGGAAAATGCCGAGACCGGGGATTTCCATCGTTCGTTCGGGTGCAAACACCCCAGGAAGGTATGCTCGTTTATTCCTTTCAAACCTCCTCCTTCCTGCCCAATGAAGCATGGACGCTCATCCCAGGTCCAATCGCATCCCAGATACCGCACCGGGATGCGGAGCAGCATGGGGACAAGGGTGCCATGCCACCACCACCACCAACCCAACCCCCGCATGCACAGGTATGCTCCCGCAAGCTTCAGAATCGCCGTATGCGACGATGCATACATGCCTCCCCATGCAAGCCTGACACGACATGGAAAGCGTCCCATGTGCCACCAGCTGTCGTAACGTATGCCAACCTACCTCCTTCCCTCCAAGTGAAGGGATGCGTGCGATGCGTGATGCGGTCGAGCTTTCCTGCCCCCACCCCCAACCCCCTCGTGCCAACCATCCAACTGCCAACTATTTGTGTGCCTGACCAAAACGTGTAGCCCCCTCCCTGTCCCGTGAGCGCAGAAGGCACAGCAGCCCACTGCATGTTGTGGCATTAACACAATCGCGACGCCTCAACAGTCAGCATGCTGGCGGCCCGCGGCACACCAATGCGGAAAGCGCTGCAGCGCAGAGCACATCGCGCACTGACAAGCAAGGCACGGAAGCCATATCACAACAAAAGACAGCCGAACAGGAGTAAACCGTCTGCCCCCTTACGTTTCGCTCGCCTTCCTCAGCTGCTGCTGCCGCTTCCGCCTCTGTCGCCGCTGCCGCCGCTACTTTGCTAATCCTGGCATGCCGCCATGTGAGCTGCATCCCCTGCCAGGTCCGGGCCCAGCACCTCCTCTCCTGACCGCAACTCCCCACGCTTGAACGCAGCGAGTTGCGCCGCTAACGCGTCTCGCAGCTGCACAAAGGTGGGTCGCTGTGCCGGCTCGGAGTCTAGGCAGGCGCCCACCAGGCGTGCGAACTCGTGCGGCGCCTTGCGAGAAAAGTTGGGGAAGTTCTCGCGCGCGACAAAGCCGCTGGGCAGCGAGCGGTAGGACATGCAGCAGTGGAACATCTCCCACCTGAGGGGGTTGGGAAAGGAAGGGGGATGGCGGGCAAGGATGAGCAGGGATACGGACGCCGCATGTCGGGACGTATGTTGCAGAGGTTTGGGAGATGAGAGTTGAATCGCAACCGTTCAATCCAGCTGCCAAGTGTGGCCAGCGGTGTGAACCAGCGGTAATGTGAAGTCGTGCAGTGAGACTATGTGGTGTCCTAAGATAGGTCCCATCCCCGGCCTGCCTCCGTCCCTCCTCCTTACATCATGACTCCCATCGAGTACACGTCGGCCGCCTTAGTCATGTTTCCCTTCGCCAGGATCTGCGGGCACGTGTAGAACGGCTGCGCAGGGGAGGGCAATGCAAGAATGGAAGGAAGGCGGTTCATGCAAAAGGAAAAGGAAGAAGAGAAGGGCCGTCAACCATCACTACAAACTACGCCAGGTGTGCCTCAAGGTGTATGAAAGGCACATGGCGGGCGTCAGCCTCACTTTGCTGTTGGGGTGGTGAAAGCAATACAATGACAAGGAGCGCTGAGGGACCCATATGGAGCTTGAGTATACCACCAATCGATCAATGAGGTCAACTTCGGGAGCTACGCAAAACAGAGCGCTGTGCAGGGGCCTTTCCCAAAGAGCAGTGTTTCACCCCGTATAGCTCTGCCTCACCGTGCCTCGCCGCATGTTGCTAATGTGGCTCTGGTCCGCCGCCATCTTGATACTCAGCCTGGGCGACAGGAGCGGCAAGCAGCAGAAAGCGGCGCCAGGCAAAGAAAACGTTAGCCATGAACAGCGATGGAAGAGGAAGACTGGAGGAGTCCTTATCCTCTCGAGCGAGCCAAACAGCGAGCCAACAGGCGCCAAAGGTAGTCGCATCAGGGGAGGTAGCATAGGGAATGCGGCGTCCTAAATGCATGAAAACACAATGCAACAAGAGTTTCGTTGAAGACAAAGGCAATCAGCGTCGGCGGGGCCATCTGTGTCGACCGTACCCGAAATCTGCAAGCTTGCACGTGGCTCCGTACTTCTTAGTCGGATCTCGTTTAAGCAGCACGTTGTTCGGGTTCTGCAAAGAGCAGTCGTGGACGGATAAGCGTTAGTGCGACCCCAGCCAACAAGTGGGAACAAATACAAGGTAGGTCTCCCGGTCCAAGTGCGGGAGCCTCGCCGTGCCCTTTCACAGAACAGAGCCCATGCAGCCCATCCCACCCTGCAGCATCGTCATTACCTCTACTACTCCCCACGCATGCACCCCCGCATATGCAGTCCGTCCGAGGACTTCACATCACGACCATGCATGGATTCGTTACGCTGCCCCAATCCACGTTTGCGCCAACAAGCAACCCCAACCCCGTATCCGCTCTGCTCACCAGGTCCCCGTGGATGATGTTGCGCTCGTGCAGGTGCACCAGACCGCCGGTCAGCTCTAGAGCAGTGTCGAGGATCATCTCCTGTGGCAGCCCAAGATGTACCAAAAAGTATTAAAGCTAAGTCGGAAGGGCAAGACAAAGGGAGTCTGCTGTGGTTGTGGCGCATGTTGGAGGCCCAGGCGGGTGCGTGAGGGCGACTTGCAAGCCGGTATGAAAGCAGCAGACCCCGTCCCCAAGGCTCTAATAGCGTGTAGGCTTCCGCCTCCAGAGCACATCTTCCCCCTCCCGGAAAGCGATGGCCACGACTCACAATGCGCGCCTCGCCCCTCTTCGCGTCAAAGAACTTGCGCTTGAGGATGGCAGTCCGTAAGGACCCCTGCACAACAGGAACGGAACCGGATTTGCCGCAAAAGTTGCCAGCAGCGGTACAGGTACAGGGACAAACTTAATGTCATACGGGCGCCAAAGCGACCAAAGCTTCTCCAAATTCCTTTCCTTACAAAGGGTCTTTTGGGTTGGGACAACCAGACTGCAGGCGAACACTCCGTTCTTGGCGCAGCCTCACATGTCACCCATCTCCCCAAAAGGCACCGACCACTCACCCCGTCGCAGTACTCCTGTACAAGGTAGAGCTTCCAATCGAGCACCGGCCGCTTGTCAATGATCTTGATGCTGCTGCTGGGCAGGCCGCCAATGCCGGTGCCGACACCGCCGGGACCGCTCCTGGGGCTCTCCCCGCTGCAGTCCGTTCGTACCCTGTACGACAAGACAGGTAGGCAGGCCCCCCAGACAGGCGCACAGTTCAGGAGGGCGCAGCGAAGGAAAGCATGGGGCGACATGTCTACACAGTCGCGGTGCAGCTTGCACAAGCAGGCGGCCAGCACTTCGAACACAGGCGCGGTGCCTTTGAACATCATTTAGACAGGAAGGCAGGAAAGGGCTTGGCAGCAAGTCCTGTCCCCTGAAGCGTGGGGATGCAAAATGCGTTGGAACGCGCTTTGGGATGTGTCTTCTGCTACACCACCCGAGTGTGAGGGCCTCCTTACGTGAGCGGCTTGATGTCGTACGAGTAGGTCGTCACCACGTTGGGCTGCGCGGCAAAGCAGGAACGGGAGGGACGGGAAACGTAACGTAACGTGTTAGAAAGTCATGACGTCAGTCGACTCTGCCGCAACACGGCTATACGGTACGCCTATTCAATGGGCTGCACAGCTAGGTTGACGCTATTGCGGGAACCACCAAACAGGACAGTTCCCTCCCAATGGTTGCAGTTTCCGTACCGAGACTCTACGACCGCTACCGGCACTAGCAAGCCTAAAAGCAGTTCCCTCACCCGCCCCCCCGCCCATGCATGCAAGCGTACGGGTGCCACTCACGTGAGCTAGGGACGACGAGATGGCTGCTTCCAGAATGGCTCTCTGCTGCCCCTTCTCGCCTCCAGCAACCCGATCCTGGAACGTAATGGTCTTGACGGCCACGTTCAGCCCCTTCCACAAGCCTGTTCGGATGCGGAGAGCATGCATTATGCATGCACTTGGCCCCAAGAGGCCCTAAAGCACACGTGTTTAAGCGGAAGGGGGGCTCGCTGCAGACGCCCTACACGCTATACAGCAACGCATAGCCATGTCTTCAACAACAACAGCCAACAATAAGAAGGCAGGTTGGCAGCCGTCACGACCCTCCACCTGCCAGCAGCCAGCGCCGTCTCTAATCACACCCACAACCCCGCCAATCCGCTCCGCCATCCCCCACTCGCCTTTATACACCACGCCAAAGCCGCCCTGTCCAATGACCTCCAGGATGGTGAGGTGCTGGTCATCCATCTCCTGCGTCAACGCCGCCATCATGTTATTAAGCACCTCCAGCGGCGGCTTATCCGACTGAGCCGCCGCCGAATCGTCGCTGGTGCCTTCACCCCCGCCTGTACCGCCACCTCCACCTCCGCTGGCTCCTCCTCCCTGGCAGCTCTTGGCATTAACTGGCGACGCCGGGTCGCCGCCGCCCGCGCCACTCCCGCCTTCCGCACCCGTCCTGCAGCTTGCACCCACGCCGCCGCTGCTGCCGAGCGCAGCCCCGCCGGTTGCATGGTGGCCGTGCGCAACCACCGCGGCTTCCTGGTCTCCAGAGGCGCTACTGGATTTCTTGTCAGAGGAGCCGCTCTTGACCGCCTCCACCTCATGCCGGAGCCGCGTTACGATGCGCCATGCAATGAGGCCCGCAACCAGGGCCACCAAGAGGGAAGCGCCTACCACGATGACGGCGATGGCCCAGCCTTTGAGACCGTCCCCGCCGCCGGAGGAGGTTGTGGGCGGCGGGGGGAAGAGGGAGGTTTGAGGCGGGGGCGGTGAGGGGTTGTAGTAGCTGTTGTTGTAGAGGATGGGGACCTCGTCTGGAAACTTGTAGGTGACGTCGAGCTTGTAGCCGCTCCAGCCCCAACCCCGGAGGTTCAGGAACGAGACTCGGTCCTTCACCACGCTTGTCCTGTGGGCACATTGCCACAAGCCATTCGTAAAAGGTCACTTGGGTTCGTTGGGCGGGTGGATGGATGGACGCTTTGGACAGCAACGGCGCCCTTTGCACTGCTTTGACTAGCCAGCCTGCCGGCCCCATGCACTTACAGGTTGTAGTCGACTGTGGACCCCAGCACTGTGTCGCTGCCGCTCACAGACGTCCCCAGGCCCTTCACCACCGCCGCGTGCAGGTGCTGGAATTCCGCGTAGGTAATGGCGACGACGCTCTGGTTTGTGAAGACGGTGGGCAAGTAGCATGTCCTGCGCAAGCGAACGGGGAAAATGGGAAATGTGTGCGCCAGAGCGCTCGGGCGAGGTCAAGGCCACCTCCTATTAAGGCGGCGGCTACTAGCGACAGGCTCTTGAGCCATCGCCAACGCACCGTCACCACCCAACTGGGTTGGTTTCGCTTTGACCCAACTGACGCAATGCGAGGAAATCTACCCGAGTCTTCGGACCCAAACAAGCGAGTGCTATGGCCGGTGTACGGGTGTAGCCAGTGACGCAAAGCATCATGAGGAGCTGGCTGAACCCGATAAGACTACAAAACTCACATGTTGCTGCTGATTGGACTCGAGAGGTACACCGAAACATCGTCCAACCCAGTTGTCGCAGCAGCAGATTGAACTGCGGCACTTGCGCCGCCGCTGCTGCTTCCGACTTGCTTCGCCAGCACATTTGGTAGGTTGAGCAGCATAAGGCCCTGCACATAAACGTACATCTCCGGTGCACATCCAAAAACCCGCACGAAATGCGGAATGCGCCGGAAGTCAATCCACGTGGTGATGTCCAAGTTCTGCTGCCCGACCAGCAGGATCGGCTGCGTGAGGTTAAACCCATTCGATGGCCACCGGCTGGGGTCGATAGTGATATTCTTAAGGACAAACAGTACCACTGCCATGGGAGGAGGGGTTTCCTGCATGGCTTGTAAGATTGCAAGCATGTCGTCCAGGTCATAGATCGCTAGCTGGGTCATGTTGGAGAGGATGTTTAGGTTAAACTGCAGGTTGGGATTGTCTGGAACAATGATGTCAAAGGGCCCCGCGGGCGGCGTGTTCGTGAGGGTGCTGTTGAAGAGGTCGATGCCCGAGCTCCGCAGGTGGGAAAACATGATGCCGCCGGTGCTGCTGGTTTTGTTCATGAGCTGCAGGTACAGGGCGCACGCACGCACGCACGCGAGGAAGGGGTCAGCAGCGCGAGGAGAGGTACGGCGACAAGGGCTGTGAACACCCTAACTCAGGTCTACAACGCGCAGCTTGCGTCACTCAGCGCCTTGACCCACCCCGCACCTTGCTCTATTAAAACACCCGCTATTAACGTACCTCGATGACAGGCGACGTCGAGCGCAGCACGGCAGCCGCCATCGAGATCGGTGTAACTTGTGTCGTGACCACGACCGTCCACAGCGTGTAATATTGGTACTCACTCCGTTGCACCGCTAGAGTTACATTCGTCAACACCAGCTGCGGTGAGGACGGCACCCTGGTAGGATTGGGGGGTACGGTTGCATGCGGGCGCATTGCAACACACCATGGACGTTAGTCGAGAAGGCGGAAACTTCTCAGGGGCTCAAAAGATTCGTCATGAAAACACGTACCAACCCTCTAGACAGGCAGTGCTGTCATGTGCCTGAACATGACTCATGGCACACAGGCGCATCCTGTTTACTCCTCCGAGTAGTGCCAAGAAGACACGGAAACCCTGCCCACCTTCGAAAGCTGACGAACCACATCTGCAGTGTTGCCGCCAGGGTGCCGCAGCATCGAATGCAAGAGGGGTGAAATTACCGGTAGCGGCGGTTAGGTGAAAGCGAAAGCACTGTGGCATGCACGTCGTCAACTACAGCAGTGGGGGCTCGTTATTCCCATGCTCAGACCAAGCCTTACCGGCAGCGAGAAAACTGGCAGCATGCCAAGCACACTGAGGGTTCCCCGAAGGGGTCCAATGTTGACGAAGCAGAAGTTTGCTATGTTGAGCGTGACGCCAGGGTCCAGGACAATTACGGATGACAGGCCCTGGACGTCAAAGATGTTAAGGGTTGTGGGGTCGCCGAGCAGAGTGACGCCACGCTTTACTACAAGCCCCTTAGGTTTCCATATCCTTGCGGACAAGGATATGTTTGCGGAGGCTTTGATGGTTAGCTGGCCTGAGCTGCCTCCAGACGTGGCTGGCAGCTGGCTGGCGACGAAGGCATTCAGCAATTGCAAGCTGTTGGGCGAGGACAGCAGGGGAAAGGGTAAGGCACGGTAGGGTGGCGGGACGCAAGCTAATAGGGGAGGGCTCCTGGCAGGAGTTGCTTTGGGTTTGCAGCGTTACCTGTCTATAACGGAGACGAATTCCCCCTCCTGCCCATCCGCTCCGCGCTGAATAGTTGGCAGATCGCATGTTATGTTCACTGAAGAAGCATTAACACTGCTGGATGTATATTTTTGTACGTACACGTATCCAGGGCCATGTACAAAACTGCTTGCGTTGCTTGCGTTGGCTATGTTGCTAAGCGTAAGGCAGTCAGTAGTAATTGTCACAGACAGCAACTGCTGCTTTGATGCGTTAAAAGCGGCAAGCTGGAGAAAGGGGGCAGACTCAATCCGCACATTACGCAAATCCAAACTCTCAATGGAAAGGAGTGAACCTGCAGCAAACAGACAGGTTATAAACAGATATAGCAGCAGATACAGACTTTGATCATTAGATGCGTAAAGCTGGGCAGGTTGCGAACGCTGGTCAAGCCCTTACGCACCTGGTGTAAAGAGCACGGCATCCTCCGCAAACTGAACGTCGAGTGAACCATAGTTGGATGCATTTCCGCGAAGCGTCAACGATGTGGATATAGTAAGGGGCTGAGATAAGGAGCCCAGCAGCGAGCAGCCATACGGAATGTCCAGGAGCGTCTCCCCGTTCACCAGGAATGAAGCTTTCGATAGCTGCGTATAAAGCGTGCAGTTTGTCGCCCCAGCACTACTCCCAAGAGGATGTATAATGAACAATAGAGCCTCAAGAACGCAGCCAATGAATAGTGTCCTTATTAGCATGGTTGATGACGCCTAAGGCCTGGAAAAATGCCGTCTTTGGAGTCTCATTCTTCTTCCAGAACTGGTGGTTGGTACTTGGTGGGCTGTGCGAAAAGACGGTGCAGCATAAAGTTTACTGTATATGCTTTCGTCCAGCACTGTCAAACCAGTCGCAAAGGGTGAGAGAAACAGCAATGAAACGCATAACGTACGGACACGTCAAGTACGGTACTGCAACTCCCTTCCGCCCAGCATTAAAGGCGTCCCAACAACAGTAAGCCCGAGTATGAAGTAATCGCTGAAAAAGACCAAGACACTGGGTCGCTCCATTCTCTTGAAAATGACTCTGCATCACCTGTGTCGTTCAGCTCCGTTCCGGTATGCACATGGATCTGTCCTTCGGCTCCCGACGCATCACGCGGCTTGTGGGAGAAGGGGACGGTGCTTACAGCCTGGTATACTCGGTAATCGAATCAGGAGTACTGCAAACCCATGATGCAAACTGGCATAAGCCACTGCATGGACTATCTCTTTAGAAATCAAAGAACACTAAATCAGAACGTTATAGGCACGCAATCCTGCCGCGTCCAAGGACCCCTTTGCACGCAACCTCGTTGGTTTTCTGCCGTTCCTCAGCACCATGTGCACCAGCTCTGCCAGAATTCTGCTGTGAGCTGCGCTGCTGGGTGTAATCGGTGATACCAAAGGTGCTCATGGGGATTCGCGCAGCAAATTGCTGCCAGTCCCACTTGTACGACGGCGCCTGTAGCCATAGGCCCAGCCTCAAGTTGTGGAGCGGGCTACACCCTTTGGCAGCCCAATTGGCATCACAGGAAAGAAACTCTCGCTCTTGGTCAGCAGAGGGTGGGAGAATGGCTGCCAAAGCCCAGCGCCCAATCCGCCTACTGCCGAGTCGGCTTGACATCATGCACGCCAACAGCCTATTTCAGTGCAGAGACCCACCACCAGGCAGGCCTGCACACAGGGAATCCCTTGGCCGCAACCAGCCTCCGTGGCATGCCGCCGGATTCCCTCCCCTCCCCTTCACAACACTGCACCGCACCTCGCCCGGACAGCACACGGGTGGGAGCTGACCAGCCCCTCACGTGGCTGCTGGACATGCCACATGAAGCTGCTGCAACCACCGGTAGCGGACTAGGCAAGTTGCTACCTAACAAGTTATGTGATTCCAGTTCGTGAGTAGCCCTGGGCCCATGGTTCCAAGCCGGCAGGAGATGCTGCTGACGCTGGATTCAGGGGTTGGCCCATCCGCTCCCCACCCATTACGGTAGTTGGCGCTTTGACCAGTACCGCACCCATGGTAACGGCCGGCTCTGCTGGCCTGCCGCCCCCCACCTGCCAAGGTCTGGAATTGGGCGCCCGACCGTGTTTACAGCTACATAGCATGCATAACGTGGCGTTCATGCACGCAAGTACTGCGTAAGCACGCCATGTCATGGTGCTAAATGGAGAAGAAACAGCTGGCAACAAACAAGCGCTGCGATGCGGCACCGAAATTTCTGGGGGGTTGCAATGCGTCCAAGGGCCTCGGCAAAGCAATTTGAAGTACGTCTTTGTGCGCTAGTCGCATAATCGTTGGCTGGCAAGCCCAAGGAACCGACCCATGGGTCTCAATATTGATTAACATCTAGTCTACAAGATGTCACATCCTCCATGCCCGGCAGGAACCGCAGCCACACTTCTTGTACTGCGAGGCACCCACACACACAGAGATACAGGCGCCTAGCCCCAACTCCATCTATACTCTCTCGCGCATGCTACAATCCACTACAATCCTACTCGCGCCCAGTTTTATTAACATACACCTTCCGGCAATCACAGTACATCCCGACGCTTTAAGCATCTTTGGCTTACCGTGTAACAATACATTAGGATGTGGCAATATGTACCATGCATGCACACTCTCTGCACCTCATCACCACACACGCGCAATCGCCCATAATAACACTGCGACCCTCCCTCGCTCCAGTACGTTCCCTACCTCTTCACTAGGTTACTACTGCAAACCCTACAATGCCGGTTAAGCAGCACTCCCCTCCCCGCTTCCTCTAGACCTGCCACTGCTGGTGTTGTCCCAACACGTCCTTTTAATTAACCCGAATCCTGAACCAGACCGGGAACACACGTTCAACGTATTAATGTTAACGTCTTAAGCAGTAGTACCCCACGCCCCATCAGCCACCCCGGCACTGCCCCACATCATTCATTTGCCACAGCATCTCTACCAACCCTCATCACACCAACGCATGCGCCACGGGTGCCTGCCGCCATGGCACCACCGCTACCTAACACCTCGGCGCCCCTTTATCTACCTACCGGTACCCCAGCCGCTGGCACCACCCCTGGTTGCCGCCGCTGGTTGCCGCTGCCGCCGCTGTGTCACCGCTGCTCCCCCGGCCGGAAGAGGAACACGTACACGCCCCACGCCAGCAGCGTCATAAGGCCCACCAGAAGCGCCTAGGGGCGGGGGGGGGGGCGGAGAGAGGAGGGGTGAGGGTGTGAGGAGCCAGGAAACGAGCCAATGTGACTCAAAAAGAGGGTGGGAACAGGTGGGAAAGGAAGAATACCCAATGTGTTGAATGAGAATGGCAAACAAGCCGACGAGCTCCAGGCGGGGGAAACGGAGGAGGGGAGTAAGGCGAATGTTCTGGGTGTGCTGCCTCGGGGGGAAGGGGAAGCGCAGGCAGGCACATGGTGGGAGAAAAGGTTGGTTTGGAGCTTGGGTCAGATGTGGGCAGGAGTGCTTGCAGCCAGTGTATCGTCAAAATCATATGAATCCAAGGACGAGGGTACAAACCGCATGCATGACAAGTTAAACAATGACGCAACCAACAAGACCACCCAACGACCCACTCCTACCCTCACTACCCATAACCACCAACCGCTCCAACCACCAACACGCTCACCAGCTTGGCGCTCTGCAGCAGGGCCAATGCGAACACTTCCTCAACCGCCAACAGACCGCCAACCACCAACCGTTCCAATGGAATCAGCGCCAACGCCAGCAGCTGCGGCAGCAGTGCTGCCGTGGCGACAGCGGCAATGACGGTGTAGACACGCTGAGGGGGATCCAGCTGGGCCCAGGCGTCCTGCGCTGTGCGGAGGACTGCAGGGAGGGAAGGTAGGAGGAGTGGGTTGTAGGGGGTAAAAAAGAAATTCCAAAGTGTGGTATGATAATGATAGTGTGGTTGTAGGGGGTGGGGGTGGGTGAGGGCGGGGGGCCTAGCAGTGGGTTTAGGCTAGCGCGCCTAGGTTGCATTGGGAATGGGCAGGGAGCACCGGGGCTCAAGAGGTGTTCAGGCGGGCAGGGAAGGACTGTTTGGGACTGGGGTAGGGTTAGAGAAATGAGGTACGGGCATGGCGAGCGTGGGGCACGGGACGATATGCGCGAGGCGGGTTAGCGCGGGTGTCAATGGTGAAATGCACGAGGAAGGTACGAAGGGTTAGCGCAAGCCATGGGTGCGCGCACACCACCAGCTCTGCCAGAGTAGCTTATCGCCATGTATTCCATCATACCTTTTTCAAGTGCTACTCCGCTACTGCGCTCGCTCGGCACGATGTCAACATCGCGTTGCTGGTCCCGGTGTGTTTCATCGTGTGTCAACTTTGCTCTTACTTTTACATTGTTACGTAGGTAAGCTGATACCGCTAGAGATCCTGGCTTGCAAATTGTTGTTTTGTGAATCTGCCGAGGGCATGACTGGAAAGCCAACGCAGCGCGCATGGTATCGGTACTTATGTGAGAAAAAAATATTGAAAGCAAACAGCCAGCAGCGGGTGTCATGTGGAACTGGAATCAAGTATGAGGGCCTTGCGTTAACTGAGTTCGTTGCGCGAAGCTGGAACCTCTCATTGACGCACGCACCGCTCCAGACGTGAAAGCTCCAGAATTGTGCTCTGCGAAGTCTTGCACATAAGCGGGTAGTTTTGATCACATCTCTTTTGGGTTTTGGACATCCCGGTTCCCTGTCGTCGACTGAGCTTCAACTGCTACCACGCGACAATGTTGCACGCGTCTCCTCACCTTTGTTCCGTCGGAATCTCCTCGCATCGTCACTCTTCTCCTTATATGCGTCGTCGTGCTTGTCAGGTGGGATTGCTGGGCGCAGGCCCCCAACGCATCGATTGCACGCCATGGATGGATGCCTCGCTACACCCGACGGGAGCGCTTTGCCCTCAGCCAATAATTCATTTACAACAAACATATTGACCCTTCTTCTGCCTCTGTCGTGTCCGAGCGATTAGTCGACGAGTCGCATAGAAACCTACAACACCCACCGCCGGAAACACGTCGCTGCCCGCTGCCCGCTGGTGCCCGCCGCATCCCCGCCAATCCCATACGCCCTCGCAGGCCACCACCACCGCCAGCACACAACACTGGCAGCGAAGCCTCCTTCGGTATCGCACAACGACAACAATAAGCACCAACACCGGCACCACCAGCAGCACTACCGCATGTCGAGCTGCCCCCAAGTTCGACGCACAGCTTCAAGCGCTGTTGGAGGGCGCCATGGCTCGCTCATCTTGCTCCGTGGTAAGTGGTAAGACGGCTAGTTGATAAGGAAAGAAGGCAGCGCCAGACTGCGTGGTAAGGAAGGAAGGTTGCGTGGTAAGTAACCGGCTGGCGACTGCCGGTGCATGTAATGTGCAAGGCATAAGCGCGCGGAGACCTCCAGCGACCCTAATGCTGAAGAATCCGAGGAGGCCAACCAACCGCCAACCGCCATACACGATACACCTGACACATGCGGACGTGCGTGTCCTCCTCACCTCTTCATCCCCCCCTGACCCCCCAGGGCGACCGAGTGGGCATCATCGGTCTCACATTCGCTGAGGAGGGGCGCGGCGAGGGGCGCCCGGAGCTGGAGGCGGGTGAGGGCGGGTGCACTACCCTGTTGCTCTCTGTGCTGCACTCTGAATCCCTGCTGCTGCAAGGCTGCACTGCGATGCACCTTGCATTGCATGGCTACACTGTGCCGCCCTGTGGCGTGCAGCGTTGCATGGCGGATACCGGTAGTGTGTACCACTATGACGACTCTGCACTGCGCGCACATATGCCCTTTCTCCATCCCTGTTGCTCGACGTTACCGCTCCTGTCCTCAACCCTACGGGCTGCGCTTACTGCTGGTGCCTCATTGTCCACTAAAGCCTACGCTCCCTGGAGACATTACCATCGACGTAAAGGTCACACTGATATCTTCTGCTGGACGCCATCATCAGCAGGCCTTCCTACGGTTACGGTCAGTGTTTTCTCGTGGCTCAGTTTGCCTAATCCCCTCCTCCCCCCCGATGCAGCCATCCGCCTGGGCTGCCACCTGCGGGACCGCCTGCACGCGCACATCCGCGGACGCAACGTGCTGGAGCTGGGGAGCGGCATTGGTGGGTGGGAGGTGAAGGGGAGGTGGGGAAGAGGAAGAATCCAGCTGTCGGTAAACGCGTGACAAGCCGGCAGGTTGCATGGGTGGGAGGCGGGGTGGCGGGTACACGACTTACCGTAGGAGCCAACGAAGGTAGCTTGGCGACAACTAAACGCCACCAAAACCCGAAGGGGCCGCAACTGCTGCGCAGCGTAGGTCATACCCCGGCTAGGGCGCTTGCGCTACACTCAACACACATGCATGCAGGAATGAGGAGACGTGGGTCGCTTCAGCACGTGCTGAGGAGGTGGGGGTGGAAGATGGCCTTGCATGTGCGCGACAGCGCTGCCTTAGACGGCTTACAGCGCGCGGCAACACGCATTACTGCAACACACGGACGAATGCATGGCAACACACTGTTCACAGAATAGCAGTTCAATAATTAATAGTATGGTCATTTCCCCACGCCCCCACATACCTCCTAACCTTCACAACTGCCCGTGGCCCCCACCCCGCCCCTCCCCGCCCCAGGTGTTGCCGGCCTGACCGCTGCTGCCTTCGGCGCGCACGTCTGCCTGACCGACCTGCCTGCGGTGCTGCCGCTGGCCGCCCGCAACGCGGGTCGCAATGCGGACCTGGTGGCGGGGGCGGGCGGCGCGGTGCGGCTGGCGGAGCTGGACTGGGGGGCCGCGGCGGCGGGGCGGGGGAGCGGGGCACAGCTGCTGGAGGGGCCCTGGGAGTATGTCATCGGTGGGTGGGGCGGGAAGGGAAGGGAAGGGATGAGGTGAGCTGGGGTAGGTTAAATCCATCCCTTCTCCATTCCGCTCAGTTCCCCCTTCTATCTCCACTCCTCCCTTCCCTGTCTCCGGCCCGGTGTACCGAACGACCTGTTCCCTCACCCCACCCTCCCTTGGGAACGCATGGTGTCCTTTTTCCTCCCATTCCCCTGCCGCTCCTTCCTTCCCAGCGTCCCTCAAACCCACACTCAGGACCGGGAGGATTGCGCTTGATCCCCTCATTGCGCTCACACTTACAAGCACGCGTCTATCAAGCCATTGGCGTCAGGAGACAAAAGCCTTACTTCTCTTCCCCTTTTCACTCATTAATACCCTGCCTCAGGATCCGACCTAGTGTACGACGAGTCCTCCCCGGCCGCCCTGGCGCCCCTGCTAGCCCGCCTGCTGAGCAGCTCCTCCCCTTACGCCTCCTCCTCGGCATCAGCATCGGTATCAGCCCCCCGGACCGACCCACGGGTCTTGCTGGCCCATGTGCACCGCTCAGCCCAGCTAGACGAGCTAATGACGCGGGAATTCGCGGCGCAGGGGCTGGAGATACGGCTGGTGGAGGGAGGGGAGGGGGATGCGGGGAGTGGTGGTGGTGGGATGCTGGTGGGAGAGGGGGAGGAGGGGCTGGAGATTAGCATTATCACGGTGAAGAAAGCGGGAAGCGATTGAGGGCGCGCTTGATGGGTGTCTTGGGATGATTGGGTATGAGTGAAGGTCTTAGTGATGGGTGTGGGTGCCAGCTAGCGTGGAGATGACCGACAGCAACGGCGCCTGAACGTTACTCGAAGATCCGGAGGAGGAGGAAAGGGGAGCTTCTAGCCGTGACGCTGCAGGTTTGGCAGTCCAAGCGAGGTGCATATGCGCAACTAGTCCCCCAGCTGCTGGAAGTATCACGTAATAAACGTAGTAAGCGTTACTTTAGATTCCGCTGTGATTAATTCTTCTTCGGGTTATGGTGACGGTTGGAGCGGTTCTGCTAGTATCCCGCGACCCACCATCGGCCTCACGTCAGCAAGGCTTGCAGGGGGTTGGATAGGGTACTTGCCTAGACTTCGAGAGCAGTTAAGCGCTGAGCCGCCCACGTCTCTTATATCTCTTTCGCCTTTTACTAAAGAGATCAGCGAGTGCGGCTCACGAAGGCGCATATCACCAATATTTGCAAGGCTTTTGCCTTCCCCAATAAACCGGTAATGAAATCATGTATAGCCCAAAAACGAAATTTAGCAAGACGTCTCCAGAATCCACCCCTGAGGTAATGTATGCAGCCTCAATTCCCTTTCTCCTTGTCCTTCTTAATGAAACCCCCAGCATAAGGCCACCCTCAGTGGAGTACTAGATAGGTATGGGATGGAAGAGCTGCGGCAGGCAGTAGCACGTATCAGGCGACCGAAATGCACAGCATCAACACCGGGCATCCAAGGCATTGTATTCGTCTCAAACAGTCGGTGTCGCCTGGCACTAGGTGGGGAAATAATGGGTGAGGCGCATCCAGACTTCTGAAGGTGGACGGATGGGTGGATGTTTATACGCTTGTTTTGGTTGCTGAGACTCCCTTCTAGTCCCGCTCTCAGAGTTCAGATAGAGTTTTTGTCAACTTAGTATCCGGCCGTCTTGCTCCTGCCAGCAAGCAAGGGTGTACGTCATAGACGGTGTACGTGCGTCTGGAAGGTTGGTTAAGTTCCTCTCGAGCGCAAGAGCAAGTCGACTTGATGTTGTAGGCATTCTTATTATAGGTTCAAAAATGTTGAAGGTTAGCTTATTGCACCTTACACTTTTAGCGCTCGTCGCCGTCGCGTCCGCTCAGTTCGGAGGCCAAAAACGACCGAAGCCAAAAGCTCCTGTCAATAAAGGCGATCTTAAGTTCATCAGATGCCAGGTTTGCGATGCTATGGCGAAGCAGGCGCGGAATGTAGTGAAGGAGCTTAGCCATGCTGCCGGCGCTAAAAAGGTATGGGCTCCGTATAACTAGCTTTCATATTACTGCCCTAAGCATCCTCATATGATGGTATCTGTAGGTCGCTGAGGCCGACATTCTAGAGCGGGTTGAGAAAATGTGCGACCCCGATCAAGATGCGGGCGACTGGATCACCCGATACGATATTGTAGAGCAGGACACAACCCTTCAGCTTAAAGATACCGGCAGGGTAGGTATGGTTATGCTTTCTGTCGAGCCCGACCTGGAGCTAACACTGCCAGCACCGCTCCATCCACCCCCAATGTCACCGGCCCCGTTCAACGCAGCTCGGCAAGTGTCAGTCGGAGTGTCGTACCATAGCACGCGCATGCGAGCAGATTTCCGAGGACGTCGACTTGACGGATCTGAGTGCCATGCTGTATAAGGGCAAGAAGCGTGCCGCCGTGTCAAACTGGATGTGTTATGATGCTACCGACGCCTGCACCAAGAAGCCTCCACCCGTCCCCAAGGTTCGTGTTCTAAATAATTCACACCTAATTTATTGCATACGTCCTTCCTAGCGGGGTATCCCTATCCATTGGTAGAACTATTGGGCATGAAACGCCTCCTGGTAACGCTTATGTCACCGTGTAGGTCTGTCACCGCACACTCGTTCGTACACACCCGGCACCAGGGCCCGTTCACACGTACGGTATCCTCACATCCTCATGTCCTCAAACACGGCCAACCCGTTGAAATGGCTGGAATGCAGCGAGCGACGCTAGCAACTTGCCCACATGGAAGCCTGCTGCCCGCGGCGCTTCCAAACGCGTGCCTGTCCCTGCGCATACCCCAGTACCCCTCACAGCGCCCCACACCCCCACACCCCCACACCCCCACACCCCCACACCCCCACACCCCCACACCCCCACACCCACACATCCACACACCCACACACCCACACACCCACACCTCCCCAGGACCGCCCCGCCGGCGAGGCCCACGTGCCGCTGAGCGAGGAGGAGGTGCGCAACGCGCGCATGCTGCGAGACATGGCCTCCGCGGGGCTCAGCGGCAGCCTGTACAGCCGGGAGAGCATGATGGAGGAGCTGGCGGAGCTGCGGGAGGAGTACGGAGATGACCCGGACTTTAACAAGATCTTGAAGGGTAAGGAAGCGGGGGGACAGGGAAGCACGGAAGCATAAGAGCTCCGTTCGCATCTCCACTCTCCACTCCTGGACCCCCTCCCAACTACCGGTAACGCAACCCCGCCCTCGCCTCCCCGTGCTGCCCCCCCGCCCGTCCTCCATCAGAAACCGGCATGAGCGAGCACGTGCCCCCCCGACCTCCTTCCGATGGAGAGGGCGAGGGACCCGCTAGCGGCAGCAGCGGAGGCGCTTCCTCCTCTTCCACAGCCGCGGCATCCGCGCTGCAGGAGCGTGTGGCTCAGGCGGCGGAAGTGGTAAAGGAGGGGGCGGCGAAGGCAGCTGAGGCTGTGAAGGAGGGGGCGGTGCGGGTTGCGGAGGGTGCGAAGAGCTTTGTGGGGAAGCTGCTTGGAGGAGGTGCAGGTGATGGTAGCGGGGGCAAGAGGGAGCAGCAGGAGCTGTGAGGTGTGAGGTGTGAGGTGAGGGGGAGTGGCTTGGTGCGGGAGGGAGCCGAAGAGATGAATAACGTTGGCGTTGAGTTCGTTGATGTGCTCTCCGGGGGGGGGGGGTGAGAGGAGTGCAATGTGGTGATGAGCGCGGTCGTGGGTGAGGTTGAGAGAACATGGTGTAGCAGCTTTGTGCACAAGTATGCGGCAAGCTTGCTTGCAGAGCAAGAGCGCGCAGGGTGTGTCACGGAGGACGGCAGGGCTGTGGGGAAGTACGGGCAGGCATAATCGACGGATATCGGGATATGCATTGATGGATTGAGTTGGGTTTGCAGTGTGTCAGCAGGTGCAGGAAGGATGCTGGTTGGGAAGGATTGAATACTCGGACTTGATCTACAGGATCATATTGGACGCGGGGGGACAGGTGTTTTCGTTTTCAGCTGTTTCGCCGGCAGGGTTGGCTTGGGAAAGGAAGGGTATTCATGACGATGTAAGTTGCTATGCTGGCGGGACGTGCCACGGACCCTGCCGCAACAACCCCAGGGTTTGCTGGAAGTGTGATATGCGTGGTCTCTGCTCTCTGGTACGTGCAGTACGGCACAAGTTTCGTCATGGCCGACACTTTGATGTAACAAATTCTCCTTCGTGTTCTCAGAGACCAGGTAACTAATTTCACCTCAACGTTGGCTGCCAGGCAACCATCTTCACTGGACGTTGCTCAGATACTGCCTCAGTACCCAGCACAGACCGCCTACGAAAGTCACAATATAATTGACGATTGCATCGCAAAGATTATATACACCATTGCTTCAGTCTTGAAGTTGTGAGCCTTACCGCGGATCGAAACCTATTTTGTATACCGTGCACCTTGAAAGGAGGTGCGCTTAGCTTGATCTGTATATCCAGAGAGGCGTCAAAAGAAGTCTTTGTCTGCTAAGGTGACAGCTTGAGCAAGGAAATGGCGGATGCTGGTGTCCAGGTTGGCGTGACAAAGGTATGCCGCAAGGCGTTCTGTATTGCTTCTTATGCATATGTTTGGAAAGTAGGGGTGGTGTGCTTTATTGACGGGAAGCTGTTCGGTGAGGCCTTCTTCCTTTGGTTTGCCTGCGCTAATTGCGCGGTGTGCTCCGCAGACGCCGGCCGAGTTCCTGAAAGCCATTAAGGGCAAGCCCGTCGTGGTGAAGCTCAATTCCGGCGTGGACTATCGAGGTACGGACGATGTTTCCGACCGGCTCCCCACCCCCAGCTCCCTAGTCCCCACATGCCCCGTTCCGTCTGCCCCATGCCTCAACCACGAGCCCTGAGGATGGGATTCTGGGCCGTTTTCAGGGCGCCCATCTCTTACTTGAAAACGGCCGTTAGCATACTCCATGACCTTCGTGTTGCCCGCTGCACCCTGACCTTTCGTGATTAGTATAGCAGTGCTGTACATGCGCTATCTGCACTACCTCTACCGCTGCATGCATGGCTCATTACCCACCTCACCCCACCAAGCCGCCCCCCCCCATTCCCCCACGCTGTCGTACTCAGGCATCCTGGCCTGCCTGGATGGCTACATGAACATTGCCATGGAGCAAACCGAGGTACGGCATGAGGGTGGGGGACGGTGATGAGAGGGGGCGGGATGGGAGGGGCGGGCGTATTTCGGGGGGGTCCTGCGTGTCAGGTGTCGCCCGCATGCAGTAGCCCGCATAGGTAGCCGTGCAGCAGCTTTCGCCGGCTGCAGTAGCGGCGCAGGGCTGCTGTTGGGGAGTGCCGCTGCCTGGGCTCGTGGAGGAGTATCAGCAGCCCGGGGCAGGTGGGGCTGCGAGGTGTGGCGCAGCCGCTGCCCTCCGTTGCGTGTTGGGTCTGCAGTGAAGGGTCAGCAGTGAAGCGTCACAAAGGTTCATTCGCCAGGTCGCAGCAGCAGCAGCAGGGCACCAAGCAGGGCAGCAGACAGCACAGGTCCCTGGTTCGATCAGCCTGCTAGCACGGGCTCCAGCCCCGAGGCCCTGAGCTCCTCTTGGGCGGGAGGGACCCGAGAGAGGGGTCTCTTAAAGGGGAGGGGAAGGGGGTTCAACGGCGGAGGGCCCTTGCGGGGGTCTCCTGCCATCAGCGGGCCGGTTGCGGCGGCGTCGCCTGCCCGTGCGGGCATGAAGGAGCGAGTCTCTGCGCGGTTGTCCCAGGCATCCGTGAAGGTGTTAAAGTGTTTTACTTAGGACCCCTTTTGTTCTGCCGTTGCTGTCTCCTCTGCCGCCCACTATCTCAGGAGTACGTGAACGGGCAGCTGAAGAACAAGTACGGAGACGCCTTCATCCGAGGGAACAACGGTGAGTGACGGAGTGTCCACCATGTACCCTGCATGTGCGCCCGCATCTACTTGCTGTCCCTGCACTGCTGCGGGCCGACGGGCCGAGAGCAGTTGGTCACGAGGACTAGGATGGAGGTGGAGATAACCTCAGCAGGGTGATTGGCTGTTCCCGTTATGAGCTTACGGCTCCCTTGTGTTGCCCAGCCTTGCTGAGGTAGCGGTGGCCACTGAGGCTGGGGGTTGGGGCTGAATGCCCGCCCCTTCATCCTGCCCTGCCCCCTTCTCTTTCTCCTCCCACTTTCCGTCTTCTCGCCCCGCCCCTCGCCCCACCCCCGCTGCAGTGCTGTACATCAGTGCGCTTAACAAGTCATCCTAACAAGGTGGCGACCAGGATGCACCCTAGGCGGGCAGATGGATCCCAGGAGTAGCTCGGGGAAGAAGAGGGGATCAGGCCCGAGTGTGAGATGAGAAGGGTGACGCAGACGGATCACAGCCCTTAACAATGTGGCGACGGGTTCGGCAGGGCGCTCGGAGGAGCAGCTTTCGAATTGTTCTGTGTAAAAGAGAATGAGCCCGCTGCTGGGCCATGCATGTATGGGCGTTGTGGGGAGAGGAGAGCCGTTACGGCTGCCGCTGCAGTACAGCTGCGGTACCGTGGACTAGCGCAGTAGGGAACATGGAGGATGGCGGAACGGATAGAAGCATATGTTGGGGAAATAGAGGCTCTGGCTAGCCACCTTCTCGCCGTGTATGGAGGACCCACATGTCATTCGTCTATCAGGAACACCGGCACAGGGGCCCCAAGCGGCGGCTCGTAGGAGATCCTGATCCGGACAAACTTGGTTTCCTAGTGTGTCCTTGGCCCCCCTGGCTGGCTTGTACGGACACACTGTACACGCTTACAGACTTGCAACTATAACTGATTAAATCTTCTTTCACACGATCTGTTAACCGTTATCTCATGTACGACGTCCTACGCAAACCAACTGCCGCGGTGTACGACCCATCAGGCAGCGAATCACCGCAGCGCCCATACCGTACTGCTGCTACCCTCCCCACACTGCTCCCCCGGGCAAAGAGCTTTAGTAACGTACGCAGGCCACCACAATTCCTGCCTGCAAGCAATTCCACCTGCATGCACCTCATACCCCGGTAAGCCCCAACGGAATGCAGCTTTGGCGCTGTAAAAGGGACATGCGGCGTTGGCACCACTTCCCTCCGCAAGTGTTGAAGCCGCAAGCCAACCAAGGAAACTCTCATGCACCAGCTCTGGAAGCAGCCCCCGTCAACATCTCTCTGGCATCATCCTGCGCAATGTATTTCGCAGCCAACGGCTTCACAACATCTAATGGCTCAAAACGGATATATTGGTGGCAGTACCAGCTACGGTACGGTAGAGTCGTACAACAACAGGGGCCTTATACAACTCCATGAGCGTATCCAATAGTGGTATGCATAACGGCAGGCAGGGTAGGCACACGCACCCGCTGCTGTGCGAAAGAATAAACATGCTTGATGTGCATGCTTGAGTACGGCAACACGAGTAGGTACGAGCAAAAACGTGCGGGGGACAAGGACCTTCCTAATTGTCAGCATATCCGCACCACAACCAGAAACCGTTGCCAAATGCTTGCAAGTTGGTTAGCTCGGCCAATGTCAATACTAATGTGTGCTAACCGCCAAGCCTGCCATATCATGTATGCGTGGTTCAAGTCAAAGGGGGGCACAGGCAGGAACGTACCCACGTAAGCAAGCTGAAATGTGGCCATGCTCCCGTACACGGGCAGGTTGTAGCTTGCTTGGGAAGCTGTCATTCCGCCGCAGCCCCTTGCTTGTTCGTAACGATGCATTCGTCATTGTATAAAAGGAAAAAACAATGGAGGGGGACTACCCTCGGGCCAATACAACAATCAGGCACATAGCGCTGTCAAACACGCCACGTGAGCAAGGAAGGAACATGCAGCTACATGCAAAAGTCATGCAACCGCCTGCCCGGCAGTAAAACCACGTGTGGTGCAGGTGACAACCCGAACCAGCAAAGTGTACCACTTTTCGAGTTAACTTGTACAGGCTGCTTCTATACACCATGCTCCACACGAGACACGCCTTCCCTGGACGTAGCATATTGCATAACCCACGACTCACGTGTCTACCCCTCATCACTGCATGCACACATGAATGGCATGATGCATCACATGCGAGCACACTGCCCGGCTGCACCCTCATTCCCTTCCTGCCCAGACTCGCTCTCATCCCTCCCAACACGCCCTCCCATCCGTCACTCCCCACCTCCTGGCCGCTTCCGCTGGCCGGCGCCGCTCGGCCCGCTGCCACCCGCCCCTCCCTCTCCTCCCCACCCTCCCGCCTGCCCTCCCTCTTCCGCCCCGTCAACCTGCATGTCGCCTCCCCCTCCTCCTCCCCCTCCTGCTGCTCCCCCCAGCCCCAGCCCCCCCAGCCGAGCTGCCAGAGCCTCCGCATGGTTCTTCAGATCGACAGCCTTCTTCCATTTTGAGCACGGGGCGGGGCGGAGGGCGGGGTCGGGCCATACCTGGGACGAAGGGCAAGACAAGCGGGACGGGGGGAGCGTTTGTTCAGTCCCACAGGTCACCCAAACTTGACTGTACGGCGGGGTGGGTGAACGTCAGCAAACAAAGGTTGGGCACGTTGGGCAAAGTTCTGACGCCCTCAGTCAGCTGCTTCCGTACCTGCTCCAAGGCCCGCTGCAGCACCTGCACACCCCCGTGATCTCGATAGTAGCGGTTGAAGGGCGTCGGGTCGGATAGGATAGCCTGCGAGCAACAGGAACCAGCAAACCATATACACACATGCATGGTCACCGGGACATACACATTACATATACACATGGTAACGACGGCGGTGCCGGTACCACGCACGCAGCCGCATACACACATACAAGGGTTCCGCTTGAACACCTCAACGCACCCCTCACCACGCCCGGTCCCTCGAACCCTGCATGCACGGTCTCTCCGCATGCCGCCATGCTGCCCGTGCTGCCGGTGCTGCCCATGTTGCCCATGCATGATGCACTTCCCTCATCGTTCCCCACCGCCCAGCAGCATCCCCCACAGCGCCGCTATGCGTGTCCACCGGACCCCCCTCACACACACACCCGCGGCCAGTTTTCTAAACACACACCCGCTGCACTTACCCCTTTCTCACTCCACACCCCTCCCTCCCTCCCATCTCACCTCCCGGGACCCCTCCTCCCTCAGCAGCCCCAGCCGCTCCGCCGCCCTGAGGTAGGCCACCGCCTCCTCCACCGCCCCGCAGCGGCAGGCGGTGTGCAGCGGCAGCCAGCCGTCCTTGGTGGCCGCCAGCAGCGAGGCCGCGTCGGCGCGCGGCAGCAGCCAGTGCAGCACGACAAGGAGGTGGTGCCTAAGGAGGGTAGACAGGCAGACAGGCAGGTTGGTGGGGATAATGAGATGACGGGATGGAGGGTAATGACACACATGACCCTACTTCCGGTTCGACCCCGCCACCCCGCTGCCCCATCTTGATTGCCATCCTCATTCAACACGTTGGGTAGCCTTCTCTCCCCCGCCTTCCACCCCCACTCCCCCGCACCTGCATGCGGTGTGCAGTGGCGTGTCCAGCGACTGCGTATCCTTCTGCAGCATAAAGGCCTTGAGCGACCCACATGCGCCCCCACTGCTGCTGCTGCTGCCGCCTCCACCGCCCCCTCCACCACCCCAGTCCCCTGCACCCGCCTGCTGCTCCCCGCCAGCTACCCCCGGCCGCTGCAGCAGCAGCCGGCTCTCCAGCTCCCCAAACAACGCCAGCACCTTGCCCTGCAACACCTCCGACTGCCGCTGAGCCGCCTCATCCGCCTCCTTTTTCGCTTTGGCTGCCTGCGCCACCGCTGCGGCAAATGCATCCGCTGCAGAGCTGCTGTCGGCTGCTGCTGCCGCCTTGAAGGCTGCTTCAGCCGCTGCCGCGGCCACTTTCGCCTGCTGCGCCTGGAACGACTGCAGGCGTGTGATGGCCTCATGCAGGACAATGTTGAGCAGGCCGAAGCCGCGGTCATGGCCGTCCCGCAGGGCTAGAAGGCGCATGGGGGCGTTGCGGCCGTCGGCGGCTCGCATGGCCTGGGCAGCGTGCGCCCCGGGTGAGAGGGCGGGGTTAGGAGGGGGCGGGGTTAGGCATACGGTCATACACAGGAGGAGGGAGGGCGATCAAAGGGTAGGTAGGGGGTAGGTAGCTAGGTACAGGCCCAATCCTGGTTCGCCGTTCACCCCTTCAAGCTGCCTGCGCCTCATGCAGACAGAGCCGCCATTTGACATGTGTCAACCCCGCAACACCCATCGCACCGCCTGCCCAACTCGAGCAAGCAGCTCCCAACGCTAGCTCCTCCTTGACCCCCGCGCACCTTATCCAAGAACACTTTCCAGTGCTCCAAATCGGAGTCCGGATCTGACGTGGCATCCAAGAACCAGCCAATGAGGGTCACCGCTTTCACGACGTCTTCCTGCGCTGGTGTCCTTTGCAGCGGCGCTTGCGCCTGCCGCCCCGGCGGACATGCCGCACCACCACTACCAGCAACACCAGCAGCAGCAACACGGCCACCAGCAGCAGTAGCTCCACCGTAGTTGGCTGCTGCTGCAACCGGCTCGCCACCCGCCTCGGCCCTGCAACTGCTGCCTCCCACTCCGCCTGCTCCCGCCGCCTCCTGCAGCACTGCTGCTGCTGTTGCGGCCCCAGATGTCGAATCCCTGCTGGCCCCTGAACCCCCGCTACCGCCACTTGCTTCCCCCAAGGCACTGCCGCTGCCCATGCCATTAGCACCGCCACCGCCTCCTCCTCCTCCTCCCACCTCTCCAGCGGGAGAACACAGAACGCCACCACCACCACCTCCACCTCCACCACCAGCAGTGGCGTCGCCGCTACCAATGCTTACTGCGGTGCTGCTGATTCCGCTGCCAAGTCCGGCAACTTGCGACGCCCCACCGCCATCATCGCCGCCACTGCCATGGCTTCTGCTGCTGCTGGGGCTGCCAGCAGCAGCAGCAGCAGCAGGGGCACCCCCTGCAGCAGCGGCGGCAGTAGCCGTGTGCTGCCGCCCGCCGGGTCGGTCTGCCCCAGCAGTAGCAGCATCAAGGGTGATAGGAGCCGCCGCAGCAGCAGCAGGCGCTGCGGTGTTGCGGGTTCTGCCCTTGCTCTTGCCCTTGCCCTCGCTCTTGCCCTCGCCCTTGCGGGCACTGGGCGACAGCACCGTGTACCTGGAGTCATTGCGTCGTGACGACAGGGAAGCAGCGGCGGGGACGGCGGGGTGAGACAAGGGCGGGTGAGACAAGAGCTGAAGGAGCAAGACCACCAGTTAAAATTGGCCACCCTTGGTCAGTGTTTCCTCGCATCTCAGCAGTCAAGCAGGCCCAACCGCAGCACCCTCAGCAGCCCCCCGAGGCGCATGCCGCAGCACCCTTCAGTTAGCATGCCTGAGGCGCCAACCTACATGCCGCGGCAGCCAAGCCCCACTCCTCATGGTACCGGTATTCCTGTCCCTCCTCCACACCCCCATCCCCCCCCCATGCACAATGACGTCCACCTGCGTGGACCCACCAAGCGGGCCACGTCTTGGCGAACTGTATCGTGACCTCCTCATCCTTCTTGCTTTCATCCTTCTTGCTCTTCCGCTGAAACGGGATCTGCCACCGCTCTTCGCCCGTGTCGCCGACTTTCACCTCCTGCCGATTCCTCTGCTGCCTGTGTGCCTGCCCAGCTGCCTCCACCCCAACACACTCCGCCAAGAACTCCTTGCGAACGGTGTGAACTGGGTGTTTCTCTTTCCGGCAATTATTGTTTGTAACGTCATGATGTAGCAGACAGTGGTCCAGGGTTTGGGTAACAAGGTACCAGCCCTGCGTCATGCTTTCGTCCTTGCCGACGTTGACTGCCCTCACTGCTGATCCACCCTCCCCAGCCGTCTGCAGAAACTCAAGGCGGCGCAACTCCGACTTAGTGAAGCCGCCGTTCTGCGTCAAATAGGTCGTTCCATACAACGTTTCAGGCCCGATGAACTGGTAGGGCTGGGCCGCTGCATCCATGGCTGAAGCACTGCTAGCAGCGGCAGCAGCAGTCACAGCGGCATTGCTGCTGCCATTGGCGCTGCCGGTGCCGCCTTGGAAGCGCGCCCGCAGTCCCTCGTGTGGCAGGCGCGCATGCACCGCAATGCGCTTAGCTGGGGCTGCAGCCACACCGGGGCCGCTGCCTCCGCCTCCGCCACCCTGCCGCAGCCTGCCGGGCGCCAGGATGTCATTGGCGCTTGTCATAACTGGGGAGACAGCGGTCTCAGGTGCGAGCCCTGGGAGGGAGGGTGGGCTTCGTGCCCACTGGCTCCACGTCTTGTAGGGGTCGTAGCCCTCTTCGCCTGCAGCAAGCAGGTGCTGATAGCACAGCTCCTCGTAGAGTCTCCACATCATGTGGGCCTTGTCAAGCCGGCCGCAGCCACCCCGACCAGCGGAGGCGACAGCGGGCAACTGCTCAGCAGCTGCTTCCCGATCAGGAACAGATGCTCCGGAGCCAGCAGCAGCAGCAGCAGCAGCGTTCCATGCCATCCCGCCTGCTGCCTGCTGCTGTTGCTGCTGCTGCGTCCAGGCGGGCTCTGAGGAGCTGCCCGCCGCCAACCCAACAGGAGCCGCAAAAACAATTTGAGCTGCTGCCGCTGCTACTGATGCTGGTTGCGGAGGCGCCTGATGAGGCACATGGGTGAACGCCGCTGGCGGCACAAGCAACGCTGGCGCTGAACCGGGCGGTTGGAGAATGCCAGCAGCATCCAAGGCCGCTGTTAAGTGCGTTGTTAAGGCGGTGAACTGGTCGTCCCCAACCTGGCTGATAGGCCCAAAAGCCGCCAGGGCTGATGGGTTGCCAGTGCCCCCAAACCCTGTCGCCGCAACCAGCATATCACCTGTGGCTAACCCACCAGTTGCAGCACCCTGCAGCGGTCGATAGCTGGAGCAGTCAACAGCCAGGGCTTCCGCACCGTACATGGTGTTGGCTGCAGCTGATATGGTTGCGGCCATGGCGCTTTCCTCAGTCGGCTGAGAAAGGCCATTGTGCCGCTGCTGCTGTTCTGTATGCTGCGAGTGAAGATGGTATTCGTCTCCGGCACCGGGGAGCGATTGCGGGTACTGCTGGTAGTGGTGTTGCTGCTCCTGTGGTTCGGCAACTTCCGCGGAGTCGCCCTGGTCACCACGGTTCTCTGCGCATCAGCGGGCCAGTATTAGAAACCGTCCATACTATGTCCTTTGCTATAAGTAAGAGATCTAAACCGGCCGTGCAAGTGCGCATGCGATTCTACCGCATAGTTGTTGCTCCCTGGACTTCATACGGTAACCTACCTTGCTGGGAATCGTCATTAAATAAGGAGCAAATCCACCTATAATTTTCTTCGCCTCCGTCGGAAGGAGAATCGACATTGCCCATTCTCACATCCAAGGTTGACGGATTGGACAGCAACAGGAGTTCAAACGACACTGTAGAAGTTCGCCACAATAACGCCTAGTCACTAGCCGGAACATGAACATGCGCAGAAGGCAGGTTAGCGCACGTTCTGGAGCCAACGTTGTACTTTGTAGCCCATGCGAAGCAGTTAATCGCCCCCATCAGGAGGTAGCGGAGAAACCTACGATATGCTAAGCTTTTACAGGAGGTTAAGACAGCCGGTACCCACGTGACGGTTGGGGCTTCGAGGTTTCGGAGTGTCGGCATCTGGATCTATGGATCACAGTTCGCATAGCGAGCTGGGCAGGAAACCCAAACTAATTGCCAACAATGGCCGGTGGTGGTGGGGGCACGGTTGCTGCTGCTCTTGCTGATGCTCCTGTGGTCCGGCACCAGGGGGTGGTCTACTGCTGCCATCGTCCGCGAAGTCCTCCTGGTTGCCAGAGCTGTCTGCTTCGCGCGACAGCGGACTAGTATCAGCAATTATACAAATTCTGTCCTTTTCTACAGGTAAGTTCTAAACCAGGCGTGCAGGTGTGCGTGCGATTCTGCCTTCCATTTGTCGGTAACTGGACTTCACAACCTATCCTGTAGGGAGTCGTCTTTCAAGACGTCTAAGATCATTTTGTTAACTTCCTCGTCTGAAGGTAGAGCGGCATTGCCCATTCTCACACCCAAGGTTGCAAATCGGACAGCAAATTGTTGCGAACCGGGATCCTAGGATTTCACCAAAAATATGCTTACCATAGAACTCGGTTTCAGACGTAGGGGACAGGAACATGCGCAGGAGACAGGACAGCTCGACAGGTCTTGGAGCCAATGTTGTACACTGAAACCCCATGCGGTGCAGGCCTCGCCTACATCGTGCGGTGACTGGCATAAGGCCCCACCACCCTCCACCAGAGAGCGCCGATGCAAGCTTACCTTCTCCTTCGCTTTAAAAATACTACGATACTACCAACCGCAACTCCGTACAACGCCCCCAGCTCCTCTGCTGTCGTACGCTCACCCGCGCCGTCAAACCCGCAACTCCCGTCATCCCCACAATTCAAGCAACACCACGCCTCAACAAGCTGAGCTGTGCTGCGCACCACTCCCCCTGCCGTCCATGTCCGCCTCCTGCTGTCGCTGCTTCTCCCGCTCTTCCCGGGCACAACCCTCCCTTGACTCGCCACACACTGCCGGACTGCATCCACCCCCGCCACCACAAGCCAGTCGGGCCTCGGGATTGGACTCCAGTGCTTTACTTCTACGTCTTTGCCTCCATAACCCACCCTCCCTGCCATCGTGTATTCTTCTTTTCCCCCACTGCCTCCCACCAAAACCAGGACCAACAAGTAACACCGCACAGTCATACGTCCAGCCCGCCCTTCCGTCTCCCTCGCCTCACACCGCCCCCCTACCCTCCCCCGCCGGCCCCCCTGCCGCCGCCCCCCCGCTCTCCCCTCCCCCGCCGGGCGCCAGCGTATCCATTGCCGCCGCCGCTCCCCCCTCCGGCAGCGGCACCCCTCCAGCCCCCTCCCCCTTCCCCTCCCCCTCGTCTTCTCCGCCCTCCCCCTGCTCCAGGGGCTTCTTGAACTCCCGCTGCTGCATGACGCACTGCCAGGCGCTGCCTGTGTGCCAGGGGTGGTCGGCGGCGGGGTGGGGCGGTGCGGAGGGGGCCATGTGACGTCGCCGGTGCCGCACCTTGGTGGGGGGGAGGAGAGGAGGGGAGGTGAAAGAATGGATGGGAAGTGAAGCAACTGGAATCCCAGGGGGGAGGGGAGGGGCGCGGGAAGGGGAGAAGGGAGGTTGGAGGAGGGAAAGGGGTCGTGGGCGGACCCACGGGCGAGTGTGGACGTGATGGGCGGGAGGGCAGCGCAGGTCGTTTTGAAGTTCGGAAAGGGGGATGCGGAGGTTGGAGGCAGCAGGATGAAGGCAGGAGGAGGAGGCGTAGCACCTCTCCGCCCCAGAGTCCCTCCCTCCCTCCCCCTCCACCTGGCCGCTCGTCAGTTTTTCCTTATCTTTACCCACCTGGCCGCTCTCCACCCCGATCTCCGCATCCCTGGCCGCCAGCACCCCCGGCGGCAGCTGTCCGTCCGCCGTGTAGGCCATCATGAGCTGCGGGGGACCCAGTGGCAGCGGGTCGCCGCGGTCTACCTGGGGGGGGGAGGGGGGAGGGGAGGGAGGGGAGGGGGGAAGCGTGTGTGTATTGGCACGGTGCGTCTGTGTACGTTGTATATTCCCCTCCCGCGCCCCCCCTACCTGCCACGTATGCCACGTCTTGCCGTACGTGTTGATCACCTGGCGCATGTCCGCATCCTCCGCGGGGGCGGGCACCCCGGGGGCAACCAGCATACCCGACTTGACCTGCAGCCGGGGGGAAACAAACGAAAAGTGAAGCGAAATAAAAGTGAAAAGCAAAAGGAAAGCAATGGAGTCCCAATCCTGGAGCAGGGGGGTGCCGGCGGTCGGGGGACGGGGGGCAGCATGGACGAGAGCACGGCAGCGGAGAGCTCCCAGCGGCCCCACATCGCGTCTCGGCTGACTAACCCCCACCTCGTATACATGGCTGTGCCAGTACTTGCGTTCCTCCTCGGGTAGGGCCTGGTGGCATGGGGGGATGAAGGAGGTTGGGCGAGGAGAGATGGCAGGGTTAAAAACAGAGGCTAACGCCCAAGTGTTGCAACAAAACACGCACTGACAGTTTTCTTAGCACACTGACGTGCAATCCATCGTAACCCTGCGCCCCTGCACGCAGCACGGCAGTACGACAACCCTTCTTTCCGTACGACCACCACCACCCGCTGTCGTACGCACCTCGAAGAGTTTACGTGATATGATGTATTCGATTCCGATCAAGCGGGCGTTGGGTTCGTTGCTGTCGTACAAAACACACTGTTTGTCGTACACACAGGTACCGGTATGCACGCGCACGCAGGGGGCGTTTAGGAAAGGTTGGGATTTGCCGTACGGTCTGGCGTAGTGGTGGCAGCATACAGCACATATAGCGGGGGCAAGGCACGGGTGTGTATGAGCGGATGTACGTACGTGCGTGCATGCCGGATATGCATGCAGGTGGAGTAGACGGAGGTCTCTGCGCTCCCCCCTCCCTCTCTTCTCCTGTCTTACTCAAGCCGTATTCTAGTCATGCCCGTACATCCGCGGCTCAGTTTGTCTCATCCCGCACATGCAACCGCCTCCCATCTTAAACCCTCCCTACCACCTCCACACCGCTCCGCCTCCTCTCCCTACTGCCTTGCCCTAACGCCCACCGGAGTCGCTTCACCTCTCATATATTCCCCCCACCCCTCCCCTCCCCACCCCACCTGCCGCATGTCCTCGCTGCGATGTGCGCAGTAGTGGTGCGCCTTCACGGGCCGCGTGGCGTCGTGGGAGTACCTGCGGGGGATCAAAGACCATACCGAACCATAGGAAGCCACACGGGGGGGCGGGGAAGCTTGGTAGGGAAAGGGCGGGGAAGTGGGCAGGGTGTGGAGGTGGGGGAATGGGACGACGGGATACGAATACGGTACCGTTACACATGGCGGCGGGAAGGCGGTAAGGGTGGCCACGGTAGCTCCTCCTTCCAGCGTTCAGCATCCCCCTCCCCCCCACCTCCCCTCACCCTTCATCCCACTTCAACATCTGGGACGCCACCACCCCGGTCAGGGTCATTGTTGCAGCGGCCCAGTTTATCTTCTCCCCCCACGCTAATTTACTTTACCCCTCCCCTCCACCCCTGCTCCCCCCCCATATTGCTTTGCCCTAACCTGTGGTCTCCTATGCTTTGGTATGGTCTTTGCCCCCCTCACATGTGGAAGGCGCACACGTGCTGGTGTATGCGCCGCACGGGCGGCAGCGACTGTAGCAGCGAGCAGCCCGCATCCAGTGCGCGGGTGAGCAGCGAGGGGTCGGACTCCTCGGCAGACACGGCAGCAGGTCCTGAGGGAGCATGGAGGGGGGAGGTGGAGGTAAAGAGGAAACAACAATTACAGGTAACCGACCGTGTGATGGAGGAGGGTTTGGGAGGGTGGAGCAGAGAGGACAAGCAGGGTGTTACAGCCCTGATGAGTGGTGACGTATCGCCTCCTCACCCATGCGCCCCTCGCTCCCTATGTCCCTAACCGCCCGCCCCACCTCCCCTCCTCCACCCCCACACCACTCCCTCCCCACGCCTCTTCCTCCCCTCCCTCTAACCACCCATCGTCCAGCCCCGACCCAGCTCACCTCCTTCGGAATCCCCCGCCCCGGCGGCCTCGCAAGACCCCCCTGCCGCCCCCACCGCCCCCACTGCCCCCACCGCTGCCGCGGGAGGTCCTGCCGGCTCCTGCACCTGCTCCGCCCTCTCGCCCTGGCGCCCGGCGGTGCCACTGGCGGCTGCGGGCGCACCGCTGCTGGGGGCCGGCCGCGAGAGGGCTGCTGTGTTAAGGGAAGTGGGGTGGGGGCGGGAGGCTGGGGATAAGGAGGGAAGGAACGGCGATAGCGGCAGGGCGGGGTGGAAGTGTTGGAGGATGTGGGTGTGGGTGGGCGGGTGAGGTGAGGTGGGGGCCATCTGGCTCGGGCGAGCGAGCAGCTGTGGAGGCTGGGAGGGGGCTGGGAGGAAGAGGAGGGCGGCATCGGGTGAGCTAGCGCGCAGAAAGGGGGCATTCGGGGGACTGTGTGCGGAAGAAGAAGCCGGGAAGGGGGGGTGGTGGCAAACTGACAAGGGAGGAAGAGAGAATGCGAGTTGGGACCTACCGGAGCGGTCTGCTGGGGCCTGTAGCTGCTGCTGCTGCTCCTGCTCTCGCTCCTGCTGCTCGTGCATCTGTAGCTCTTGCTGTTGGGTTGATGCCATCATTGCGGCGTACCGTTGCTGCAGCTGCAGCAGCTTAACCAGCAACAGGAAGAAGAGCTGCCGCCGGTAGCTCAGCAGCAGCTTGTGTGGCCTGACTGTGGGGGGGCGGTGGGAAAACCCAGCAGCAGCAGCAGCAGCAACAGCAGCAACCGGGTCGGAACAATGTGCGCCTCAACGTGCGCTGCTGCTGCTACCTAGTGCGAGGAGGCTACTAGCTACGGCACTACGTGAACTGTAGCTAAAATAATTGCTACTTCTGCTGGTGAGGGCAACGTTTGGGTGCCTGACAATGTGAAGGTACGTTGTCACACAGCTGATGGTGGTCCAAAAACAAGCCACAAAGCAAGCCGCAACAGCTGCGTCGGGTGTTTTGAAGGATTGTTGCCATTCCTGGTAAGACGTGCGTTCAGGTCTCACCAAAAGGAAAGGCGGTGCTGGAGTTGCGCTGAATAGCGATTGACTCGGTTGCTGTAGGTTTGCGCCGGTGCCTGCAGTGGCTGAGGCCAATAGCAGCAGATGTTGCTTTCCTGGTTATGGCGGCTGTAGAGCTGTGTGCGGGCTATGTGTGAAGCTGCCCAAGCCTTCCGTAATGATAGCGTCGCGAGTGTGCAGGGGGTTCCAGGACAACTTAGAATGACGTCGTGTTGCGAACGTGGAAGCTTCGGCCCTCAGCGTCATTTGAGGGCGAGCCCAGGGGAGCGGCCTGCCGTCCCGCGGGTCCCCACCTTGGACGACAGTCATACGGCAAGCTTAGGACAAGCCGCATGCGTTGGGGTGCACATGGCGATTATAATTGATGTTTGTGACAGATAACACGGCGACGCCTTCTTAGACGGCACCATTGCATGCCATGACTAAGTGCGTGCTTATGGCGCTGTGGCAAATGATTACGCGGTAAGTGCTATAGAGTTGCAAAGCTACTCCATTTGGCGTGAGCAATCGGGAAGTGCTGGCTTTCTCAGCTTCACATGTCCCCCCAACGGCAAGCAAGCTTGCATTGTCGATGGCATGGCATGTGTAATGTAACTACGGTCGCGTCAGGGTATTATAATGAAACCTAGCTGTGTCTGCAGCATGGGCCGTAAGCACCGAAAAGCAGGAGCAGACCGAGCAGTCAATGGCTGTACAACAGTCAAACGTCCTGCGGTCCTGCAAGCCAGATGGGGCGTTGCCGCTCCCATTTTGGTTCCCCTGGAGCCACGCGCCAAACCGCCAGCCTCCCAGCACCGCTTCAGGACTTGTGAAATGGTATTCCCTTTAAACAAGCTTAAAGGAACAAGAATCCGCCTTTACGTCCAACGCGTCTGGCTGACCGTTGGCGCATGTTGTAAACTGCACCCCTATGACGTTACGCGAAATCAGGAAGCTTTTACGCTATACTTCTCATTCTGTATACGACCTACATTCACGGGCTTACGGACACCACAACCTGTTAACGCCCTCTCGCATGAGCTCCACCAGCCCTAGGAACTAAGGATATCGCACACCATTCAACGCTAGCAATACCCATACACCACCAGTTTAGCTTAGGAATCATTAGGTCGTGCGTCATTGCACTGGTGTGCGGCACTAGGGCAACATGGAGGATGACGAAGACATACTTAGCTCAATGTCCGGGGATTACGATCTGGACTTAATACTGCCGTCCTTGTCTGAGGACGGCGATGATGAGGGAGAGAATGATGGGCCAGAAGAAGGAATCGGCGCGGATGCGGACGACGCGGATTCAGAAGAGGGCAATGTCATGCTTGGTGGTCGCGCTGCTGGACTTGTTGCTGGTAGACTACCGGAGGCCTATCTACAGGTGGGCATGCCTCAAGACAGGCCTTGTGCTTGTATAGCACAGTGACACAGTTGGATGTGAGACGTGTGTAATCGGGAGTAATCGTTCTCTTCCCTTCCCCTCCGTTCCCTTCCCGCCCCCTCTCCCAGGGCGCCGGTGACGCGCCCAGTGCACTGGCCCGTGTACAAGCGCCAGCGGAGGCTTCTGCGCTAGCGTCATGCATGCAGTCGCCAGGCCTGAGAAATGGACCCATGGGCCAAAACCAATTCATTTCCCTGCCCCATTTCGCTTGCCAATCAAGGACGCTCAAGAAGAAGTGGACCGGAAACAAGCTGTGCATTTCTGTCAGGCCCTTGGTTGGCGACGCTAACGCCGACATCCGGAAGGCGAAGGAGATTGAAATCGCCAGGATCGTTCACGCCAGGCCGTCCATTGTCGACCGGCTGAAAGTCGCCCGGTATTTCGCGTATTGTGCATTCCTGTATCCGGATCGGGCTGGGGGGCCTCTCTCCGAGGCAGAAGCCGCTTCGGCAGCGCATATCAGTATGGAGGATGTCAACGCCTTTAACAAGATCTCTTCCCTCCTTCTGGTATGACATGTTCGGCAAACATAATAAGCTGTGAGTATAGCACTAACTCGTTGTATCAATTCCGCAGTGCCCGCTGTGCAAGGGCGAACTGACACCGCCGCGCAAGGTGTTACGGGGAGGTGGAGAGTGGCGCGTCGACAACTGGCTCATCTTCTGCGCCCAGATTCCGCCTGTGGACTGGCCGCGCTCCGTCGCCGACCTGACGAAGGCAAGTGTGTCGATTCACGTCATTGGGAAACGCTTGTTTAGCTACCAACCTTGCATGTTCCTCTTTCCCGTACAGCGCTACCGTGGGCACGAGTGGTGCACATACCAGTGCAACGAGCACATGTTCATGACAATGCTCCTCCGGGTGTACCACAACGTGCATTCGCCCCCTGAGCCCATCATCAGCCGCAGCAACAGTGCCCCGGCTGACATCAAGCGCCCGCGCGATGAGGAGCCTGGCGGTGGCGGTGGCACGGGCGGTGGCACGGGCGGTGGCGCGGGTGAGGGGGACTCCGACAGCGACGTCGCCACTGCTGCCCAGCGGGGTCCGCCTGGGGCCCCGCCCGCCCACCCGCTGCCGCCGCGACCTCCCCGTGGCGGTACGGCTGGCCGCCGCGCGGGCATGCGCGGTGGTCGCGGGAGCGGCTCGGGGGCGCCGGCGGCGCCGGCGACGCCGGCGACGATGGCGGGGGCTGCGGCGGTGTCAAGGGCGGCGGCGGCGGCGAGGGCACCTCCAATGGTTCCGGCGGCGAGGGTGGCATCGATGGCGAGGGCGGCTTCGTCACCGGCCATTACCGTGGTACTGGAGGACAGCGACGTGGAGATTATCGAGTAGTGAGGGGGGGGGGATAGCCGGCATATGTGAGAACGACAAGGGTATGGGGGTTTGGGGCAGGAGGAAGAATGATGCAGTCGTGTGTAATGATACCTACAGGGGTCAATAGGCTTCGGGCCAAGGATGCGTAAGACCTACGCGTGGTGGAGAACGGGGGCGTGGGATAGCAGGTCAGTCTAACAGGACGGAGATAATATCATGTGGGCTTTGCCTGTCCCTGGTTGTGTTCCTGTGTGCGTGTGCCCTGTTGCGTGGGACTTTGTTGTTTGTCTACCGCTCTTCCTAATAGAGCACGTCTCGTGCTTCTGGGTTAGACCGCTTTGAGCGTGTTTTGCGTTTGCCGCCGGTTTAATGGCCGGTGTGTGTCTGGTCAGCTTAATTGTAAGTGTCATTGGCGGCATGTGTCTGGCTGAACCCACTGAAAGCATTAGCTCGTCGCATTATGGTCCCACTACCACACCAGCATTACTATACATCAGTGCATGTCTTACTGCTGCGACCACGGTGTGCTCTTTGTTCTAGTTGCCAGCTCGCGACTAAGCATTCATCGCCAAGGAAATGCGGACCTGGGCTAATGGACGTCCTTTGCAGCCGAATGAATTGCATGTGATAAACCATAAAGGATAGTAGCTTTACTTTACAAGGATTGTGCGCTTCCATAAGGGCTTGTCATCATGCGCCAACGGTCAGCCATTTCGCGTTGGACGTCAAGCGTGATCCGAGTTCCTTTGGCCTTCAATAAAGGGAATACAATTCTACAAGTCCTGAAGCGGTGCTGGGAGGCTGGCGGTTTGGCGCGTGGCTCCAGGGGAACCAAAATGGGAGCGGCAACGCCCCATCTGGCTTGCGGCGGTGCAGGGACTTTACGATTCTCGCGGGCGGTGTAACTTACATAATGCTATGCGTGGCAGAAAGCGTCTTACAAGCTTTGCCTTCGAGACGCTTACAATAATTGGTACTCGAGATTCAGTGCGCGACAGCAACCGCTTGCATACCTCACGCTGTGCTGGTATATTTTACCATCAATTCCACTACTTACTACGTTTACCTGCAAACAATTAGGTAGATACTGGAAGGGCACGGCAATTGGAGAGCAATGGCCCTGACACGGCTTTATCTGTTAGCTTCCCTTCTAGCTACCGCAATCAGTTTTAGAGCCGCCCATGCTACGATACCGGAGGGCTCGGCGCAGGAGCTTGCCGATGACGACTTCGTCGTTGCAATCTCAACTGCCAGCAGCCGCCTGGTGCTCGCTCAAGGCACGAGGGCATATCGAGCAGGCATACGCACCTTCATCATGAACAGCAACGAAACAGAAATACCCTTTCTCAACAAAGTCTACGCCAAGTACCGTGAAACGTACGAATACTTTCCGGATGAGGAGGATCCCGACCCCAAGCGCTGGCATGCTAAGAACCCCGGCGACTTCCGCGCAGCCATGGCCCCCTTCGCTGCGCACCGCCACTTTGGCAACACCTACAAATGGATGCTGTACGGTGATGACGACACGCTCTTCTTCATGCGGGGTGTACAACAGCTGCTTTCAAATTTTGATCCGGAACTTCCCCTCGCGCTTTCCGACAACCTCTGGTACGAGACCGGCCACCCGCGGCTAGAATCCTTCCGCTGCCTTCCCTGCGGCTTCAACACCAGCAACATGCCCGCCGCGCAAACCGACACCGGTTACACACCGCGTGCAGCATGCCCGTACTGCACGCGCAAGGACGCCTGCCCGCCTTCCAAGCCCTCCTGCGCCATCACAGGCGCCCATGGAGGCGCAGGCATGATCTTCTCAGTGGGTCTTATGCGGCAACTAGATCTGTCGTACGATGCCGCCCTGGCCTGCATGAACGACCTCAGGCACTGCAGCGGCGGCGATTGCCTGGTCTCGCAGTGCCTCTGGCGGGCCGGGTACGGCTTCACAGATCCCGGCTTCTCGCTGCAGTACACACAGCCGTACGATCACGTACTCTTTGACAACATGGAAGCCCGATGGTTCTTAAAAAGCCCTATCGAGAGTATCACAATGGGTAACTGCGGTCCGTTGTGTCGTAACGTCATCCAGCATGCGGTGAGCTACCATGTGAGGGGAAAGTCCTTTCCTTCCTTTGCAAAGGCGGCGGCATTCATGTACGGCCTGACGGAGTCGTACGGCGCTGCCATTGAGTTCCTGGCGCTGCAGGCGGACCGGGGAAGTCGAGGAGTCGCGGCGGCAGTGGGCGGTGAAGAGGAGGGCGGGGAGGGAGGTGCGGGCGGTGGAACCAATGGGGATGGCTTGTGGGAGGCTGAGGAGGAGGAGGGGAAGGGAACAGACCTGTAAAGGGGGTTTGCTGTTGCAGGTAGTAGATGTAAAGGAGGAGGGTGAGGAGGAACTGGTTGGTTAGCGCAGGGCTAACGTTTGGCGGTGTGGAATGTCTCGGCTTTCATGTAAATTAAGTTATGGCAACGCTGTCGAGGGCGGATTTCAGAAACTGCAGCATCTGCAAAATGGAGCGGCGCATTCCCGCTTCTAGCATTCACATGAACCCCGCTATGCATTATATGTAGTGAGCGCATGTGTGCATACAGTAACTACTAGTAGATGTGCGTGTGTGTGTCATGGCGAGAACAATCGCCCCTTGCCAGACATGTGCCCTGCGTGTGGACGGCGACGGGGTAGCGATCTGGCGTGGGGGTCATTGGTATTAAGTTCGGGTTAAGAAATTGAGTGAATGCACAACCGTGTCATGTGCATTATTGGGTCGCTGCAGCCTCTGCATCAAGCTACCGTGTGTGCCGTAAGCTGCGTCTGCTTGCCACCGACCCATGGGTCGACATGACTTTTGCTATCTCCCTGGCTATACCGCATGTGGCAGGAGTAGCAGAGAGGAGGCTGCAGGCCGGGCTACAGCTAGCGTGGCATGTCTAGTGCCTAACCCCTAGTTGGGGCCCTTGTCCGGCCCGGCATGATGGCTCTGGACAGCTCTGTGGGTCATATCCGCGAATGCGTGTGGCATGGGGTGGGGCCCACCCCTGTTGACAACAAGAGGTGGCACAGGTTTGGCTAACCTCATGGTTGGGTTGTAGAGACGGTAGTAGTACTCGAGACGGTAGGATAGATCAAAAGGGGATAGACCAAGGTGCAAGAGGCTGCAGGCGCGTATGTGGAGTAGGCCATTACCCATGACGACATGAGAGAGGCCAGGTAGGAGTACCGCTGTCCTAGGTGACGGTGGCGGGGAGGAACAGGGCGTTGGCAGCACCTGGAATCCTGGATGGCTGCTGCTGGCGGTGCTAACACTCGTGAGCTCGCGTGTGGAGGGGGGCTCCGGCGGTGCTGACTGCTGCTGCAGGACAAGCGGCGTGTGAAGGAAACGGCGTCAAGCCCTGGGTATGTTCGCAACGACTGCAATGGCGCATTGAGGGAAAAGCATTAAGGAATAGTGCGGGTGTAGTGGATATCTCCAGCGACCTGGCCCGGTTTCAAGAAGCACTAGACGGGGTCGGTGGCGCTATGTGCCTGTGTGCGGCATGCGTGTTAGATGGCAAGGACTACGGTGGCGTCTTCCGAATGTATGGCGAATAGTGTGGGGGCATGGGAGGGCCGGAATACGCAGGATGGGTACTGGCACCCTTTTGGGGCTCGCATTCGTTGCCACCGGTGGTAACATAGCGTCTGGGATGCCGATAACACTGCCATGCCAGGTGGTTGGTCCAGGATTGCTTAAGCGGGAGGGTGGAAGTCCATTGGACGGGACTGCGGGGTTGCAAAGGGGTTTCGGGGGTAAAAAGGGGATAGCACGCGCTGCGGTTGAGAGGTAGGCCTTCAGGCTTCTGCCAACAGCTGCTGCTGGGTTTGGGTGCACGGGGGCCAGGACCGGACAGGACCGATATGCGACACGGGCAGTTGCAAACAGCGTTTTGTCATAGGACGCCCAGGTAATCATGATGCAATGTGATAAACTGTCATGATGATGACAGCGCTTGCAGCGGAACCCAAGCTCAGCGATACATGGGTGACATGGAGGCCTGCTTCAGGCGATACTGCCCAACAAAAGGTTCCCTGCATTGCTACTTAAATGGATTCACAATTATGGTGTACTTTGTCACTGAGCTTGACGTCACGATGCGTGTACGACGGACGCCCTGCCAATGACAAGTGGCAGGACAGCCCAGTGTTTGCATACCGTTCTTTCACTGAACAGCAACCTTACCCTTGTACACAGAAGAGTTCACTCACGCCGTCGTGATCCCCTGGAGACGTCGTGAACTAGGTATCCTACTCTCAGGCTACTTCTCAACCACTCGCTTTGGTTAGCCACTTTGTTGCCAGTCCAGGGCTCTAAGTGTCATGCAGCAGGCTACTCGGTCCCTTCCAGCTAGCACTTCAGGCAGGAGCCTTTCTGTAATACCAGCTCGCCGCGTTTCTTCGCGACGAGGTCCACGATGCCAAGCGTTGGGACCTGACCTGGACGCCATCGGCGCGGTTAGCCAGGTTTTGACTACTGGAGCTGTATGTGTTGGTGCCTTCATGCTATTGAACCGCCCTGAGCAGCTCCCAGAACAAGTAAGGCGGCGTAATGTTCGAGTAATATGCGTTAGGTCCTTTCCCTCCTTATGACACGCTAGCTGAAACGGCCATTTAACCTTAGGTCTTCAATGGAATAGTTATTGCATTTCCTTCTCTGTTCATGCGATGTGCTGCTTCGATCCCCGAGATACACTTATTTCTTCGTCGGGTCTTGCATATTGCCTGTCATATTGCTGTTAGGCTTATGCATTTGGGCGCTTGCATTTCATTGCCGTGGGTGGTTTCGCTCTCCCGCACTATGGGACAGCATTGCCGCTTTAGTGCTGGCCCTGGTTTCGCGCTTACTATATTTAGGCTTACCTACAAATAATGCCACCTCCTAACAGGACCGCCTGGACAGCCGGAACGCCAAGCCTTGCCCGGTATGTGGAGGCTCCGGCTTTGAGGCCTGCCTCTGCACGAGATGGTCAGACGGGGACGTTGGCTGTAACTCGTGCAGTAAGACGGGCTACATGCGCTGCAGAGGGTGTGGTGGTGGAGGCACGGCCGTCCCGCTCATGGTGCGCGTGAAGAAGTAAAGCTGCTGTTTGCAATGGTCTCCATTTTGGGCCGCCCCCGTTCGTTATATGGAATGTATCATTATACCATCTTGGACCGCGGCAACTGTCTTGCGCTTATTCGACTTGACACGCGGCCGTGTGGGACGGCTTTGGGGTGGCTGCCCCTGACGTTCCGTGTAGATTTATCCTTTAGGTTAGGTTAAGAACGCAACCATCGGCATGGCTTGGTATATCTCGTAATGTCGATGCGTTAGGGTTTTAGGAGCCCGCACCACCTTTGAACGCGCTTCTGGCTGTTGTGTGAGGGTTTGGCTCCATGGCTGGTGTCCTGGTATATCCACTCAATTGGGTTTGTCATGAACGAAATGCCTGTGTCCGCGCGGCAACAATACTGCACGCCGGAAACGGTCTGGGAGAGAAGGGCGCCGCACATTCCGCCCTGCCCACATCCTCCTCTTTGCATATTAGGGTTAGTCATCTTGGTAGTATTTCATGCCAAAGAGGGGTTTGTGTAGAGGGTAGATGACCTGAGAGAGTGTAGTGTGAAGAAGGCTTTGCATGTGCCTGGTCGGCATTTCCTAAGGCTTCTTATTGACGATTTGGTAATTGAGGGGACGCAGTCATCTGATGTCCGGAGAATTTTATAAATCACGTCGAAAAGGCATTGCGGCTGCGCGTGGCGTTTGCGCTATATGATGAAGAATGCCCCCCTATTTCTGTTGTTGGTTTTGTCGTCGTCGTTGTGTCTTTTCTGCAGTGGGCATGGTGCATGTACCGTACTTTTGTTGTGTATGGATGCAGGTGCTTTTCCTCCTAAATTTCGCCTTGGAACGTGCGCGAGTCAAAGCTGCATCTGCTGGCACGTGCCTTCCGTTTGGGAAACTCCGCCTCACCCGCTATACCGGGAATTGTTGCTGTTGATGATGGGTGATGTTCGGCATGCGCCATGCCAGAACGAAATGGTGTCAAAACGTCTTCTCATTCGCTAGAGATAGATGTTGCTCTGATGGGGCCATGTTGGTGTTGGTTATCTGTCGGCCTAGGTGGCCTTCAATGGACGGCGAAGAACAGCCTGAAGGCTTGTAATCCGTGTTTCTGGTGACGCGTCCCTCTTACATGGAGTGGGTTACCGGTTTGAACGTTTGAACGGGGAGCAGGGCTGAGCGATAAAGCAGCAATGTGCGCAGCCACGTTACCCTTTCACGTGCCATGGGCAAGTAGGCAAGTCTGCCAAGACTAAAGAAACGTTTCAGCGTTTCAGGAAGTGGATTAGCACGCAATGGCTTTGCATGTGAAAGGGCAGGGCGCGGGTTCATCCGTCGAGACACTGTTAACATGCAGAACAGCCACACAACATCCATACTGCCCTTCCGTCACGTACTTTTGCCGCATTACCGCTCACTTTCTGTTTCCCTGTGCGCTTGGGCCATCACCCCATCCGGCAACGACCGTGACTGGCCTTCTAGCCACGCAGTAACATCCAGTCGCAAGCAGGACGCATGCATGCAAGCGCACAGCTCGCATGTGGCCCCAGACAATGCTTCTTCTATCTTCACGCCGACCTATCCAGTAGGCTTACTAGAACCGAAGTGTACTATCGTTGTCGCTATGAATACGACAGAAAGTACGACAATAGCGATGGAACTGTATGGCTGCTAGCTAACATCTAGCATAGGGTCTAGGCATTAACATCTGCAGGGTAAAACACGACAGACGCACAGAAGACACCACAGGTGGGACGTGTCCCAAGCCCCATTCGTCAGTGGCTCATTGTTGTATGAGGCGTGGAAATCAAGAAGCTATACCCATTTCAGTTCTATCGGACGTGTTCGGAAACGTATACACACAATCGTCCTAATGCTCAGCCCTATTCTCCGTATGTTGGCGTAGTAAAAATGAAGCAATGTGCACGTAGCCCCTATCTCGTACGGACACACCGTTCACGCATACGAACGGTTTCCTGTAACACCGCTACAAGCACGTGTCTACCATGGAATTATGAGTTCCGCTTCGCTTGGTTTCCAAATTTTGTACACAATGATATAAAAGACGCACTCCATCCGCTGCATGCATGTACCTATCTTGGTGACCCTTGGGTCAAGACCGTCTCCACACCTAACACCTGCCTTTGCAGCCTGCACTCTTCCTCCTGCCGGCCACACGCCCGCAAAATCGCGCGTTGTCATCCCATCTTCAAACGCAAGCGCTACCGACTACAACCACACCGGTATCCAGTCTTCATTGCGCATCCCTTCCCATCTTCATTCACTTGAGGCCCACGGTGAATGCACCCTCACTGCCTTCCCACACCACCCTGATACGCTCTTCGCCATCCTTCACCGTATCCCGCCCCTTCTCCCCCTGCCCCTCCGCCTCTTCACCACCTCCATCCACCTTCCCGAGCACGTCTAAACCCGCTCTCCTCACTCCCTTGCCTCCGCTCCCCGCTCCCGCCTCCAGCTGCGGCAACCTGCTGGGCCGCAATGGCGACACGTTACTGCCCGACCCATGGGTCACTTCGTCAGGAAAGTCGTCACGGTCGTATCCTGCTGTACGGCAACCGCCGCTCGAACCCGACTCAAGCCGTCGCCGAGACGACTCCGCCTCACAACCATCGCCTGCGCTGCTGCTGCTGCTTCGCCTACTGTTACTCCTAGCCCCACTGGTTCCGCCCGCGGTGCTGTCTGCAGGGTTGCTGCTGCTGCTGCTGCCGGTGGGGCTGTTACGTTCCCAGAACTCAGCCCCCATGTAGCTAATGCATGGGGGCTGAGCGTCCTTCGTGGAATGGGCGGAGGAGGGTGTGGAGGAGGAAGACGAAGGGGCGTGGCTAGAGCTGCTGCTGTTGCTGCGGCTGCTGCTGACCCCGAGGACTCGCGCCACATGCCGGGGCTGCCGGAAGATGGTTGGGCTGAGGGATTGGCGCCTGCATGGCGGGAAGATGAACAACCGGAAGCGAAGAAGAAGGGGATTAGAGATAACCCGAGGGTTAATGAGGGGCTGCTTGCTTGTGCGGTATGTGGCTAGCTGACAGGTGTTCTGCAGTGTTAGCTCAACTCCACTTATGCAATCAGCTGCAAGGCCGTGTTACCAGAGCGTTATCCTACCTAGCGACCAAACATACGGATGTAACGGGTACTACGCCGGGCCCTAGGCAGCATACCCAACCAGAAGCACCCCAATTAAATGCCCCACCGCTTCGCCGAGTTGCCGCATACCCCCACGATGCGTGCAACGTTAGGTACGTGACCTCCCATGTAAGGTGACGGATATATAAGCTCAATACCGTATTCGAGTGCCCCCCGACTCGCCTCGCCCGCTCCCAGCCCCTCCATCCGAGCAGCCACCCGGGCCCCACCCTCACGTACCCGAACCCACCTCAGCGGTGCGCCCGGCTGCTCGCCATCAGCCTCATCCTCCTCGGCCGCCTCCCCCCTCTCAGCCGCCTCCTCTTCCCCGTCCTCCTCCTCAGCCGGTGTTGCCTGCTCCGTCGCCTCGCGCACCTGGTCCTCGTGCTCCGCCGCCGTCTGCACAACCGCAACAGCCTCCGCTGTCTGCTCCGTCTGCTCGCTAACCTCTGCCCCCTCCTGCTGCGCAGCCGCTACCTCAATCACCACCGCCGTCGCTACCGTGTCTTTCGATGCTGACGGCCCCGCCGCCGCTGCCAAGGGCTCGAACTGCATCGCCACGGGATCGATCGCATGGCAGCACCCACCAGCGCGCGCGCTAGCGTCCTTCGTACTGGCTACCCGCCAGCTTGCGGCAGCATCCAAGCTGTTGTCGACCCAAGCACCCGGCAGCACCTGCGCGACGGTGGCTGCGTTGACGGCGGTCGTCGCCGCTGCCACTGCCGCCTCAGCCGGGTCCATTGCCTCCTCCGTCTTCTCCTTCTCCACCTCCTCAGTGGCGGTTGAAGCTCCGGCCGGGCTGCAGCTCAAGGCCACAGCTGTCTCAGCGGCCGTTGACGCCTCATCCTGGGTGGCCAGTTCGCCGCTTGTAGGCGACGCCGTGATGGATGCCGACGTTAAGGGGACTGATGTGACCTCCCACGGCTCTGCATGTGCCCGTACGGCTGCCATGATGTTAGCCATTGCCGCTGCTACGGCTGCTGACGTGGCAGCCGCTGCTGCTGCCTCCGATGATGACGGCTCGGCTACGGTTGCGGCAGTGATAGCGGGCTCCGCTGCCGCCGACTCCACCACATCAACTGAATGCGCCCGCTCCTCCTCCGCGGCCTGTTCTGCCACGTAAACGGTAGCTGTCACGAGCGGCTCCGCAACCTCCGCCAGGCTTGACTGGACGTCCACACAGTCGGAGTCTACCGGAGCCGCCAAGCGCCCCCCCACATGCTGCGTCGCGTGCGCAATACCGCCATCCGCAGGCGCGCCCATCCCAGCAGCCGACTGCTCCGCACCACTTGACGCCCCCGCGGAACCAGCAACAACGGCGGCAGCCATGCCCACCAGAGCAGCGCCCTCCTCCGCCTGCCGGTCCTCCTCCTCCTCATTGTCGCCGTCAGCCGTGGATGCCTCCGTCGGGACCGTCACGTAAACTGACACAGCCTCCGCAGCCGCCTCGGACGCCTCGGGCACCGGTGGTTGGAGTGGCGTCGCTTCCACTGGTGTTGTGGCGCCAGCCGACGGTGTCGCCGCCTCCGTCGGCTTTGCCAGCACCGACAAGGGCTCTACAAGGGCGTCCGGCTCTGCTGCCGCTTCCACGCTAGCCTGTTCTGCGGCCTGCTCAGATAGATGACGACCCACGGCAGGTGACGATGCGCCAGACTCCCACAGAGAGACGTGTACGGCATCCCTGCAGGCTGCCTCCTCCCCCACCGCCGCCACCTCAGACGCCTTGACCTCCTCTGCCGCTGCGTCAGCTACCCCAAGCACCGGTTCCATCGCCCCAGCAGCCATCACAAGTTCCGCCTCCGCCACCACAATTTCCACCGCTGCTGCTGCTGCTGCTGCCGGTGCTGCATCCGCCTCCGTCAGCGCCACCTCAGCCGTTGGAATCCCGTCTATCGCCGCGCCCATTGCCGCAATCACATTCGTCTTGGCTGCTGTTGTCTCAGCCGGCTGCGACTCTACCTCCGGCACCGCCGCCGCAGCTGCGGCTTCCCTGTCCAGCGGCGCCGCCGTGGCATCAGAAGCGCCACCTGCTAGCGGCGCTGGTGGCTCCGGCGGATCCGCCGTCACCGTCGACGGGTCCACGAATGGGTCCGGCTCTGCCACCTGCTCTTCATCGACCATTGCTGCATCAGCCATGGCCCCCATGAAACCTGTCGGTGCTGCGCCGTCGGGGTTGGCTTGCGCAGCAACGCCATCCGTTGCCTCCTCAACCTCCGCCGCCGTCACTTCGAAGGACTCCTCGCCTGCCGCTATTGCAGTCGCCGGCGTCACAACCTCACCCGTTACCGCCTCATATGCTGCCGCCTCAGCCATCACGACCTCCGGCACGGCCACGACGTCCGTCACCACAGCTGCCGCCTCATCGCAAGCAAGGTGGTCCGTAGCGGCTCCAGGTATCGCTATGTCGACCGGCGCGTCCCAGTTGGCGAGCTCAGTCGATAGCCCCGAGCTTGGCGGAACCGCCTCCGTTGTCCACGGTGCGATGTCAACAACCAGCGGTGTCGCCTCCGCCAGCTGCTGCGCACCGTCGTCTACCTCTGCGGCGGTTACATCACCAGCCTGCATGACGTCTCCAAACGACACCTCCTCAGCGATGGCAGGGGAGGCCTGAGCGTCAGGCTGGGCGGTCGGCACAGCGCTGTCGTACGCCGTCGTCGTGACATCCGCCGTCGCCGCCGCCTCAGTTGTCGCAACGCCAGCCGCCTCTGCTACCACCGAAATGCCATCGACAGTGACCTCTTCCGCTAATGCAAGCTCCGCCGCCTCAACCTCAGCCGTTACCTCATCCTCCTCCTTCGGCATTGGCGCGTCAGCCGTTGCCACCTCAGCCGAAACCGCCTCATCGGTTGGCGTTTCCGTCGCCGACGCTTCAGAGGCCGCACCCTCCACCACCGCCACACCATCCGTGGACACGCTAGCCGCTGCCGCCGCCCCAGCCACCGTCTCACCGCTTGCCGCATCCGCCGTTGTCATCTCAGGCATGCAGACCTCTGTTGGGACAGCCGAAGCCGCGCCCACCGCTGCTGCCTCAGCGGTTCCTGCTTCAGCCCTCGCGCCCTCGGTTGTTACCGCTGCCGCACTCGGCTTGGCTTGCGGCGGCGCCGCCGCGTCAGCTGCTGACGCTTCAGCCGTCAGTTCCTCCGCGACCGCCACTCCCGCCGTTGCCTCCTCGGCCGCCCTGACGTCCGGAGTTGATGCCGCCTCCGCCATCACCGCCTCAGCAAAAGGAACATCGACCATTACCACATCCGCTGCCGATATGTCCACCTTTGTTGGAGCGATCTCCGCCATCTCCGGGGCATCAGTCGGCGGGATATCCGGCGTTGCCGCACTCGCCTCGGTCATTACCGCCTCCGCCGACGGCCTGCGCGGCTCCCATTCCGCAGGCTCCCACTCGGCCTCCACCGTCGCAACACCGCTCGCCGCGACCCACTCGGCCTCCGCCACCGCCGGAGTCGTCATCTCAACCGCCGGCGCCTCGGATGCCGCCGCCGCCGTCCCAACCGGCTCAATGTCCGCCAGCAATGCCGCCAGGACAGCCTCCACTGCAACAGCCGCCTCCTCCTCCGGTGCAGCCTGGGTGGTGGCGGTCGCCGCTGAACCCGCATGTGCTGGCAACGCAGCTTCAACAGCGTGCGTCGCCACCAACACCAGTGATAACGACGACGACGACGACGACGACGAAGAAGAAGAAGAAGGTGGCAGCACCTCCACATCTGCCAGCTCTGCCTGAGCTGGCGCCGGCGCAGCGCCAGGCACCGCAGCCACTGCAACCTCCTGCCTGGCGACAACAACAGCAACAGCAGCAGCAGCAGCCGGCTCCGGCTCGGGCTCCGACTGTCCTTGGAACGTCGCCTCCGCCTGCGCCACAACCACCGAAGTCACCACGTCAACTGGCGTCGCATCGTCGTCAGCCGCCGCGGCGTTGTGCAGCGGTGGAGGCGCGGCCTCTACCGTCGACGTCGCGGGTGGCGCAAACAGCTCGACCTCCGAATGAACCGCTGAAACCGCTGGTGCGTCCTCCTCCTCCTCCTCCTCCTCCTCCTCCTTAGCAATTGCTGCAGTGGTCGGCTGCGTCGCCTCCTGGAGTCGTTCCTCTATCGCCATGTTGGAATCCAGCTCAGATGACGCAATCAAGTCATCAGCCATGCCAGGAACGCTGCTTGCGTTCGACACCGCGTCGGCAGACTGCATGGGCTCAAGGGGGCCGGGTGCCTCCTCAGGCTCCTCATCCTCCTCGGGTATCGGTGGTACTGCTATTGCTGCTGCTACTGCTGCAGCAGCGGCTTCTGATGGCAAAGCAGCCGCTGCGATCTCCTCCGCCGAAATGGCAGCGGCAGCCGTCGCCGCCTCCTCCGATTCTGCCACCACCCCATCCTGCCCCACCTCACGCTCATCGTCCTCCCCCTCATTCTCCACCTCCTGCTGCTGCTCGTCGGACTCCCTCTCCTCATCATCCTCATCCTCACCCTCATCCTGCTGCTGCTCGACCGTCTGCTGGTCGATTACTGCATCCCTTGACGCAACCGCAGCAGCAGCTGCAGCGACCGCCTCTGCCTTATCCTGTTGCTCAGCCGCCTCCTCGTCAACAGCCGCCGCCTCAATGGCGGCCTCCTCGATCGCTGCCTCGTCAACAGCCGCCGCCTCAATGGCGGCCTCCTCGATCGCTGCCTCGTCAACAGCCGCCGCCTCAATGACGGCCTCCTCGATCGCTGCCTTGTCAACAGCCGCCGCCTCAATAGCGGCCTCCTCAGTCGCTGCCTCGTCAACAGCCGCCGCCTCAATGGCGGCCTCCTCGATCGCTGCCTCGTCAACAGCCGCCGCCTCAATGGCGGCCTCCTCGATCGCTGCCTTGTCAACAGCCGCCGCCTCAATAGCGGCCTCCTCAGTCGCTGCCTCGTCAACAGCCGCCGCCTCAATGGCGGCCTCCTCGATCGCTGCCTCGTCAACAGCCGCCGCCCCAATGGCGGCCTCCTCGATCGCTGCCTTGTCAACAGCCGCCGCCTTAATGGCGGCCTCCTCGATCGCTGCCTTGTCAATAGCCGCCGCCTCAGTCGCCGCCTCCCCAACCGCCTCCTCCTCAGTCGCCGCCTCCTCAGTCGCTGCCTCCTCAACCGCCGCCTCCTCAGCAACAGCGGGCACCTCAACAGCTGCCTTGTCAAGGACAGTCGCCAGCTTACGAGCCGCATGCGAGAACCGCTTGTCCGCGCCAAGCAGCCTGAGGGCCTCCGCAGCAAAGGCCTCCAGCTGAGCTCCGTCCACATCCTCCTCCTTCTCGCCCTCACCCTTCCGCTTATTGCCACGCTCCTCCTCCACCCCTTCCTTCAGCTCAGATGAAGGTACAGACTCCGGCCCGGACGCGCCCTCCTCCTCCTCATCATGTTCCTCCTCTGTGATTGATGGAAGCGGTTCATGCCACTGCTGCTGAGGGGACAGCAGCTGCCAGCACTGCTGCTGCTGCCGGTCGTCCTGCAAGCCCTCTAGGAGCTCAACATCTTCCAGCGGTATCAGCCACTGCTGCCCCTCCTCACACTCCTGCTCCGCGCTCACCTTCACCCGCAGCGGAGAGGATACACGGTGGGCTGGGACAGCGCCGCCGCCGCTGCTGCTGGCGGCGGGGGTGCCGGCGCGGGCGGCAGCACTTGAGGATGTGACGTCATCGTACCGGATCGGTACGGCTTCATGCTTGTCGGAGGCGTCGGCGTCAGGTACCTTGCCGCTGACGCCGCTCTGCTGCGCATTGCGAGGACTGCATGTGATGACACACCACAGCGGGATAGCGTCTAGGTCCGCTACGTCCGTCACAAGATCGGTGGCGGTGGCGTCAGAAGGAGCGCTAGTTGGGGTGGCGTCGTTGGTGGCGCCGCTTCGGAGCTCGGCCGTTAGCTGCCATAGCGGAATAGGCAAGAGCGGCGTCGCGTTCTGGTGCCGTTGGTGTTGCGTCGAGGTGGACGCCGTTCTCGCTGTGCTGCGTTGCGATGGCAGGGATGATGCCTGCGACGCCAGCGACGGCGGCGGCGCGGGCGGCAGCGGAAGCTCATTGCCATCGTCGTCGAAACGGCTGAGATCGAAGATGTCGTAACCGTTGTACCCTCCAAGCTCCGCATTCGCCGGCGGCGTGGAGACGTCAGCCGTACTCCAGCCACGGCCCACGCTGCCAGTGCCGTCGTCACCGCCGCCGCCACTCCTGACGATCACCGCTGCCGCCGCTGCTGTGGGCAGTACGACAGGCGTGAAAGGCGAGGCGGCGCACTCGGACAGAAACGCCAATGGCGCCGGCTCGCTCGGCATGTTGGCAGGGTCCTCCGGGCACATGGCGACATCTTCCTCCTCACCAGCGTCGGAGCCGCCGGCGCTGTTGCCCTCCAGGGCGATGCTGCTGCCGCTGCTGCCGCTTTCAAAGTTACTGCTAGCAGCAGCAGCAGCAGCAGCAGCACCGCTGCCGTCCTTGATAATCCCTGCAGATGCAGGAGCGCCCCCGAGCTCTTCCGCTGACATGGGCGAGCTCTGTGATCCCGCTGCCTCATCACATGCAAGGTGAGGCAGCAGCACCTCCTGCTGCTGCTGCTCCTCCTCCTGGAAATCATCATTATCATCATGAACCACCTTGGGCTGCTCCGAGCACGGTAGCTGCTGCTTCTGCAGCTTCCCCTCCTCTACCGCCTGCTCCTGCCGGCGCTGAAGCGCTGCTGCTCGGGCTTGCGCAGCCTGCCGCGCCAGCAAAGGGAAGCCGGGGAACGTGGGCGTCTCAGCACCCGCGATGCCGCCCGCGCGCCGCTCACCCGCCGAGACACTCCCGCCTGCTGCCGTCAGCACACCCGACGCCGCAGGACACTGCAGGTACTTGCTAAATGTGATGTCAGTGCCGGGGGTGGTAACCCTGTTTGGCGCCGCCACGGCAAGAGCATCGGCGGATGGGGCCGAGTCTTCAGAATCCGCAGACGCCAGCCTCTCCAGCACACGGACATTGTGGTGGGCACGGACCCATGGGTCACTCTCGCTGTCGTGCATGTGTAGCTCGGCCGGCGTCATCAACGACGCGTCGTGGTCTTCACCAACCACCTTCACAGCGCATTCATGCGTGCATGGGGAACCACCATCCGCGGCGGCTCCGGCAGCAGCAGTAGCGCCCTCGGCAGGACTGCTCTCAGTCGCAGAGGTGGCACTGATGTCGCTGGCACTGGCAGCCCTCGTGGTGACCGGAGTGCTGTTGCCGGGCTGCGACTGCAGCAGCTGCGACAGCGGCTGCTGTTGCTGTTGGCTGCAGTCGCGGTCCGTTGCGTTGGAAGGTGGGGGTGCGAGGCAGCGGTAGTACAACAGGGCGGCACAGGCCATGGCCACGCCAGCTACCGCCGCACCCACAGCCGCGGCGAACAGGAAGAGCTCGGATGACTGGCAGGGGAGAGGCAGCAGGGGGCATGATGGGAGGAAGGAGAAAAGAGGTGGGTCAAAAGGGACGATGAAACAGAAGCAGAGCAGGGGTAAAGCTGCCGGAAAGCCGCAGACGGGTAGCAGACGCATGGTACGTGATCGGGTGCAGTTGCTAAAGTACCGACTTGTAAACTTCTGCGCATCCAGGTTGTGACGGAGCGGGACAATCTGGGGCACACAAGGGCTTGGCGCTTGAAGCCCGCATGACGCTGGGTTGCGCATCCTATCTTCTAAGCCATTATCCTAGTGGATTTCTCAATCTGCATTGCTTCGCCAGTATCCTTTTGGTACCGTATGCGCAGCAAACGGCCTTACAACCATACACTCCAACCATCCTCAATCCCGCCGCCAGCTCCAAACCAGAGGAGAGCAGCGGAGAGCACACGCCCGAGCAAAACGCCGACCTTACATGCATCCTCATGCATCCTCCTTACTGAAAAGCCCGCCGCCCTAGTCCCCATCCACCTCACCTTCCATGCTGTCGAACTCCAGGCTGCTCCTCCCTCCAGCGCGTTAACAGTAGTTAGCAGCACCGCTTCGCCCGAGCTAACGCCCCACGACGCTGCAGACGGCTCCTGCAGCTCTGATGATGTAGACACGTGAGGCGACGCCGACACGCTCGGCGGCGGCGGCGACGACGTAACGGCCTCACCTGCCGCCACCGCGGCGCTGCTGCAGCTACTGCCACCGCCTGCCTCGCCGTCGCCCTTGTTATCATCCTCGTTGTGAGCCTCGATCGCAGCGTCTGACACAACGACTGGGTGCTCCTCCTCCTGCTGTTCCAACGGCAACTCGACAGGGGCGGTGGGAAACTGAATCTCCTCGCAGGCGGAGGCGGAGGCGGCAGCAGCGTCACCGGCAGCGCCGCCCGCATCCTCCTCGTCGGCGCATGCGGATACATGCTCTGTGGCGACGGTGCCAAGAAGGCCGCTGGAAGCACCGCACATGGGCCGGACGGTACCAGCGTCAGTAGCCGGAGTGGGCGGGGAAGCGGCACACACGGCTGCTGCTTCCATCAACTCAGGGGCTGCCAGGAGAGGTGTGGTCATCATCGGCGACAGCGGCGGCAGCAAGGGGTCCATCACGACGGCCAAAGACACGTCGGAGAGGTCTTCCGAGTCGGCATGCTCGGTAGGGGCGGGTTGGGAGCTACCGGGGGCTGGGGCGATGTCGGCGACAGCAGCGGCGATGGCGACAGTGGCAGGAAGAGCTGCGTCTTCGGAGGTTGCAGAGCTGGAGTCAGTGGTGACGGACGGCGGTGGCTCGGAGGCAGCGACCTCCGCTCCGCTGATGGCTGCGATGACAAGGGCTGGCTGCCGCGCCGCCTCCTCCTCCTCCTCCTGCTCCTGAGCAACTTTCCCAACCATCACCTCGGCTAGGAACACGGAGTCATGTAGCGGCTGCGACGGTGCTGCTATCAACGACGGCGGCGGCGGTTGGAGCTCAGGCAGCTGGGTGGCTGGCGCGCTTTGGACGGATGCCGCATCGGGCTCCTGGCCTGAAGACAGCGCCTATAGGGCGAGGAGGAAGGAAGGGTGGGCGGTACAATCATGGATCTGCTTGAGACAAGATAGGTTCAGGACAAAAGGGTTCAGGCGCATGTTGCACAGCGTGTTGGCAATTTGACATGCAGTCGCAGGCAGCGTATAAGGTACTTGTGCGCCTCCTTGGAGGGGCATAGCCATTTGGGTCAGACGTGCAAACTAGGATATACGCCATGTGCTGCATAGTCCTCATTGAAGCTGACAATTGCTGTCGTGACAGTGTAACGGTGTGGCGCATGCTGGCACAAGAACAAGTAAAGCACAGTCAGATTGCATGCTATCTACACAGGCATGTATAAAGCAATAGCTTCGGTAGAAGCCGACCCAAATCGGTAAGTCTGCCGGGTCGTGTGACTTGGTGACGAGCCCGCCGTACGGTGCTCTTGCCGCCGACCCAAATCAGAAATGCGTACTTTCGCGCTAAACTACGGCATACGGCTCCCATAAGGTCGCTTGCGCATCGCTGTACGGGTACCATTGTAACGGTCATTCATTCACTGAGAGCTCCATTCCATCGTGGATATCTGTCAAAGCACCCTTGCTGCTGCCATGCAGCTCGTAAGACCCGATTGCACCGCCGACGCATGCTTAACCCACCTGGGCCTCCTCCGGCTGCTGCTGCTGCTGCCCCACTTCCTCCACCGCCGCCGCCTGCTCCGCCCTCCCTCCTTCCTTGGGTGGCTGCGGGTCGTGTCTGGGTTGTATGCCTGCTGCTGCTGTGGCTTCTGCTGCGCCGTAAGGCTGGCCATCTTGCAACGGTGGCTTCTGCTCGGACACTGACGAGAACTTCATCGATGCGTCCCGCTTTACCCAGTCAAAATTGCTTTGCGCAAACAGTTGTGAGTTTGCGTTTAGGGGCTGGGTCTTGCTGGAAGGGTAGACGGCGGAGAGGCCAGAAGCCCAGACGGCTGGAATTGAGGACTGCAGGCGTGCTGGCAAGGGGTAGTGCAAGATATACCAGCAGCCTCCAAGCATCATGACCAGCAAAGCGCCAACCAGCACCCAAAAGAGCTTCGACAGAATGCCTGCAAAACGTTCCAGGGCGGAGGTTGTAAGGGCTGGGCACTTTTGAGCCAGGATGCGTTCGCACGATAGTGGCAGGACCCTTGAAACTCGTGTGGGCGTGCAGCAAAGGACACTCGTGCTATATACAGAACCTAGGAACATAAGAAGCAAGCGTTTACCATTGATGCGTCGCCGCGCATGTTGCTTTTCCAACATGGCACGGAGTTGCGGGTCGCGCATCAATTCGCCTACGAACTTCGTCGTTGCTTGGTTGGCCCTGTGTGTCGACGATGTAAACCAGCAACAAAGTGAATTTTTCATATGGGCAGACCGGAAATTAGCGAATGCCCCGCGGTAACTGCGACACCCAACAGAACTGGTACAGGGCCTTTGGAGTACAGGCCACAACATCTAATACTCACCGTGCTTGGGCCAGTTCCTCGCTCATGGGCCCGGGCAGGAACGGAGGCTCCATGGCTACCGCGCGATTACTAGGTCTCCTCGGCTAAGGCGGTAGGATGTCCTATAATAATATTATGTGCATATCACACGTATTCGTATTGCGTTCGGTATCTTCTGTATCTGTAACTCATGGCCTCGCTCAGAGGGCAACCTTACTGATTGCGCTCTTAACGGTGTCGTACAAATTTGGCGGGTGCTGTTAATCGCAATTTTTCTCGCATTTTCATATCGTTCGGCAACGTTCCCTTGTTGTGTTACAAACAGCGGTCTTATCCATACTGAAAGGAGTGGTCGGGGATGCATCTACCTAAGCCCCTGCAGGTTTTCCCACTAGCATTTGCATAACGCTTTACTGCTCGGACATGGTCATCCGGCGCGCTGCTCACTCACTCGAAGCCAATGTAATTTCAGGACGGACTGTGCATTTCAGGTCTGCGTGGACATGTTCGCCACATTTCGACCAGAAACAGACAACAAACGTGCCCATTTCGTGCAGCAAGAGGACGAGCTGGTATTACATAGGAATTGCCAAAGGATTAAACAGAATCTATAAAGACAAGCTGTACGACTAGCAACCCAGCACCTGCGCATGCCACCGTACCGCAGGGTGAAGGACCTCTATTCAGACACGTCCGATTAGACTCCCCTACCAGTTCGCAGCACCCCTTACTTTAACAACACCCCCCCCCACCCGTCCACCCACACAGTTGTCACTCCAGACAGAACAAGAGTTCATCAGACCACATGCCGCGTGCGCAATACCCAACTGCAACCTGCAGCAAGGAAACAAGATCTACACGAGCAAGAAGCGTATGCGAGGCAACAAGAAGGTCCTGTAATGGCTTGGGTACCTTCCACACTCATTCCATGAAAGACCCTACGCACCGACCCTTCCTAAAACACATCCGCAAGTCTTACAGCCCTGCATAAAGCCACAGCTGCTTCAATTTTCCAGGACACGCCGCCTGCATGCAGCATGCCTCCTGCAGTGCGCGCACACCGCTACACGCGGCTGCAGGAAACCAGGATAACCGCAGCGGGAAATGCAATGGGTTCCGCTCCTTGGATTAGCTCGTCTCGTGCATTCCAAAAACTGTGAGGGTAGTGGCAACATTCCTGAACCACAAGCAACACGCCACGGCTAGGCCCTCTATGGGCAAGTTGGCTGACAACATCCTGCGCTCAATGGTAGTACAACACAGGAAGCGTACGGTACTCTTCTACACGACTTCTCAACTTAAAACAACAGACTGTGCGGTAGCTATATATTTGCTGGCCCACAACCACTTAGCTAGATTGCCTTTCCGCATGTCACAGCACAACAACCCATACAGACAACGTCCCTTTCGTTCTTCAATTTCCAACCCCGCACACTAAGGAGTTCTCCTCTTGAACCACCTGCGCGCCGTCATGGCCCCAACTACGTCAGGATATGTCACGAATACAGCCGGCATTGTCCGTCAGGCTTGCAGAGCTAACTACCAACCGCTGACCAATACACAGCCGGCAGCTGCTCCTAAGCTCCCATTAGAGTTGTACAAGAGTTTCCCCCATGTTCTTCAACCAAATTAATCAAGTTCGAACATTAGCGAGGTTGAGTCATCTGCCGTACGCGACCCTCCGCCTGCGGCCTCCGCATCCACAACAGCCGCGGCCGCCAGCGTCGCCGCCGCCGCGGCTGCTGCCGCCGCCGCCGCGGCTTCCGGGGCAGCACCCCCGCCGGCAACGGCCCGGGAGGCACCTGAACCGGAACCAGAAGCCGTAGGCACCGAACCTCCCTTTCCGATAGCTACGGCACCGAGGGAGGCGGAATCGCCGCGTGGCGACGGCAGCGGAGGTGAGCCGGGCTCCTCTGGGCTTGCAGGTTCCGCTTCACCCGTGCCGGTTTCGGAGCGTCTTGTTGCGGGCTCCGAAACCCCGTCGTCGCTGTCTTCGGAGCCCCAGTCCGAATCGTCCAGCAGCGGATGAGAGTCAACCTTTGCGACGGCAGCAGCAGCAGTTAGGACTGCAGTAGCGGCAGACGATGGAGCTGCTGCTGTGGCGGAGGCGGCGGCAACCGGCGTTGGCTGCTGATGCTGCTGTGATGGCAGTACTCTTTGCGCAGCCTCACCAGGGCCTATCCTCGAGTATGTCGTACGGCTAAATCCACGTACGACATCCGGCCGCCTGCTACCATTGGCGCGTTCCGTCGCTTGTACGGAGGGGCTAACGGCGGCAGCTAACGGTGCCGTACTCATCCCAGCGCTGCCGCTGCGGTCGCCGTCAGCATGCCGAGTGCCGCCGCAGCCTCCCGCAAACCCCGCACCAGCCGCCCCCTCATCCTCATGCCGGTGCGACCTGCCGTACGGCTGTCCCACCTGACTCCTCGCATGGCCTAAGGGTGATGACGTCAGCGCTGCACCGCCACCGTCGTCCCTAGTAGCCCCCGCAGCGCCACCACCCACCGCACCCTCCTCCGACCGCCTCCTAGTGGAAGCGTCGAGTTGGAGGTGGCTACTACCCCCGTTGTCACCGCCGCCGCTGCCGCTGGCCCCGGCAGCGTCGTTTTCCGTAATCATCCTGAACGCGCTGGGAATGGAGCGCGGCATGCGCAAGGACCGGCCCCGGTCGCGGTCGCGGTCGCTGGCGTTTCTGGATGCCGTATGGCCTCCGGCAGCACCGGCAGCAGCCAAGGAGCGGTAGCCCGAGTTGCGCAGCGATGGCGAAGGCGAGCGCCTGTAGGAGGAGTTGGCGGAGGTGGAGGCGGCAGTGGAGGAGGTGGGGAGCGCCAGCGTGACGGTTCCGTCCGCGCTGAGCTCCCGGCCGCTCGCCCGCATGATCTCCTCCACCAGCGCGAAGGGCAGCGGACCCAGCTGCAGCGGGGTGCTGCTGCAGCTGCGTGGGGATGGGAGGGGAGGGGCGAGAGGGAGGGTCAGGAGGGGGAGAAAGGGTGTGGAGCGAGGGTGCGGGGGAAGAGAGGGAAGGTGGTGGACGGAAAGCGCACACAATTTCTGCGGCGCGCACACTCTGCACAGCAGCACCTCCAGAGTCCAGACCCCGACTCCCACTCACTGCCACCCTGACACGACCACCCTACCCCTCCCCTCCCCCTCCCCTCCCCCTCCCCCTCCCCCGATTCGGGATTGGGATTGCGTTGTTGCATTTATTTATAATTTTCCCCCTCCCCCGCAACCACCACCACTCACCGCACGCGGCCCCGGTGCCTGCCCGGGTCGAACTCCGGGGGGCACTCCAGCAGCGCCTGCAGCCGCTCAGCCAGCAGCCGGCAGCTGGCAGCCAGACGGGGAGCCGCGGTGGGGATGCCGTTGAGGCCGGTGGTACTGCTGGAGCTGTTTCCGTTGCCACCTGTTGTAGCAAGCGCACCTGCTGTGGCCGCCGCCGCCAACGCACAACTACCTTCATCGGGTCCCTTCAGGGTCGAGCCAGGAGCGCCCGCCTCCTTTGCAGCCCTGCTGCTGCACTCACCGCCATCGCTCCGCCCGTCCTTAGCGCCCTGCCCTTCCTCCCCTTCTGCCTCCTCTCCCTCCTCCTCCTTGCCCTGTTCCTCCCCCTCCTCTTCCTCCTCCTCCCCCTTCCACTCCTGCTGTAGCCAGAAGAAGTAGCGCTTCTGCGGCTGCTCGAAGGGTTGCTGCCCCTGGGCAGTGCGAGGGTGCAGGATGTCAGGCAGCAACGCCGCATCAGACGACCCCACAGCTGCCGCCGTCGTCGCTCCTGCTCTAGCATCACCTCCTCCGTTTCTTAACCCCTCGCTGCTTCCCACCGCTGCTGCGGCTGTGGCTGCTGCTGCTCCGCACTGTGCCTGATCTGCCACTGCCTGGTCGCTGTGCGGCGGTGGCGGTGTGGGCGGTGGTGGTGGCGTCTTGCGCAGCTCGGGTCGCAGTACGACACTGCGAGGCGAGGAGACCTCCAGCACCCCTCCCCCGCGAGCATGCGGCACGAACCTGCGCTCGGGGATAAACAGAAGAGGGAGGTGCGTGTAGGGTGATATTATGATAACAACACCTGGCCACCAATGAAAGGACAGATCCTGTAAGCACTGGTTAGCGCCATGCTTTGCAAAGGTATGGCGCGCGTAGGGGTTGCAGCGAAGGGGAGGATGGAGGGGGGTGCCATCAGGACAGCAGCGTGTACGGCACCGGTAGTTGCGTACGAAATCAATTATACGCTTTAGTACCCGTACTACCCATTCCTGACACACATGCTCGCACGCCCATCACTGCCGTACACACATCCGGCCCCCACGGACGTGTATCACACGTTTCGTTAGTTGTTTCCTCTTCCCCCACCTGAACTGCGTGCGAGTGGGCGACAGCGTCAATTCCAGCTCAGCAGCGGCCGGGTCCACCCCGCCCTCCCCCTCGCCATCAGCCTCCTCCGCAGCCGCAAAGATACTGCCGTACCGCTGCGCAGCCGCCGCCGCCGCCGCGGCAGCCTCCGCCTTGGACGGCCGCTCGCTCCACAGCAGCTTCACCACCCCTGGGTCCTCCACCGAGGCTACCAGGCTGAGGCAGCCGCGGCGGAGGTCCGGACACACCCAATGGCAGGATGATGGTGAGTCGGAGGAAGGAGGAGCAGCAGTGGCAGAGGCAGCAGCAGCTGCACTGCTGCAGCGTGTGCTGAACTGCACTTGCACCGGACAGGGCGCGCGAGGCACTACTGGCCGTGAAGGCGCCGGCGGCGAAGGCGGCGGTAGCACCACCGGTGATGACAATTCCGTCGTGGCAGCTGCTGCAGCTGTGGTTCCGCTGTTTGGACCGTCCTCCTTGGGGTTCTTACACGCCGGCGGCGGTTCGGACGCCGCCGGCGGCGGGGTTGACGTTGGGGGTGCTGAACCCTGCGGCGGTGTTGAACCCTGCGGAAGCGTCATTTCGTTCATGCGCCCCGCATGCACCTCCAGCAGCCTATGCCAGCGGGGCAGTTGAAGCCGGTACACGCTGATGTAGCACAGACGACCGGGCCCCAATGCGGCGCCGCCGCCAGTCGCCGAAGCCGACCCAGATGCGCCACTGGCGCTGCCGCTTCGCGCGTCCGCAGCGGATGAAGACGATGAGGGCTGCGGCGGTTGCAGTACACGTGCTACATTGGCGTACGAGGGAAGCCAGCTCCGAAGAAAGCCGTCGAGCGACAGGTGTTGCAGCGAGTCGAGCGACTCGTAACGGCAGCTGCCTGATGAGGCAAGGCCGCCTCGGGCCGCTCGGCTGCGGCTGGGCAGGGGTCCTGATGACACCGGCGCGCCGCCTAAGCCGCCCAACGGCCGATGAGACGGGCCCCGCGTTGGGTTGCTCGGTAGGGCGGATGGCGTGCCGCTGGTACGGTGTCTTGGAGGACGTGGCAGCGGCGGCCGTCCGGTGGACATGGCCGGGGGTACGGCAGAAGCGGGCGAGGTGGAAGGTTGGGAGGTTTGGAAAGGTAGGCGGTTCGGTGTGGCCGTTCGTGCACCCTGCTCATGCTGCTCATGCGACTGCTTCTCTTGCCCCTGGTCCCTCCCCTCGTCCTCTCCGGACTCGGCATGCGCGGCCGCCTTGCCCGCCCCCTCCAGCTGCAACTCCTCCAGCAGCGGCTCCAGCTGCTGCCACAGCGCCAGCGAGGGCGACGGCGGCGGCCACAGGAACAGCCGCTGCTGCTGTTGTTGCTGCTGCTGCTGCCTCCCGCCGCCGCCATGCACCTCTTCCTGTCCTTCAATACCTGCATCACCGGCTGACTGCCGACCTACCGCTACACCTTCTGCCCACCTCTGCTGCTGCCCGGGCCGCCCTTGCTGCTGCTGCTGCTGCCCTGGCACTGAGTGTGCAGTCGCAGTGGCAGCGGTGCCGCTGCTGTCAGCCGGCAGTGGGTACCGCTTTGTCTCCGTGAGCATCTGCAGTGCGGCCAGCTGCTGCTGCGGCAGCTCCTCAGCGGGGGCCAGCAGCACCACGTCGAGGGGCACGCGGGCGGAGGCGAAGGAGGCGCTCAGCTGGCGGCACTGCTCGGGGGGGAGGTCGGCCTGGAAGGGGGGTGTGGGGGGGGAGAGGAGCGATGGAGGGGAGGAGGGTAAGGTTCAGGGGCAGTGGGGGCAGGGAGGCTTACGCAGTCTGGTGAAGGGGGGGTGCGCGGTAGGGTAGCCAGGGCGTGTAAGTAAGAGGTTGGGGAAGGGACACGGGAATAGCTGGGGCAGGGAGTATTGAGAGTTTGAGACTGGCTGGAACGGTTTCGCGTAATGCGGGGGTTGCAGGGCAATGGGCAAGCGCGTGGGCATGGAGAAAAGCATTTTCCGGCCCGTGGCTTCTCGGCACGTAGGTGCTATTGTTGTTAACTTAGCGAAGGCTCCCTGCAGGTCCTCCGACAGGGAGCGAGGGGCGTTTGTCGTCCAAAGGGCATCACGCATGGGGCGTGCAGTGTCCATCTATTTCAGGCTATGAACCCAGGTACCGAAAGGACGGGCCCGAGGGCATAAGAGCTGATGCACAGACCCCACCCTCCATCCCTTCAGGAAATGCTCACCAAGAGTTAAAACTAGAGATATGGTTAGTGATGTGCAGTGAAGTTCGATCATGTCAGCACACAACAAGGATGCTCCTGGAGTCCTGGTTCTTGGGATGGCCCCGCCAAGCAGCCACGTACCGGTGAAGCCAAGAAAGCCAGCACACGCGCCGATGATGAGCGCTTCGCCGCTAGCAAAGCAAGCCGTAAGGACCCAAGGAACTGGCACCGCTCGCCATTGTGGCAAGCGATGTCGAGGCCGAGCAAGGCCGCAGCATCCGATGTGGGCGCGACGGAAAGCGCTGGGCGTCCAGCGCTAGACACGACCGCAAGAGAAGGTATGTCATCGGTGCTAGCTGTGTCACGGCTATCCTGGCCCTGCTTTGGAGCGAGCAAGGACCTGCTGATAGTGCGGATGACGGTGAGTTGCCAAGCGAGCCGATTGCCACAAGGATAATCTTCCGAGCGGCAAGCAGCGTCGCTGTTGTCCAGACTGCAAGGGGCGATTTACGCTTACGTGAGGGTTTCAGATTTAAGGAAGTTAGCTTTGCATGTCTTCCGACGACACGGCAGGCAACGCACCAGTAGAGTTGCATAACCATGTGTACACCGGCAGATAACTATAGTCCCAAGGATGGAACAAGAAGAGCGCCTGCGTTAACTAGTAGGGTTGGCCATTTCCACGTTGGCACTCTTCTGCTGGCATTGTTGGAACGTTCGGATTAATATATTGTCTACTTCTCTATGTTTGCCAAGGAAGCAATGATGCGTTGGACCTCTCTAGCCAAGCATTGCCATCTACCGTATGCTGCCAACTAAATTATTCTTGTCACACCGCGATCTTATTGGAAACTTTTGTGTGCAAAATAAGTAACCCGAGACGCTGTATACAAACTGCATACTGCAGCTGCGCAACTATCTTCATAGCATGGACGACCTCCCGGATACGATGCAGGCACTTGTACTGGCAGAGGAGGAGCGCGTTGTTTATGCAACAGTCCCTTGTCCGCGTCTTTTGCACCCAACCGATGCGATAGTTAAAGTCACAGCCTGCAGCGTGTGCGGCAGGTGAGGTGGCGTGCTGACCTCGCATGGCTCATCCCTGCCACGGCTGTGAGGATTCCTTGTCCCATCGCCACTTGATGCCATCCTCAGCCATCCACATCATTTTTTACTGTCTATGGCCTAAGCATGCATGCACGGGAGTCCAACGTACCCTATGAACCCATATAGATTCACCGGTTTAACCCAACCAACCTCACAGTGATCTACACCCGTACCATGGTCGGGAGAAGGGGATTGCGCCCAACACCGTAGTCGGACATGAATTTGTGGGCGTTGTGGTTGCGATCGGGACAGAGGTAATTTATTACACAACTCGCGCCCTGCCGTTACCGCCATTCTCGCCTTTTGCCGTACAAGAGTTTTCACACGAGACTGTCGTACGTATGCCAGGTTACCGGATTAGCCGTTGGGGATCGCGTTGCTTCGCCCTTCACTTCTTGTTGCGGAGACTGTTTCTACTGTCGTAAGGGAGCCACATGCAGGTGCGTTGGCTCTTCTTGACTCTGTTGACGGTTTGAAGCCTGAAGTCTGAGCGGGCGTGTCTCTCTGCAAGTCTGCGGCTGCGAGCACCCATGCATGCACACGTGCAGTTTGCATGTCGATCCGTTCCGATGCCTGAAGTCGTACCCCCTTACCGGGCCGGATAAGGATACGGATGCCTACGGACGGGCAAAGCCGAGCGAGCATGAGTGCATGACATAGCCATGGTGAATATTCCTCTTTAGAGCGTAGCCATTCCAAGCGTTAATGCACGATAACGCGAAAAACGGCTTGCAGCACCCCAGGAGAAGGCTGCCCAGAAGGCTGGGAAGGCGGTGGGCAGCACCAGGCCCACTCTTGGCAGCCTCTCTTTGCAGCCTCTCTTGGCATGCAAGGAAAACTACTACCGTACCGCCATCAGTCCTGTCATACTTCGCACACAGCTTACTTACACAAACCCTGTGCCGAGTGTACAAACCCCATCTCCTCCCGCCCTGCCTGACCCAGGTGCAACCATGCCCAAGCGCACCTGTTCGGCTGGGTTTCGGAGGCGGAAGAACAGGTGCACAGCGGGGGCCGCAGACCCCAGGGGCAGGGACGGGGACGGGGACGGGGTAAAGAGGAATGTCATCGAACCATGTGACATGTAGGCTCCTCCACGGGTTGCGTCATGCATGGTTAGGGAAGGGGGGGGGGCAAAAGAGGCCATTGCACCGGGCCATGCACGCTTAGAGGCTGGGCAATAGCAGAGGAGCATGCCCCATACAACCTACAACCAGACAACCTACAGGGATAGCGATAAACAAAAACTGCCCCGTAGCCCGCCAGGCGTGCGGCGGTTCCGTGCCGCACGCCACGCTGCGGTCCGTTCCATTTCCCTCATTACCGTCAACATTCACCTCTCCTGCATTCCTTTCTCATCCCCCTTTTGTATGACCAGTTAGTTCCTCTGTCCTTCCCCTTTCGTATGATTAGTTCATGCCACCTCTCCACCCTCCTCCGGCAGCTTCCCCCCGAGCAGCGGCGGGGGCTGCAGGGCAGTCAGGCGCAGTACGTGCGGGTGCCGCTGGCCGCCTCCACGCTCGTACAGGTGTGTCGTACAGGGGGAGAGCGCTGCTGAGGAGGGAGATCTGGGTTACAGTAACGCTAACAGTAACACCTAAGGCTAATGTCGCCAATGATGCAAACCACCTCCTACTACTACGGTCAGGGTCAGTATTCTGGCGGCCCAGTTACCTAATCCCCCTCCCCACCTCCCCAGCTTCCTGCCGACGTATCCGACGAGGCCGGGCTGCTGCTGGGGGATATCCTGTCGACCGCCTTCTTCTGTGCGGAGCGAGGGGAGTTGGGCGAGGGAGCTGCGGTGGCGGTGCTGGGCTGCGGACCCGTGGGTCTGTTGTGCGTCATGGCGGCCAGACACCTGGGGGCGGGCAGGGTGAGAGGGAGGGAGGGAGGGAGGGGTAGGAGGTGGGGCAGGGAGTGGAGGACAAGGGTCTCCTGGGGACCCATGGGTCATCGCTGCAAAGCGTGTATGTGTCGGTGCAAGACTGTGTGGGCAGTTAGGTATATACCTTCCTGACTAGTAGGGTAAGGCTGCTTTCCCCACTGCTAGGGCAAGGCTGGAGGAAGTAGCTGGGTGCTTGTTGTGTGCCGTACTAGGCGCAAGGCTTATGTTTCTGTGGAATGCTGGGCTGGACGTGTTTCAGCTGGTTTCAATGCTCACCAACCTGCAAAGCGTGTGGCGCAACGAAGCTGTGTGACAACTGCGGCATTCACCCGTTAACTGTGTTTGGCAACAGGTATTCGCGGTTGACTCAGTTCCCGAGAGACTGGCAGTGGCAGCGGAGCTCGGAGCCACTCCCCTGCGCCTCGCACCACCGCAATCGCAACAACCACCGTCTCAACAACCACAACCACAACAACCACAAGGAGGACAGGTGCAGTCACGTGATCAGCCACCGCAGGAGAGCAGCGAAGACGGAGGCGTTGGGAGCTCCTGGGAAGGCCCGGAGGCGGCGGTGGTGGCGGCGGTGAGGGAGGCGACGGAGGGTCGCGGCGCGGACTGCGTGCTGGAGGCAGTGGGCGCCAACAGCGCGCTACGGCTGGCGTATGAGCTGGTCCGACCCATGGGTCAGTTCCGTCAGTCGCGACATGGTCGCGCGGATAGTGTGTGGGCATCGCTGGGGATCGCTTCTGTTCGGCATGTGTGGGGGTTAAAGTGGGATGGGATGTCCCGCATGCCGGTATATTGCGGTTAGGGTGGGGGTGCGGTCTTTGTACGCGTGTACGGCGCCGGGTGCTCTGGCTGCTTCAATACGCATGGGCTTCACCGCTGCTAACCTTGACGGCAAACGCCATTGGCACCTCGTAACGATGTTAACCCTCACCCCGAGTGGGTCTGCGGTCTGCGGACGCTCCTGCTCCCGTTCCTTTCCTTGCATCACGTGACACGCTACCGGTACCTGCCCTCCTGTTCCTGAGCCTGCCTGGTCCCGCATGCATCAAACCCACACACCGGCATCAAACCCTCCCCCGCAACCCCCTTCCCAGGCACCATCTCCTCCGTGGGAGTCAACACCTCCCCCAGCTTCCCCTTCTCCCCCGTCGACGCCTACAACAAGAACGTCACGCTGCGCTCCGGCCGCTGCCCCGCCCGCGCCTACATGACACGGCTCATGCCACTGCTCCGGGAGCCCGCAGCGCCTAGCTTCGGGGCAGCCTCTGGAGCTTGCAGTTTGGCAGGGACACACCAGCGTCCGGCGCTGCCGTGGCGGCGCATCTTCACGCACCGGTTGCCGCTGAGTCGCGGAGCGGAGGCGTACGACATGTTTGCTAGGCGCGCAGAGGGGTGCATTAAGGTCGTGTTGGACCCATGGGTCTGACATGAGGCGGCGGCAAGGGTCAGATGCTGCGACGGGTCCTGCAGGGCGCGGGTGCTGGTAGGCTGGTTGAGAGGGTGTGTGTTAGTGGTTGTGGGTTTCTAGACGCCAGGCATGATGCCTTGGTGGGCTCGCGTGTTATACGTTACTTGTGTCCCGTGGTGAACGGGTTAAGGCGGGGGCATAGGTAGTAACTGACGGGCGCCCCACGGCAGCGCTAGTACGGATGAGCTGTACTGGCGTGACGGGTGCTTGGGAGATCTCGATCCATGTATACTCGTAGTGCCCCCTCTTGGGTCACCCATCGAGTAGTAATATGTCGTATTATATATATGGATCCATAACTTATCCTAGAGCAGGTATACCTTATAAGAATGGGCAGAGGACTTCGTGTCGGCTGTTTGCATGTGTGCTTGCTCGGGCTTTGGCTGGGAGAAACACTAGTTCTGGCGAACAATGGCGACTGAACATTCGACTGTACTGGTTCCTTGCCTCAGGAGCCATATTATAGTACGAATACAACGCGAGGAGTCAGGAGTTTACAGTTTACCGGTACCACTAATGTAAGCATTCCCCCCCATGCACACGGCTGTTCTGCAGCTGAACACCCCCCCCACACACACACACCCCGTAGCGCTGTCTCACCCCAACTGCCAGCACCTCAAATGGGCGGCACCGCTAGCTCGAAACGGTGCTGCTGCCAGGCTGCTCATGCCGCAGCCACCTACGGGAGCATCCTAAAATCCTCCTAAAATTCTTTTGACGAAGGTCGTGATGGGACCACCATCCCTACGCCATCCCAACATATAACCCGTTTCCTTAGTTATGTGGGCCTCGGCTAAGCTACGAACGTGGGGCATTCCCAGAGCGACAGACCCACAACACACACACTAAACAGTCCGACAATCCAGTACGTTCCTACTTGCGCGGCCAGTTTTCTTAACACTCACGTGTTGCCAAAAATGGTTCATAAACAAAAGAGGTAACGTCAGATGCTCCTAACGAATATAGCCCCAAAATGCTTCAATTGTAGCCACGAGCCTGGCAACCGTACAACTACCGTATTTTTTACTACGCGTACGAAAGGTACACGCTCCCGCGAAATTTGTACCCCCAACACAGCGTGGCTTGCATTGCTTGCCTGCCAACCTTGCAATCAGCAGGCAATTGCGGTCCGATATTGAGCTCCTCTCCTTGTGGAGTTGTATAAGCAGGCCCCATACGGCCATACCCCTAGACAACTCTCCAGCCTCAACACTTCCGGCTTGTAGTCATGTCGCCCAATAACCTCCAAGACCAGAAGGGCGCAGGAAGCAGATGCCCAACCTTAACCGATCAGGAAAGGAGCATGCCTGCTCGGGCCTTCTTATGCGCCCTTTCACTTGTAACCCTTCCCTTTCGCATGCACCGCTCATATGCGCACCGATTAAGAGCTTCCCCAGCAGCATTACTGTGATCCATGCTGCCATCCGCAGGGCAAAGTAGGCACAGCACCACCGACACCATATCTAAAACTCGCGCCGTTTGTCAGGGCCCTGCTGGTCCGGGCCCAAACATCCTCCTGACGACCTTTCAACCGTCGACCGTCCAACATGAGAACCCAAAAGCGCAAGAACGATGGCAACTCCGCGGCCGACCTGACACCTGGCACACTTGGCACACGTGCAAAGCAACAATAGCAAAGCAGCGGTAGCAGCGGCGATGGCTGTCTTCTCCAATCTGCCTCCCTGCTTTCACGCAGATGCGGCTTGGGCCCCGTGACGTAACCACGCGGCGAACCCGATATGCCGACCAAATGCATACTAGGCGCTTGCCATGTGCGTTTCGCACGGCACTGTTTGTTTACGACAACAAAAACAAGAGCGGACAGCCCGGATTAAAACACAGCCCGCTCCACTCTCTTCCTCTTCCACGATAGACACGAGGGGTGGCTATCGTTGCCATTACACATCCCACCGATCAAGTCTACGGTTGATTCTTGATACAGCGCTCCTGTAGAGATGGTTCCCCCAGTGTCTGCCCCTTAGACAACTGCCAATCAAGTGTGCGGCCCTTAATTCCACTCCTATAGTCCTCAAGTTATCCCTTTTAGCAGCGCAACACGGCAGATACAGCTCGACATTCGGGCAGCTACCGCATAAGCTAATTCCAGTTTCCCCCGTCAACTAGTTATACCACATAACCGACAGTCAGTATCCACATAAAAGCGTTACCCATATGGCCTCAAAAGGAAGCCCGAAAGCAAACTCCCAGTACCAGAGTAAGCATGACAGGTTGGAAGCTGGGCAACGCTTCCCATTCAAACGTACGCGGATCCCATCCCACCCTTCCTCCCCTGCTTAGGCGCTTGTTTCCTGCTCCGATGGCAACGCCGGGAGCGGCCGGAGTAGTAAGTTGCCCTGCGGAAACGGAAGCATGTGGATCGATACGTGCTGATGGTGTTGAACGCGAATGCTAATCAGACAGAATGCTACGCGATGACGGCCATGATACCTTAGCATACAGCCAACACGGTAGCGCACCTTGTAACCGTGGCGCTTGCCAGCTTGGTCCGGGCGTCCCGACAGCGACTTCGTAATCGTGCCGCTTGCAGTTCGACCGCTGGCCGTGCGAGCACTCATCGTGCGACCGCTCATCGCCCGATCTCCCTGCAAGGCAACATCCAAGGCACGGCAGAACCCATAACAGGTTAGCAAAAGCATGGCAAGCCAAAGCAGGAGAGAACGCTTTAACGCAACGACCGTATTTTTCGCCGACGCATAGTCCCAAGGCAGGCGGGTATATTCTACGTCAGCTCCAGTACCAAAGAACGCCAACCGCAAAGCGTTCGCCCTGACTCATACGGCCTTACGAAAGGCTAATTTTACAGGCAGGTAAGTTGCCGTCCAAGAAAAGAATCAAGGAAAGATTCTGCGAAGGTGCCCGCATCGGCATGACGGGGGACTCTGCAATGTCCTCCTCGCAGCCTAAAACTGAAGCAAGGGGCAATTAAGGATGCCAGAAAGCACTGCAAGGCCAGGACCAGCTCATCCGTGAGCAAATTCGCAAAGGTTCTCCGACTAGCAACACTCGCACCCGCGACTAATAAAGCTAAAAACGCTTGAGCAAAGTAGCGCTTCAGCTACTCACGCTTGTAGGGGAGCTTGCCCTAGGATTCGCTTTATTCTCCCCGTAGTTGTAGGATGGGTTGAGAGCAGCCTGGAAACGTTTCATGGCCAGGACCAGCTGCGCCACAATCCGAAAGGTAGGCTTCTTCTTGCGGCCCGACTCGCTACGTTCAATATCAAACTTAACTGTGTCCATGGCTAAACTTTCAAGACGCAATAGGTGTCCTTTTCAGTAACTTGTATGCTATTATGTTATAGGCAAGGTAGCTTACATACAAAATACGAAAGTAGTGCCTCTTGTGTGAGCAGCCTGGAATATGACACATCACTCGCATCGTATCCGTACGGGTGCCCATCCCGGCGCACACCAACAGGCCGCATGCGGGCAACTGCGCTTCGACAGTTCATACGTTGAGTTGTTGAGCCCCAATCAAGCCCTCTAATCGTTCAATATGAATCCCGAATCCCTATATATCTACGGGATCACTCCTCACCACCTCCTTACCAGCCCTCCATCAACGCATTACCCGATCTCAGCGCCGACCCTCTACCAATATCCGACTGAACAACTTGTACGGCAAGATTCAATCAGGCTGTCTTAAACAGGGCAGTTGTTGGATCATCAGCCGTAGCCAATATGGTTATGCTGTCGCTGTTTCCTTTTGTCAAGCTGCAACACCAGTAGCATTTGCAGCAACCATAGCGGCCGCTCTTCTCCGCACAGCCCCGGATGGCGGTTGCTGCTGTTGCCCCTCCTCGCCCTCCTGCCCCTCCCTCTCCTCCTCCTCCTTGCGCCGCTTGACACCACATGCCGCCGCCGATGCCGTAACAACCGCTGCCGCTGCCGAAGTGTGGCTCGATAGCTGCTGACGCTGCTCTTGCTGTTGCGTGCCCCGCTGCTCCTGCGGCTGCTGCGTCTCAAGTATGTGTCCCGTTGGCGTCAAGGTCACGTGGTGCCCCTCCTCCCCTCCTTGCCGCTCGTCCCGAGCCGCTGGCACCGTCATGAGGTCCTGTGGTCCGGTTCCTGGCTGCACCGAGGAGGGATCCTGCTGCTGCTGCTGCTCGCGTCCGCTACCCTGCGGCTGTGGCTGCTGCTGCGGCGGCGGGTGCAGTTGCGAGCACTGCTGTTGGTCCAACGGCAATGCCTCGTCCTGCGCCTGTTTCAAGTGCTCTTGTAGACAACATTGGTGTTGCTGTTCCTGCTGCTGCTGCACTTGCGCCTGGTGCCGCTGCTGCTGGCTCTTTTTTTGCGGCAGCGGCGGCCGGCGTTTGCTCATGATGTGGTACCCGCACCCCGCATCCTCCTTTTCCTCACTGCCGCCGCTGCCGCTGCCGTTGCCGCCATTGTCAACCCCCGCACTGCCGCAGCCGTCATCGCCGGCGGCAGGGCTACTCTCACCCTCCTCGCTGTAATCCGGCGACGTCTCGTCCAATTGGTAGCCCAGGCGGCGGTAGAAGCGCACCGCGGCGGTGTTGTCACGGAACACGGTGAGCATCACCTTGTGCATGCCGGCAGCCCAGGCCTGGGTGGGGTGTGCGCGGTTGGTGGTTAGCGGTTGGGAATGGATGGGCTTGGGTGGCGCCTCCTCACAAGCCCAGTGTGGCGCTTGTTTTCAACATCCGCAGCGGCCCTTCCTCCTGCTGTCTTACAAGCCCATTTACACTCCGTCCCAACCTCAAAGGGACTCAAGGACATGTGGGCCATTCAGGCTGCGCGCACGCCGTACACGACTTACGATCTGCTCAGTGAGCTCCATCAACAGGCGCCCCACTCCGCGGCTCTGCGCTTGGCGGACCACCTGTACGACACAGCGCAGACCGAAGCTGTTACGGGATATCGCGGGACAGCTGGAGCGTGCTGGGTTGGTGAGCACTAAGCAAGTTGCCCGTAAGGTACAGTGTTAATTTAGGCCGAAGTAGGAGGTTTTGTTATTGACAATGGCATAAAAGCTGTTGGTTGGGCGCCCCATGCGTGCGTGTACCGCTACCCACAGGCGCTAGAGATCGGTGCAGCAGGAGCTTTAGCTACAACAGCAGCAGCAGTGGCAGCAGCAGTACTACAACCAACCCACGGCCACCCCGGGTCGACCCCACCTGCAGCTCGTAGCAGTACAGCACCGGCTGCCCCTCCTCCTGCTCAAACCTACACATGACAAGACGGGGCATGCATGCACGAGGCGTGGCGAAGCCTGATTGATGGGGCACGATGACAGCGGGGTAGACGGGTGCCCATTGCAGCGGAGGGAAGGCCAACATAGCCGTTAACAGAAGGGCTAATTGACGTCTTCTGTAAAGGAGTTTATAGCGTGGTGCATGACCAACATGGGGAGTCGAATGCATGCGCCAGTTGGTTTATTTTCGTTGTTAACCGGCCCACCGGTAGTTGACGTAGCCAATTGCCGTACGATGTGCGGGTGCTGTTGTGGTTGTTGTTGTTGACGAGGGTACCGCAGATGGAGATGAGGTTAAAGCGTCATCGTGAGCAATGAGGAAACGAGATGCGACCTGCATGCGCATGAGACAGGTTTAACAAAGCATGTTGGCAGGGGGTCAAAACAATGACACAGTAGTTCACTTGGACAGAGGGATGGGACGGGTACGGATATTTCGGAAGGGCTTGGGCCCTGGCAACCTCAAAGGGCCCAAACCCCTAAGCACATGTCAATTCGTAACAACGGCTTCCGTTTCCTTTCATGTGCAGTTGCCAACCTTCCCTTCGCGGGCACAGGCGTCGTGGCTGACAGCTGTCAAACACGGCTCTTGCGTCACACCTGGCCCTACAACCCCCTGTCCCACAGAACTTACAGATGCCAGCTGCTTGCGCTTGTCAGCGTCACTCCAGGACCACACGCGCTTGTACATGGCGGACATGTTTTCCCTGAGGGAGGGAGGGGGGAAAATATATAAGGAGGGAGGGAGGGGAGGCGTGCAGAGGGGTGCCGCAGGGCATGGGTGTGGGCTGTGCTGCGGTGCAAGGGAATGGACGAACATGCCGGTTCCCAAAATCCATAGTCAGGAAAGGTTACGATGCGATGGGGGGCTCGGTAGGAGGTAGTGTAAGCGTATAGGTATGGTAACAAGGAAGGCAATATGCCCCTGCAGAGGCAAGGTGGTAGACTGGTAGTAGGTGCCGACAATTACTGATGGTAATGCCTGCACATACCTGCATAGCGCCAGGCACCATTCCTGGAGATCCTTCGGCATGTTGCGTGCATGGTGGGAGCACACCTGGACTGCTTGTCCTTTGGCATCCACATGACGAGCAGCGGTCACGAGCTCCGCCAATGGGTTCTTTATCTGCGCGCACGGGGAGCCGGGATGTTGCCAACGACTCTATAACCCGTTACAGCCTCAGGATCCAACCTGTTTAGCCTTGCGAAGCAACTCCTTTATCCTTTCCGCTTTTGATACCTGCACGACGGACCGTCTGTCACCGCCTCGTGCCGTTGTGTACAATACCGGTAAGCTGTCATCACGAATGCGCTCCTTACCATGGTAACCTATAGGTTAGTCGATAACTAGATAACCAAGTGTCAAGTTTAGCGCTACATATGAATCAAGTTCTCGCGCGGCTGCTGCGCCTTTCAAAAGCACTTCGGGCGAGTAACAGCCAGCGGTTTCTGAGTACGTCCGGACTATACCACTTGCGACTCTCTAATGTAAAGTAAAGAAGGCAAGCGCATTAGCGCAAGACCCAGAGGTGTACAACAGGAACGCGATCCAACGGCAACTGCATACTGCGGTGCAGCGCCACAAATGTTTTACGTCGGTATCTAGCGGAGAACCATTCATGCTTGCAATGCCTTGCCGCAAGCGTTGTGCAAATCGCTTGCTCACTTTCAGTAGCTGCTCGTTCATCGCTTAGTAGCCTGCTGGACCCTGACCGTAACTAGGAGCACTGATCCCATCACAATTCTAGGGGGTAGCTCAACGTTACAATGCTTGAGTCTTTAAAGCGAGCCTTCAAGGAGGCCACCAATGTGGCCTCGCAGCATGCAAGTGAGACTGCGTGCCACTTGTGTTGTCGCGGCCACGCCTCATGTCCTGCCAACGGAAACGTTACAATAAAAACTCATGAAACCATCGCCCCTGCTCTTCTGCTCTATATGCATTTCCCCTTCCTAGTCCATACCAGTACCCGCTCCAAGCACATCATCCCTGTGCCCACACTTGCAAACCACTTCCCTCTCACCCGCTCACAAGACCGGCCTGTAACCACCTCTCACCACCGCCGCATCCTTACAGCCAACGGCGGTGGTGGCGGGGGAAACGGAGACGGTCCTGCCGCGGCAGCTTCCGGCAACCTCCATGGCTCCGAAGTCGCACAAAGCCCCGGCTCCGGAGCCGCTTCCGATGCTGCAACCCATTCCAGCAACGGCGCCTCAGTACGCGTTCCGGCGCTGAACCCGCCCGCTGTGTGCGCCGACAGCCGGCAGACCCGCATCAGCGTGTGTGGGCTGGAGCTGGAGGGTGTCAGCATCGCGGGTCAGGCGAGTACGGCAGGGTGCGGGGAAGAAAGCGTGGATGGGCGCGTGGGTGGTTGGAAAGCGCACCTACCCAACCCGTTCCCAATGTGACCGCGAGTGCAAGAAGGGCAATGGGAGCGGGGCAGAGGAGCGGTGGAGCATGACGCAGGGAGGGCGGAGTGACGGGTGGCGGGCACATAGCCACCGGACGCGCATGGAATGGGGCGGCCTAAAGTAGGGATGAGCGACTAGCGGAGGCAGTACGGGGTCATCCATAGCAAGACGTCCGTGCAGTCCGTACAGCTGCTTGCTTTGGACCCTTGAGTTCGTGTCTTGTGTCTTCAGAGTCATCGTGCACAGAGTCCCCGTCCACGATTCCTTCCTTCCCGCAACGACTGCAGTGCTACCTTCCTCCCTGCCTCTTCCCTCACCTCTCCCTTTCCTCCTTCCCTCTTCCTCCTTGCTTCCCCTGCCCCGGCCCGTCAGGAGACCTGCATCATCGTGCCGCGCGCCAAGGTTGCCTTCGACATCGGCCGCTGTCCGCAGCGCGCCTGCTTCCAGCAGACGGTGCTGCTCAGCCACACGCACCTGGACCACGTGGGGGGTGAGCAGGGGGGGCAGCAGGGGGGTGAGGCATAGCAGGGGGTTGAGGCATAGCAGGGGACCGGGCGGGGGTGAGGGAGGTGGAGGGCGGGAGGTGGGGTGGGAGTGCGGCGTTGCTGTAGGCTTGTTGAGGAGCCTGGTGGGGTGGGGGAGTGTCAGACCTGTGTGTGCAGCTCATGCGGTGAACAACCTCGTGTCATCGTATTGCATGCCCCCGCGCCCCCTCACCCGCGGCCCCTTACCCACCCCCGCGTCCCCTTACCCATCCCCGCGCCCCCTCACCACCTCCCGCCCGCGCAGGCCTGCCCTTCCACGTGTGCACTCGCAACATGCACGGCCTGCCACCCAGCCGCGTCGTGGTGCCGGAGGTGGGGTACATGGGGAGGTGGGCTGGGGTGTTGGGATGAAAGGGACTGGAGTTTAAGATAGTTCCATAGACGGCATCGAGCTGCTGCGAAAGGGTCAGGTGACGGGAGGGGAAAGGTTGTGGAAGCGTGGGAGGGGGATTTGGCGGAAGAAGGGGCTTCCGACGAAGCCGATGGAGAGGGCTGCATGTTAGGTACCCCTTCCCATACACGCATGCATGCATGCACCTACCTCCGCCTGACCCATGCATGCGCCCTCCCTGCCTCCCCTTCCCTCCCTTCTCCGCTCCCCCCTCCTCCCCCAGGGCTTCTCGGCGGGTGTGCGGCGGCTGGTGGATGTGGCGGCGGAGCTGCAGGGCATGCAGCCGCTGGGCTTTGAGGTGCAGGAGCTGCAGGTGGGGTAAAAATAGACCAAACCGAATTAGGGCAGACAATTGGGGGGATGAGGCGGCAGGGTGGGGGGGGAGACGGTGTTGCGGCAGTGGGGCGATTGCTGGTGTTGCTGCTTGAAGTCCTTTCTTGTTGTGAATGATACCGTATGCGCGGTGTTCAGCTTGTGTTAGGAACTTAGGATGTGTGCTGCACACCAATCAGGGTAGGTGCGGGAGGGGTTTTAGGAAGGCTGCCAGCACGGCCATCAATTCCACCGTCGTGCGCAGGGCAACAAATAGCTCAGCATCCTTGATCGCATGCTTACCGCGGTACCCCCGTTGCCTCCATTCAGGAGGCTTTGCTTTTGTCTCCCGCCACAGTACCACAGCCGCCCCTGACTTGTCCCGCTGCTCACCCAACGCCGCTGCCCTCTCCACGCTGCTGCTGCTCGGCCAACCGCTTTGCCCGCCCGCCCCCTCCTCGTTTGCCCTGTCAGGCGGATGGAGAGCTGCTGCTGCCGAGCGGCTACCTGTGCAGGGCCTTCCCCACCACCCACACCCTCCCCTCCCAGGGTTACGTGCTGTACAGCCAGCGCCGCAAGCTGCGACCCGAGCTGCAGGGCCTGACGCAGGAGGAGGTGCGGCAGCGGCGGCGGGCGGGGGAGGAGGTGACGGTGACGGTGCAGGTGAGGGGGGGGGGCGACACCGGGCGGGAAATTACCGGTATATAAGAAATGCAAACAACTAAAGTCCCAATCCCACCGGGCACCGGGGGCGGGGCGGGAAAGGAGGAGAGGGCTGATGGGGGTCCGAACGGGGTGGGGCGGAATGCCAGTGGGGCTGGGTTATAAGGGTTGAGCTGCGTATGTATATAGCTTCAGCTCCTGCTGTACGGCCGCCATGCTTAACGTACATGGCGGCCGTACGTATTAGCACGTGCATGTCCGCAGCGCAGCTGTTGCGGGCCTTGCGAGCCCCTCCCCTCCCTCTCCCCCCTGCTGTTTCACCCCTCCCTTTCCCGTCGGTCAGGTCCCCGAGATCGCATTTACCGGCGACACCACCGCTGCCTTTCTGGATGGCACCATGACACAACAACAAGAACAAGAACAACAACAACAACAACAATACGGGCAAGAAGCAGCAGCAGCAGCTGCTGAGTCTGGTCCGGCAACTGCAGTGGGGAAAGGAGAAGCCGACGCGCGAGGGGAAGGTGGAGAACAAGGAGGAGAGGAAGGCACCGCTGCTGCTGCTCCTGCCGATGGAGGTGTTGACAATACCGACTCAGGCCGTCTCAAGAGTGGAAGTAGTTGCAGTAGCTGCAACGGAAACGCGGTGCTGGCGGATGCGTTGCGGGCCCGAGTGCTTATCATGGAGCTCACGTGGGTATTGTCGTACTTGGGGGAGGTTGTCGCGCTCGGCTGGGGAGAGGTGGTGCCGTACTGGGCTGTACGACGGAAGAATGTTGGGGAAATGCAAGCGCAATAACGCAACAGAGAGCAGGAGGGAACCGGGTAATGCTGCTGGGCATGTAGATGTGCGAGAGGCGCCGTGCCTACTTCCCTTCCGGTACCTTGCCCTCTTCGCTGCACCCCTTGCCTACCATGCCGTACAGTTCTCTCCCACCTGTCACCTCTTTTCTTTGGGCTTTGTGAGCTCTCCTAGCTCGGTGGCTACTGCATGTCGGGGCTTGCTCCTCATCTTTGCCCTGTGCTCGTCACGCTCCCGTCCCTGCTCCTCTTCCCCCACTCCCACAGCTTTCTGGACGATGTGTGTGTGGATGAGGCGCGGGGGAAGGGCCACATGCACATAGCTGACTTTGTGGCGGCAGCGCACAGGTTTCAGGTGGGGCGGTGAGGCAGCATGTGGGGGAGCATGTGGGGGGGGGTCCACGTCACTGCATGCGCTCTTCAGCCACACCACCCTTCAGCCCTTCAGTTCCCTGCTCAGCCGACTGCTTGCATGCCACCTCCCATCGGCCTGCACGCCCCGCCGCCGTCTCACCCACTCGCTTCCCACTCGCTTGCCCCGTTCGCTTGCTGCGAGAACCCTGAAGGAGTAGGCGGCCCACCGGCTATCTATCCCCTTCTGTCGCCCATCCTGCACCCATGCACCCTGACCCCCTGACCCCAGCCCCATGATACAGTTCGTTTCCTCGTTTCTGTCCCCATGACCCCGTCCCTTGTCCCTGTGACACGAGCACCTACCCTGGCCGCGATACCCTGCCGCCGTCCATACCCATGCCAGCTGATTTACCACTCCCGCTCGCCCCCACCCCACCTCCACCACCTCCCCCCAACACAGAACGAGGCCATCCTGCTGACCCACTTCAGCCCTCGCTACAACCGCTCCCACATCCTGGAGGCCCTCAACACGCTGCTGCCGCCCGCGCTGAGGGCCAAGTGCGTGCCGTTGCTCAACGGCATTGAGTAGGAGTGCCGTGTGGGGTGGGGGTGGTGTAAGGGTTGATGGACACCGTCAGCGGGGAGAAGAGGAGATGGATACCGTCAGCGGGGAGAAGTGGAGATGGATACCGTCAGCGGGGGCGGGGGTAGGCTTGTGCAACTCTCAAAGTTCCCTGCCTCCTTCACACCGCTCTGCCTGAGCGGTGGGGTGGCGAACAGCAGCATGCCCTGCATGTGCCTCTCACCGTGAGGCTACATGCTGTAACGCTTGTGCTGCAAGGACAGCTGCATGCGCGTGTACCACCGGGTTTTGACATGCCGCACCCTACCACGCATCGCGGGGCTCCCAAGCCACCCACCGGATCCAACCGAGCATCCCACCATGATACCAGATTGCGCGATACCAGCTAGGTGGCGGCGGCGCCCTCCCTCACTTTCCCCCCATGCCTCTCTCGCAAGCCTGCGACCTACTTTCCTAGAAGCGTGTTTGCGGCATGTCGGTTGAGCTCGCAAAGTCCTTCCCAGAAACAGAAGGCGGTGACAATTAGGACCTCACTTCCAGACCGTCTCGAGGTTACTCTCGACAGTAACTAGTCTTCTGTACGGAGCCCCGGACTGCCCCTTGTTCCATCCGCCCCGATCCTTTGTCATAGCATCCCCTGACTTCGACTTTGCGTAACGACATGCCGTGGGGAGATGTGTACCGGTGCGCTGCCCTAGTTCGCAGGACACGGCATACCTCCTCCTCGGTGCGCAGCATCCAACCGCTGCACCCCATGTCTTGCAGCACTCATGGCAAGAGGGGGCATGAAGTTTGCGGGTTCGGCAGCCAAGGTGCAGCCGCCCGTATTGGGATGGACGGACGCATGTCATGGTGCCAGTGATAAAGAAGTTTGGATACACACGCAAAAAAAGCGCCGACGGTCTAGAGGTCCGATGGCACACCCTTGACATATTCCGGCATTCCAACCCATTGGGAAAGGAGCGCATTGGGGTTGGGTTCATGACCCGTGTTCAGGGACCTTTGTAACAGCCATTCACATACTAAAACGGAGGACACACGGTCAAGATACGGAATGGGTGGCGTTGGGGAGCGGAGAGGCAGCAACAGGTAAGCGACGGGACAAGGACTGTTCTGGGGCGGGGTTTAGTGTGAGGCGAGGAGCGTCACCCAGGCAGTGCCGAGGGAAGGGTGGGACATGTTGGGACAGGTTGGCAAAGGGATGCGTGAAGGTGAATTGTCAAAGAGACAGAATGAAAAGGCGGGAAGCCAGCTGTACCTCCCCCTTATACAACACACCACACTGATTAGCATAGCACCATGTGGGAACGGGCCCGAGGCAGCGCCGTTGCCTACAACATGAGGTCGCAGCATCTTATAACCCAAGACAAGTAAACGCTACCATAGCAACTCCGTTGCAGCAAATCCTTATATTTTCATATACGTTTCTCCGTAGATGGCAGCGAAGGGAAAATATGGGGCGCGTGTCAACGAGAGCTCAGATCCATCGTTCACTGAAAGCGCACACTTCCACCTCTATGGGTTTCCGCACATTGAAAGATCTGCGTTTACCATGTGCTACTTGCGGTTATTGCTATACATAGCTCACCCGCCCGATGATTTCCCAGTGTACGTTCACGTCCGGCTTGGGTCCAGGGGGCTATGACGGTCGGTACGCCAATACACGTGCCATGAAGATTCCACCGTCCAAGACATATATACGTACATTGTTTTTTATTATTGTGAATTGTGAGTACGCTTGTTTATAATATTATTGTGAAGTGTGACAGAGGTGGGCGTATGCTGTCGCCGAGCTACCCGGGCTACTCCTTTGTTTAGTCTTGCAAAAAGGCGTCTGGAGCACGCCGAGGATGGAATCTCAGGTGGGATGAATTCACGTTAGGGGCGGATCTGTATTGTGCAAATATCTCGCGGTTCACGTGGCGGCAGCCTCAGAAGCGAGTCCTTCGCAGTGTCCTTCGCCTCTAAGAAGCGAGCGCTTGTCAATTTCTCTGTGCTCCATAGGCGCCTCCCCCCTTACAGGGTAGCCTGAGCTCCAGTAAGGTACTACCGGTAACGTAAGTATGAACTTACTTCTGTTCTGACTCCCCTGTAATACAAGCATACTCCCCCGAATAGCGCGCTTGTGTTGTCAAGTAACTATGCACTTATGGTGAAAGTCGCTGGGCCTCGCCGCGATATTGTTTGTATGTTTGTCGGCTAGCGGCGACAGTTATGGCCGACCATCGGACGGCTTTCCGTAATGAGATCCTACGTTTTCTGTAGGACGGCTAGTGGCACCGATCCCGAGGGTGGACAGCCGGAAACCCCAGCTTTGGAGCTTGGCGGAATCAACCTGAAGGATGCGCTGGCCGGACGTAAGTCAACCGCGCCAGCCTTTCTATATGCTGATTTAGCGAGTTTATTCATAGCTACTTGTTGCTCTCAATGTGAACATGGCAGCAATAGTTGTCAGCAGCTAGATATCCATCCTTGTTGCTCTTTCCCGCAGGCACGGCTGCAGCTAGGACTAAGCTGGAGAAGATTCTCAATGAATTCGACAAAGACAAGGACGGGCAGCTGAGCGCCGCTGAGGTAAATGACAGGTGCCGTATCCGCCCGCCATACGTGCAACATCGCGCGGTGCCGCTTCGTACTGCTGTCACTCTCCGGTACATCACAATTCCCCTCTTCTGTGAACCCGCACAGCTTGGCCAGGTTATTGAGCGGCTGGCAGCGGAGCGTTCGAACAAGAAGGTCCTCATGGGCGTCATCATCGGCTTTGTGGTCTTCAGCATCATGCTGATCGGCGCGCTGAGCGGCATGACGTGGGGTGTGGTGGCCGCACTTAAGGAAGAGGAGGTACGGCAGTCTGAAGCCCTGGGTGTTGGGCCCGTCATCTTGGCAACGCACATACGTTCCTGTTACGTAATTAAGAGTGTCGCGCCCCAAAACCGGCTTGGGCAGAACCTTGGAAGATGCGCAGTAGCCGCATCCTAGCATGGCGCTGAAGTGCATGTTTAATGCTAATATGGCGGGGCCATGAGCATTCACACTAATTCCTCCAACATTCCCGTTCCTTGCAGATCCGTGGTGGCAAGATGTACGACATTGAGGATCCTACGCAAGTCGTACAAACTGCCAACAGCGACATGTCGGTTGTTGGAGGCGTACTGGTCAACCGTCAAGCGTTTGAGGCAACGACCAGTCCCGACAACTCAACCGCCCTACCCGGCACCGGTAACACCCCGCACGCCAGCACCGTCCTCCGTACTGCTGCCTTTGTGGGCACTCCCCAGAAGTTTAGCAGTCAGATCCCGGTGAAGTCCCTCATGGAGCTCAAGTACCTGTACGTGAGTAATTAACTGGAGGGACGGGAAGGGCATACTTAGCAGCAGGCCATGTTGCCACAAAGGAACGCGGCCGTGTAACCGGTTCATGTGCAAGCCATGTGTTCACGTGGGCATGGAGCATGGAGCTGGCATGGAGCTCAAGCACCTGACCGTGGGTTGACTGGTCAGCAAAGCTCCCCCCTTGCCTGATAAAGGTGTTTACCTGCTTACCGCGCTCCTTGCCTGCATTCTCTTATCGGATTGTGCGCACGACCCGTACCTTGTTTCGCACCTGGAGTACTTCGCGCCTCCCCTCACCTTGATCTTCCTTTCGCCGGTAAGTTCTCGCCGCGAATTCCCAACTCGCCCTATCCTCTGCGCGCCCCTTCTCCCCCCTCCTCCAGATCCAAGGCGCAGGCCAGGTGGAGGTGGCTATGACGGTGCTGGGAGTGGCACGTGTGCCGCAGGCGGGCAGCGCGTACGGCACTGTCGTACACATCCTCACGCTGGCAGGTACGACAACAGTTGGTAGAGCCCCCAGCTATTTCACCTAGAAGATCGCATATTCCTGGTCATTGTGCCTTGCATTAATCTTCCTGGCGATCGTGTTGTGTTCCTTAGTTCCGGTCTCTTGCCACATGTGCATTCGATATACCGGTACGTCGCATCCTTGTACCCTGCCCTTCCAGCAGTGTGCTCCACCAGTGCCGGGCTACTGCTAGCTTCGCGACCCATGGGTCACACCATATCCTGACGTGCCCTCCTCCTCCTGACCTCCCCAACACCTCCTCCAGGCACCATCACACTGGACGGCACAGCCATTGACTTCAACGAGAGCCTGGCGCCCGTGTTCCTGCAGGCTGGATTTGCAGTGGCATCCAACCGCCGCAGCCTACTGGGTGGGTGGTAGTGAGCACCGCCTGCACCGACCATCACACATGCTGGCGGTCTAGGGGTGCATGTTGCTTGGCACGTTTGGCTCCAGCCATGCAAGTCGTCGCAAGGGTTGCACAGCGTTGCACATCAGCATCCATAGCTGTGTTGGAAACGGTTGGCACCCTGCAGTCAAGCATTTCACAATTGATGTCATGGAGCCGGCATGGCGGCCCTACCTGCTACCAGGTTTGGTTCCTCTATCTCTTACCCCTACCCCGGGCCTCACGCAGTGGTAGTAGGCACCGCGGCGAGTAGTAGTCGCGTGTTGCAGCCCTCTGCGCTGCCCTGCTCCTTCGTGTACGGCGGCGGCAGCAGATCTTAGGGGAGGAGCATGTAACCATGAAGCATGAATGGAAGCCGTTCCTCCCTTGGTGCCACGCTCTGTGTGATGTGTGCCGTTCCCCCTGCTCCCCTCTCCCTAACCGCAACACCTCTTGTCCTCTTCTCCTCCTCGCATGTTGATCAGGCGCGTACGACGTTCTTGGTTTCTTCAACTTCATCGAGGATGTGGATATCTTCAACATGCCCTCGGGAGCACCTCGCCCCGCACTTCCCAGTGGAAACTTCAGGATGCAAATCCAGGTGGGCCCGTGTGCGTTTGTGTGTGTGTGTGTATTGGGGGGGGGAAAGAAATTCCGAAGTGTGGTGTGATAATGATACAAGGGGGGCGGGGGGGTAAAAAGGAGGGAAAAGAAGGAATTCCTATGTGTGGTGTGATGGGTGCATGTTGCATGTTGCGTTCACTTCCATTCTGCTCTGCGTTGCGTTCCCCAAGTACGACATACTCTCGCGCCCTCTGTCGTCTCCCGTGCAACCCCAAGGTCCAACACATGCATACCCAGCAGCTCCGTGACCGCCTCCCCCACGTTTCCACTCCCGAAAACCCAAAAACCCTCACCTTGTTAAGTTTTTCTCAATCCTCGCCTCCGCACTCACTCCCTTGCAGTCGGCCAACCTCTGCAACCCACCTTGTTTAAGTTAAGCGTCCTGTACCCTCTTTTCCTCCACTGAATTCTCCGCCCCCTCTCCTCTCTCCTCCCTCCTCTTATAGGTCTTCGACCCCTGCTCCGTGCCCCTCAACCCCTCCGTCGACCGCTGCGTCTACCTGCCTACCTCCGACACCACCCCGCCCGCCCCACCACCTGCCAACTATTACGGCAACACACCTCCGCCCTTGGCGGGCGACCCCGACAGCAGCCTCCGCCGCAGCAGCAGCCGCCGGCTCGCGGAAACCGGCACACGTCGTCGCCTGCAAGTCACCACTGACACCACCACAGGTAATGGGGAGGTGGGGAGTTACGGTATGCAGGGTTAGCCCCCAACCTTTGCCGTACTCCCGTTAGCGACCTCCCCAAACCCCGTCGGCCCGTCTCACCTTCCTACACGCTGCCCCCTCACCCGCTGCCCCCTCACCCGCTGCCCCCCAGGCGATGGTGTTGACCTGGCGGGTACCACCATCATCAACGGCACTCGCTACATGGTCCAGTGAGTAGCGGGGGGGTTGGGGGGAGGGGGGAGGGGGATGGGGGTGGGGGTGGGGGGCTTGGCATGAGAAGTTGGATGGGAGAGATTGTTTGGATGGGGGCCGTGACAAGGGGTGGAGGCTCAGGAGCTGGTGGCGCCGCTGCGTGCATGGTGCTAGGGAGTGCGGAGCTCATGGGTGTGATAGCTAGCTCAGGCTTCGTACGCCCCGTTGCCGCCGCCGCACGCGCATCCTCTCGCTTAGCTTGCCTCTGCCTTTTGCCTTGCGCCGCCTTCACCTGTCCCTTCACATCTTGTCCCTCCTCCTCCCCGCTCCTCGCTCCTCAGCACGGAGACCTCCACCCTCTACAAGGGCCTAACCCGCACGGTGTACGAGTATGCGGTCTTCCCCGATTACATCAAGATCGAGCTGGTGAACAATGTGACCAACATTATGCAGTCATGGACGCAGGAGGTGAGGGGTCGACTGAAACCATTAACCAAATGGAACCGAACCAAAAGAAATTGGAAGTTAAGGCTTAAGTGAGGGGGGGCTGCAGAAGACGTAGACGCAGGAGGTGAGGCTCCGGAGATAAACACGCCGTACTGTGCACACGTGTGCTTCAAGGTTCCAATGTTCCTCAGCTAGGTGGCTTGAAGGCTGCGGGCTAAATGCATGTACCTTGTACCTACATGTGCAAATTGACAACATCGCTGTACGCGCTGGTACGAGCGTACGACACATGATCATCCGCAATCAATGCCTTTGGGCCTTTCCCGGAATGCGTTGTTAGGCAGGTCCCCCGCTTTCCTGTCCTCCCTTACCACCACATCCACACCCACCCCACCCCACCTGGGATACGGGATTCGTTGTTTCACCTATTTAATATTTGTACCCCACCCCCTGCAGGTCGTCACCAACGGCACCACCCCACCCGTCTACTTCTGCAACTCCAAGCCTCACTCCGCGCTGGGCAGCCTGGGCAACGCCAACGAGACGCTCGTGAACTTCACCTTTGTGGGCTACGAGGAGCACTTTGGCAGGTGCGGATGCGGGTTGGGGTGGGGGTTGCAGTGAGGGTGCAGCTTGCGTTCGTGAACCGCAATGTGGTGTGCACCTCCGGGCAGCTGGGGTGGCACCCCCGTTACCCCTAGCGCCATCCGTACATTGATGACCGCTTGCTGCTTGCATGCTTGCTGTTGCCGTGAGAAGGACGCCCCCGCGCCCCTCCTGCTCCTGCTACACTCCACACATGGTATTGGATTATCAGTGCCTCATGTCCACCCTTATCCCACTTCCTCAAAGCATGGCTGTGTCTTCTTTTTAGCCCCCGCTCCCCGCTCCCTGCCCCTCCTCCCCACTCCCTGCCCCCATTCTTCTTTTTCGCCCGCCGCTCCCCGCACGTAGGTCCGCCCGCCACTTCAAGCTGGTCGTGAGGCAGCCTGATGTCTCCAAGAACGTCAGCAGCGGCTCCTCCTCCGCGCCGCCGCTGTCCTCGCTGCTCACCATTGACTACTGGGACTCGCGCTCGGGAGCTGTGCCGCTGGGATTCGAGTTCAGCCACCCCTGGATCGGTGAGTCGGAAAGTTTCTTGCCCCATACTGGTATGTTGAGGGCTGCATGCTGCATGTGATTGCTTGCTCATCCCGGCGAAAGCATGCTGGAGACCTGGGCCGCGTATACCGGCAACCTAATTAAGCATGGGCCCTTCTGCTCGCCCCCGCCCGCCCGGGTCCATACTTGTTGCCTCTTGCCGGTTTCTGCGCATTTAACCCTACCCCTGCCCAACCCGTCCCCGCCCAGGTCGCACCATGATCAACGTGACCGAGTTTGTCCAGCTGAGCGACTCCGACATCGACCCCGCCGACTTTGTCTACCCGCTCTCCGTCGCGGGCGCCACCTGCGGCAAAGACACCTCGGTGCCCAAGCTCTCCTCGCCCTTCTCGCTACCCAGCATGTATCGTGTAAAGAACACAAGTGAGGCCCTGAGTGCCCTGCATGCTGGGTGGCTGGATGGCTGGGTGGCTGGGTGGCCTGGGGCTCCTTGGGAACTGATGGACGTGTGTGTTAAAATAACTGGCCGTGTGTGTGTGTGGCGTGCATGCAGGGCCTACATGCATGCTCTCGTGTTTTGTGCATTCAGGGTGCATGTGTGTTAAACCAACTAAGGCGTGCGGCTAGCCGTGGTACGTGCATGAGTTGTACGGATTGTTGGATGGACCGTAACACACGAATGCACGCCCCTTGATTCCTCACCTCCATTTGCCCCTCTTTTCCCGTCAGCTATGGACGAGCTGGTGGCCAGCAAGCTGGCCAGCCAGGGAAACAAATACGTGAGTGTGTTGCCTGTGCGCCGGTGTGCGCCACATGCGAGGCACCCCCGTGACTGCACACCCATGTTAGCTGTTACTGTCCCATACCTCACACCTCACGCCCGCCTCTGCTTCCCTCTGCTTCCATACCCCCCGCACAAGCACTACGCGCCCTTACCTGCTACCACCCACACCACCATGCACTCCAGGCATCCCTATTCGCCAACAAGACCGCCGGCGCCCGCCGTCGGATGACCTCCGCATTCTCCTCCTCCGCCTCTTCCTCCTCTTCCTCCACCTCTTCTGCGGCCCTACGCAGCAGCAGCAACCTCACCACCAGCCACCACCACCTCCACCGCCAGCGCCAGCTAGACAGCGGTTTTTCGGCCCTCAACGCTCTAGACTCCAGCCTCTGGTGCGGTGCCCCTGCTGGCGCCTACATAACCGCATACGGAGTAGAGCCGTGCACTGTCGACTGGGCAAACGTGGGCAGCTTCTACCAATACCTGTATCTGCGGGGAGCCTGCGGAATGCAATGTAAGCAAAGGGGCCGGGCGAGGGGCGGGGCGGGTGGGGTGGGACACGACGGTGGCTAGAAGGCCGATCTGCCCCGTGTGTGTGATGGGCCATGTGACCCATGGGTCTCACCCCTTGTGGAGTGCTGACGGATGAGCCGTTCACGGCGGAAGGGAGGAGGGGAATGGAGGGGAATGGAGGACGGGAATAACAAGAAATGCAACAAGGCTTACGAAAACAAGTTCTCCCTTCATCGCTGCTCCTCTCCCTCCCCCCGTTCCCTCCCCCCTACAGTTGAGCCATGGCCCGTGTTTCTCGATGGCTCGATTACAGTCGACAACTGCCCTACCAACTCTTTCGTAAGTGCCTCTTCGTTTGGGAAGTGTGTTTGGAGTCAGCTCTCGGCTGTCTAGCTGCAATATGCGGAGGGACTATTCATCGGTTACGTAGGACACGGGGTAGGAAACAGCAAGTTTGAGCAAGAATGTGTTTGCAAAGCCGGCAGGAATAATGAATCCAGGAATAATGAAGAGTTCGGGAAGCATGTGTGTGTGCAGATTGTTGAGCGCCCTATTTGTTGTGCCCAAACGATTCTGTCGTCGTTCTCAGGCAGCAGCCACCGAAAATGGGATATACCTGCAATGCTCAGTCATCTGCATCTCCAGAACTGGAATGGTATCTTTACCTAATGCCCATTAGTGACACCACTCACTCATTCACTACATGCATGCACGTGCACCCTGCTACCCCTGCTACAGATTCAAGGGTGCATCGTCCTCAGTGTGGGTCTGCAGGGTTACATCGAGGAGTATCTGAACGTTGGTTGGCTGGCAACGGTAGGTGGTTTGCGTTTTTTTGGTTGATTGTCAATCAGTGGTTGGAGATAGGGTGGGACTGGGCTACGCGTTTGGGACTGCTGCATGTCTGCCTGCCAGCCTGCAAGCCAACGGTTGACTGCTAACGGTAGGTGGTTGAGGTTGGGCTCACGGTAGCACCACGACACTTGGTACGACAGATTGAAAACCCACTCTGACCCGTGGGTCACTCCTCCCCACCCTTCGCCCTCACTTGGCCCTCCCTTCCTATCTTTTCCTTCTCGATGTGCCTGTCTTGCCTCCTCAGCTCTCCAACATGATCGACTTGGGCAACGACTTGGAGATCGAGCTGTGCGCCGGTGAGGTGGTTGGCCAGCTGTTGGTTTGGACCGTTGTCCCCGAGTTGGTTGCCCTCCCCCCCTTCCGCCCCGCCCCACCAGGCTGTCGCCCCAAAATAACCACCTCACCCACGCGTGACGTCCTTTAACCCTATTAGACTCACCGGTATGCTCCTCTCCTCGTCCATCCTATCCGCCTCTTCCCTGCCCAGGCTGGCGCCCCACCGACCGACTCGCATACGCCTCGGGAGAGCTCGACTTCACGCTCAGCAATTTCCGCGTGGCTCTCGAGTCCGAGCTTGACTTCACCACCAGCCGCATCTGGCTGGATGGCATCACGCTGGCAGGGGAGGTGGGCGTCAACATGTACTTCTGGTCGTACTACGTGCAGGTCGCGAGCTACACCTTCATGCAAGACTACACGCTGTGGGAGTCCGCCGGGTCTGCAGCCAGCGCCCTGGCCGTGCAGCCCAACCCCACCATGTACAAGGGTGGGTAGTAGGGGTGGGGGGTTGTGAACGAAGGAGGTGGTGGCGGCTGTGTGCGCTAAGAAAACTGGCCGCGAAAGTGGGGTGTGTGCGTGTGTGTGTGTGTGTGGATGTTTCATGTGTGTGGGGCCTTACCGCCCTATGTATCTAGTAAGGGCCCTCTCGTACCCCTCGTGACCCCTACCCGTCAAGAAGCGCACGCCCTGCCCTGTTCCTTTCCACATCGTCTCTACCCTCCCACCCTCCCTCCCTCCCTCCCTCCCTCCCTCCCTCCCTCCCTCCCTCCCTCCCTCCCTCCCTCCCTCCCTCCCTCCCTCCCTCCCTCCCTCCCTCCCACCCTCCCTCCCTCCCTCCCTCCCTCCCTCCCTCCCTCCCTCCCTCCCTCCCTCCCTGCCACCCACCACAGGCTACAACCAGTACTACCTGGGCTGCTACGGCGACTACTGGAACCGACGCATGAATTCGGTGGTAACCGACAAGAACATGAACCTGGCTTGGTGCAGGCAGGCGGCCATTGCAGCAGGTGGGGGGAAAGAGGGGCGTGGGAAGGGAAAGGGCAAGCTAGGGGGGCATGCAGCTGTTGGCCAGTGCTGCTGGTGGTGCTGCTGGAACGGGACATGTGAGGTGCGGGTGTGAGGGAGTTGCTGCTTTCTAGAACCGCTGCTGCTGTGTTGTACCAGTGGGCGGGTGAGCAGCTACTGTTACCGTTATGGAGGGCTTCTGGTTCTGCTGCCACCCCTGCCACTGAGTCAGTCCGTGCCCCCCTACCTTCCTCCCTACCCCCTCCCTACCTCAGGCTACCGCTACTTTGGTATCGAGGTGGCCCAAGAATGCTACGGCACCAACGACATGGCAACCGCCACCGCCTTCGGCCCCGCCACCACCTGTAACATGAAGTGCGGCGACGGCAACCTGTGCGGCGGCCCCTGGGGCCTGAGCATCTACGACAGCGGTTACATGGGCTGCTACACGGACAGCGCCAACCGCACAGTGAGCACACTGCTGCGGAGGGACACCGGCTCGGTGACGTACGAGGTGTGTCGTCAGCTGGCGCTGCAAGGAGGTGAGCGACGCACCTGGGTGGGTGGGTGAGGCGTTTTGCAGGTGTGTCTGTTGACGCGACTGGCGGCGAGTATGAGTACGTCGTCCGGGGCGTGGGCAGAGTGGGGGCGTTGGAAAGGGCTGATGCATGCGCTCATAAGTGGTGGCAGGTCAGATGTGGGAGCACGAGGGGCCGCGTGCGCCCAAGCCCGGGTGCCGGTACTAACTCGCCCGGCGTACATTATCCTCATGCCCTCCCGCCCGCCCTCCCGCCCTCCCACCCTCCCGCCCGCCCGCCCGCCCGCCCGCTGCAGGTTACAGCTACTTTGGTCTGCAGGCGAGTTGCGAGTGCTGGGCCACTAACAACGTCCTGCAAGCCCAGTCGCTGGGCCCCGCCGGCAACTGCAACCAGCAATGCAGCGCGGGCGGCGGCGACATGTGCGGAGGCGGCTGGGCCAACAGCCTGTTCAGCGCCATTCCCAATAACGGCAGCGCTGGCTACTACGGACACACCAGTGAGTCGCCGTTGTGGGCTGTGGGCCGTGACACGGGCAGTCTATCGGCGAAACCTCGGGACGTTCTGGGGCATAACTAAACCTATGTGCGCTTGAGACGACACGATGACTCGCTGCTGCGTTGGCTGTGAGTGGCGTTTCCTCACGTACGCCCCCTACGCCCTGTCTCATCTGCACATGCCTCACCTCACTACTGCCCTCCGCCCATTCCTCCCTCCTCACCTCCTCCTCCGCAGACGCCTCCTCCTGGGTTGGATGCTACAAGGACAGTGTCAGCACCTCGTTGCTCACGTTGGTGGACAGCGCTGCCGTCATGACGGTGTCTCGCTGCCGAAAGGCGGCCGTCACATGGGGTAAGAGGGCCCGTAAGCGGCGGATGGCTCTGGCAAGGGGTCAACCGGGCTCTCACGGTGTTGGGGCAGCTGGGACACAGCAGGGGCCATGGCATTGGTCACATTGTTGTGCATTGCTCTACCACAATTGCTTCATCCGTACACGTGCTTTGGCACCCACTAGTTCACCCGATAGCTGCTGCTGCTGCTGTTGGTATAGCTGCAACACTCATCATGAAGGACTACGCGTAACCCCAATCAGCTGTTGCAGTCCCAGCCGCGTATTGTCGTATAAGTCCATCAAGTTTCTCTCGCTTCCTTGCATACCACGAGCAACCTTGCCATCGCCCTGCCCCACCCCGCCCCCTTCCTTACCTCCCCACAGGCCTCCGCTACTTTGCCATTCAGAACGCAACCGCCTGCCTTGCCTCCAACAACCTAACCGTCGCCACCTCCCTGGGTAACAGCACCACCGGCTGCAACCTCAACTGCACCAGCGAGGGCAACAACATCTACTCCTACACCAACGCATGCGGCAGTGCCACCACCGCCACCAGCACCGTCGCCTACAACTCCATCCAAGACAGCGGATACCTGGGCTGCTTCAAAGACAGCAATGTCACGGATTTGGTGCCCAAACTTCTGATGGCTGACACCAACGGGATGACGCCAGACAACTGCCGAAACGTGGCGGCTGCCAGCGGTGAGTTGTTGGCGGTTGTTAACACCCGTACATTGGTTGTTTGTGAAATGCACCAGTCTGTATGTTTTTTACGTACAAAAGGCACCTTAATTAGTGTGACTGTGTCAGCCATCTCACGGGGTGTGCATCTTCCTCCCTACCTCCGCGCCCTCCCTACCTCCACACGCAGGCTATGACCTCTTTGCGCTGCAAAACGGCATCCTCTGCTACGTCGGCGCTTACAAGAACCTCTCCGCAGCCATCTCGCTGGGCCCCGCCTACAACTGCAATGTCACTTGCCCGGGTTCCTCCGACTACATGTGCGGCGGACTGTACGCAAACAGCCTGTACCAGGTCGTGCTGGCGCCCATCCCTGTGGGGGCGGGCAGCACCAATGGCACTGCTGCTGGCCGCCGCTAGAGCTGCTATCGCTGCGGCTACTGCTTCTGCTTCTGCTGCGACTGCTTCACTTTCCAAAAAAAGATGGTCTATAACCAGCGCAGCCATGCACGCGTGCGCTGTGTGCCCAATTTTAGGGCACGAGTAGTATGGGGGTAATAAACACAACCATGGGCGGAAAACATGGGCGTGGGTCTCTGTGTGTGATGTATGATGTGTGACAACCCAGTGGTCGTACTGTTCGTTGCTTGGTTGGGTCGGTTTCGTTTTTGGAGTTTGGGGTCCACCAGTGGGTGCTTGCTGGGTACTCTTCGGGTGCTTGCCGGGGTTTGTTTAGGCTTTCTTGGTCGCCTGCCAACTTTGTTAGGTGCCGGCCGGAGCTGCAGCGGGGTTTTTGCCCTTGTGCGCCCCTGTTCCCGTTTTTACCCGCTGCGTTCGATCCGTGCTGGTTTCGTTTTGGGAAGGCAGGGGCTGGCAGGCGTCCTTGGGGCTCGTGGTTCGTTTCTGGCTAGGTTGTGGGCGGCCCGCGCGGCATCTCTGCGCTCCGTCGGGTCTGTTGTTTGGGTAGTGGGTTCGTGGACGGTGGTCGGCCTTGCCGGACTCGATTTCTTGTTGATTGCTGTTTTTCGCGTGCTGTCGCGCTCGCTCGCTGCTGTGTTTGTACTCCTCGTGTAAGGTCCAGTCGTGGTGTCGTACGTTTTAGCTATTTGGCTTATCTAAATTATTGAGTGTTTTAGCAGTTTGTTGGTCCTATTAATGGCTTGCTTGCGCATATACCTTTGTTTGTTCGGTTCGTCCTGTTCACGGCTTGCTTGCGCATACCATATACATCTCGCCCACATTCGAACTTGATTTCGACCATCCCGGACGTGCCATCGCACTACGGCATGTGCTTTTGCACCTCTATTGTTGCCTGCGTCATGTGGGACGTCGGACTGATGTTTCAAACTCTATTTGGTCTATGTGCTTCAGATCTGCGGAATGATACACTTCGAGCCGCAAGAGAGATGGGTAGTTGAGTTTTTGGTGTTGGGCGTATAATTAGGCGAGGAGGCGAGGCGAGGAAACGCCCATGTTTCCTTGTCTCTGGGTTTGTAATGCTGTAACGGTCATTCGTCTAAAACTGTGGCATCACAAGTACAGCCCTCCCTAACGGGCTTGAACGAATGTCGTACCAGGAGCCAATTACGGCACAAACAATAAAAGCAGGCCATCAGCTTAGTCAGTCTGATACGATTATGGGGGAACACTGGAAATGTTTAACACGCATGTAGAGAATGAGTTTACCCTTTACTAGTTTCTACAGTACCAGTAACTTATTAGACCCGATGCAAAAGGAGGATTGCGTTCATTGGGGCACGCTACACTGCGTTTAGCGTACGGCTAGTACGATGAACGCTGTGACACGTAGCTCGTCGCCAACCCTTTTGCAGCACCTTGCACCATACCGGTATGCGCCACTCGCGCTTTGTTACTGCCCGCGGCTGCATCCTGCCTCTTGTTATTGAGGGTGCCGTAACCCCTAGAACAGAGAGGGTGCCGTAACCCCTAGAACAGAACACACCAACCCAGAAACAGCTAACTCACTCCTACACGACCAACCAAATACACCAATGCTGTGAGATCCAATGCAGCAACTCTCCAAAACACACCGGCCTAATGAACCGCGGCCCACAGGCACAGCAGCAGACATAGCAACCTGCACACTGTTCCTCATGCAAAACGTTTTTCAAACAGTACAACTTACAACGCCCTGATAATGCTACTTCTCTACAGGTGCTTACCGTACGCCAGTACGGCAGTAAGATTCTTCCAGCGAAAAATGCGAATGCGATTCCTGTGCGCTCAAATCGTCGCCTGTGATCGTCTCTACCCTCCAGCCAGCACTCCTAGCCAACTATGGTGTCTTGGTGTGCGGGTGTCCCACACGAAAGCAATGTACTCAGCCACAAGGGAAACCTTCCGTACACTAACGCGGCCTTAATTGCATTTAATTATGACCTCTTGCAACCTAGTTCCGAAAAAAATAAGGAAATGACAGAAAAGCATAAAACCTGCGCGCTACATCCGCGTCAGCAAGCAACGACCGTAGCTGTCGACCGAGCATGAGTACCGTACTTCCCCGTACATTAACGTACACACCCCAGTCAGCACGTGGGTCGTACACTCAGCAAGGACCTAACCTGAACCTCACCGCTCGTCAAGCCCTGACCGCTCCAATGCAATTTGCGCAACTTCGAAATCCGATCGAACATCCTTCATATAAACGCTGCCGTGTTTCTCCTGTCGTACCGCGAGCCACGCCGGCGTACGAAACACTACGCTCTCTCTGCTCTCCTCTTTCCTCACTGTCCTTAGCTGTCCCTCTCTTTAGATCCGAGCTAAGAACACCTCCTCTTCCTCAACCCATCAGCACATCCTAGCAGCAATCATTGGAGCACCACCACCACCACCGCAACGCCGTTCAACAGGAAAAAGAAGTAGAATACAATGCTGGTCGAACCAGGCCTTATAAACCGCACACTAGTTGGAGCACCCATCTACCGGTAGCCCACCGCACTAGCCCACATTCCCTCCCATTTGCGCAACACCCAACAGCGCCCGTACATCCACCTTGGTGCACCGGGCAGCCCATGCCACCTCTAATGTGTATTGCCTTACGCTGGTCCTATACCTTACTACGAAGGCCCACTTCACCGCGCATGCCGCCTCTCTTTCACCCCTCCTTCAAAGCGCTCCCGTACAACCACATACCAAACACCCATGTGCCTAAGGGTGCCAAGCCAGCCATCACTCCAGACTTGCCCTCTTTGCGGCCTCCGCTGCAGCAGCCATTGCCGCCCCCTCCGCCTCAATCGCCGCTAGCTCCGCTGCCGGACTGAAGAAGCTCTCGTCTACCGGCTGCATTTCCTCCTGCTCCTTCTTCCCCACCGCCTGCTTCCCGCCGTGCTCCGTCTTAACCCCTGAAGCGTCGGTGGAAGTGGCAGTAGCAGCAACGGTAGCAGTGCCGCCGCGGCGTAGCCCCTCCTGCTCCTCCCGCAGATAACCGTTGCCCTCTTCTGAAGGCCGCTGCTGCTGCTGCTGCACCCCTACAACCGCCCTTGGCTGCTCCTCCTCCTCCTCCTGCTGTTGCTGCTGCTGCCCTTGTGGTTGCTGCTGCTCCTGTTGCAGCTGCTGTTGTCCCTTGGCCGCCTCCTCTAGGTGGTCGAACATCACCTCTCCCACCTGGAGGGGGGGGAGGTAGGAGGTTGGGAAGGGAGGAAGGATGGAGGGGGAGGAGGGGGAAAAGGGAGGAAAGTGCAAGGGAAAGCACCGTTAGCGCGGGGCCACAGGGCAGGCCTAGCGGCTAGGACGACGAGGCCATGAGGGTGCGGTGGGGTGGTCTGGCTGTCCGTCGGGACTCTCCCAAGCAGCGGTGCCTCTAGTTCCGCCCTCTATCTCCCCCTTCCGCCACTACCCTCCGGGCTAGAGGAACCTTGCAAACCCCCAAGGGTTCCGCGCCCCTTCCCTCCCTCCGCTACTTAGTTGCCTCTTCAGTTTCCTTATTTTTTGACCCCTCCCTCCCTCCCCTCACCTCGAAGTGGTCAAAGTGGCCCTGCTCCCACAGCCCCCGGGCGTACTCGTACCCCAGCTGCATGATGTGTCGTACCTCCTCGTACCGCTTCAGCGACAACATGTCCATGCGGCCTGTTCGGGAGGGGGGTGGGTGTGGGTTGGTGGGGTGTGGGTTTTGAAAGTTGGCAAACGGCAAGGGGTTGGCGCATGGGAGAGCGGCAAGATAAGCTTGGCGGCTCTTGTTATTGCGAACCAACGGAATCACTTGGCAGTAGGGAGTAGTATCACTGGAACACCGGAGGACCTGCAAGCACCTCCTTCCCGTCCGTGTCTCAGCCCCTTACAGCTCTCACCCCTTCCAGCACTCACCCTTGCGCACTAGCTTGGCGTCGTTAAAGTAGTCGAATATGACCGCTGAGCCGCCGGCCTTGAGCAGCTCGGAGTTGTCTGGGAGAAGGAGAGGATGGGAGGGAAAGAAAGGGAGGCGGGGAGGTGTGTGGAGGGACGCACGAGGGTGGGATTGGTACAAAGAAGCGCCGAGTAGAGGAGTTAGGTCCTTTCTCGGAAAAGAGCTGCCGTGTCGTGAAAGACACTGGATCTACTACGACCATGGGTCGACCGCACACAGCTCATCTCCTACGTCACGTTTAGCATGTGGGGTGTGTGCTACAACCACAGGCGATGACCCACGACCCATGGGTCGCTCTGCCCCTCGTCAGCAGCCGCAAAAACTCCGTGCGATCCACAGCCCTTCCATTCCGCCTCTTCAGCCAGCCCACATACCCGGCACAACCCTTAACCACTCGCCATGACACCAACCAACACCCCTGCATGTGGCCATCCGCTCACCCACCCACTCCACAAACAGACCGTACCAAGTAACAACCCCCAGGCACCGTAACCCCATGCATGTTACCCCAATACCTCGCCCACCCACCCCACCCACCCACCATTGTAGAAGAAGTCGGGGAAGGATCCATCCACGCAGTACCTCCCGCGGCAAAGCCGTGTGAACTTGAGGTCCAGCAGCACGGGGATGTGTGAGGAGGCCATGGCGGCGTTGATCAGGTCGCGCTTGTCCACAAAGTCGCTGATGCCCACCTGCACGAGCGGGGGGGGGTAAGATGCGAAGGGAGAGGGGGGAGAGAGGTGAAGGTTGAGGTAGGGAGAGGGGGAAACTGGGAAGCCCCAGCGCGAGGGGTGGGGATTATTATGGAAACAGAATCCGCATTAGGCTGGATAGAGGGGTGGGGAAGGGAGGGGGTAAGGAGAGAGGGAAGGGGCTATGATGGAAGGGAGGGGTGGAGGGGAAAGAGGGATGTACTAGGTTGGAATGATGCAGGCTCCTAGGTTCGGATATGATGAGATCAGAGCACTCAATAACTGTGACTTTTGCAACAGCCTCCCCTCTGCCTCCCCCACCCGCAAACGCCTCCCCTGCCACCCCCTTTGCAACAGCCTTTCCCCTGCCTCCCCCACCCGCAAACGCCTCCCCCACCTGGGCCATGTTGGGCAGCGTGGTGACTACGATGGTGACCTTGCCCCTGTTGTTGGCAGGGAGTGCGGGGGTGCGGGAGGGGAGGGGGTGAGCGGGAGTGCGGGAGGGGAGGGGGTGAGCGTGGGGTGAGCGCGCGAAGGGTGAGGAAAACGGGGGGATACGAAACGGGAGTTCGCATACACATGCGAGGGATGCGACGTCACGCCATTGCAGGGGTTCAGGGTCCGACCCACATCAGAATAAGGGATCTGGGTTGGGAATGGTGATTGCTAGGGCTTTGTTTGGAGCTTCGGGACCATGTGGATCAGGTGGGATAATGACGGGATGGAGGTTGCAGGCAGCTAGTGAGGTATTGCCGACGCAGGGGGCAGAGGGGTGAACGGGGCAAGGGGGGCGTTAGGGAGAAAAAGCGGAGAGGGGGGGGGAGGCGGGGAGGTTCAGGTGCATGCAAAGAGCTCCAGTGAAAGGCACGCTTGCCGTATTAGAAAGTACAAGAACTGCAATACCTATGCGCACAAGGCTGCATGGAAGGCCGCAGATGGCGGGTGATTGGTAACCAACGAACCCAAACATGACCCAAATCACGCATCCTGATGTGGGTCGGAGTACAATCACTCCGATCCTGATGTGGGTCGGAGTACAATCACTCCGATCCTGATGTGGGTCGGAGTACAATCACTCCGATCCTGATGTGGGTCGGAGTACAATCACTCCGACCCACATACATGAGGATGCTTGATCTGGGTCATGTTTGGGTTAGCTGGTTACCAACTCACCCACCACCTGCGGCCTTCCATGCGCCCCAGTGCCTTCCGACCCGATCCACCCCCCAAACACTCCCAGCTTCCCAACTTCCCCACTACCGATCCCATGAACTCCCCCCCAGTACGGAACCCTTCCCCCCGCACCTGCACCGCTCCGCCGCATCCGCCGGCAACAACTCATCCAGCCATTGCTCGATGAGACCGCCCCAGGCGCCCACGAGACCCAAGGGTCGCTCCCACACGCCGTGCTTCACACTTAGGTTGTATGCGTGTTGCAGCGCCACGTCAGCAGGCACGCCGCATGCGGCAAGGACTGCGGCTAGGGCGCCGCCGCTGGCCCCTGCCATGGGGACGCGAGTTAGGTCGAAGCGCTCTGCGAGGTACTTCAACGCGCCAAGTTGCCAGAAGAAGAAGATACCCGCGCCGGCCCAGCTAAGGGTTGTCGCCTTCGTAGCCTTGGGCTTGGAGGCTGAGAAGGCGGGGAAAGAAGGGAAGAGAAGTTGTAGCACATTTGTCAAGTGGTAGAATTGGGAGCTGCACTTGGAAGATAGGCAGGCACGCCGCGGAAACATACGAAGGGTTGCACAGAAATGCTTTTGTGAATACATGTTTACTGGTTGTGTGTGTGTAATCCTTAGCGGTTGTGGGTGACGAAAGCGCATTGGAACAATCAGCATACCGCTCGGCTCCGGCAACGTTAGGGTCGCGGACAATGAAGAAGTGGTCTCAGTGTTCTGGAAGTTAACCACAGCAAGCCTTCGACTCGAGGGTCGTGCGCCTCGAATCGCGCGCGACGCTGTCATCGGAAACGCCAGACAGGGGTCGCTCCTCAGGTTCCTTGCATCCCTGTGAAGGCGCTGGCGTGCCAGGCTAGAATGATGCATGACGATGAAGGTGTGAAACTTGCGCACTAAACAGGGACTGAGCTGTGATGACTCAAGCGACCGAAGCCTGCTTAATCAAACCAGCAAAGTAAAAGCAAACGTGTTGTAGGTCGCGTATATGCTCTACTTGACACGCCTGGAAAATGATCTGGTTGTCGTCAGATAAGACTAACCAGGTAGTGGCACAATGGGGAAATTGGAACAAAACTTTTGTTTAATTTTGTTAGATGTTAAGGGGACCGCTCGCTAGTATGCCGCAAACCTGGCTTGGTACATGCTGCATCGGCCATTTTGCATGTGTACGGCAAAATGGACGAATGCGCGGGGAGTTATACTTAAGAGCTTCCATTTCCCGAAATCGTTCATCGAAAGCGCTGCCGCTTGTTTTGTATTTAGTATATATTATATTGCGGCTCTTGTCTCCGTGGACCTTGGTAGTTAACGCATACCGTAGTTAGATACGCAACAATGGAACCTCCTTTCATGAGAGGTCCTATGAGCAAGGAGCTCGCACAAGCCCGGTGAGAAACACGTAAACACGTTTTGCGTGCCGTCTAAATAGCTTTGCCGGAGCTCGGGACGTTGCATGCAGTCCAAGGCTCCTGCTTTCACGGGGTATTCTCATTTCCGCCGACACCTTGCCTTCTCCAATTTGGCAGGACCGACCAAGCCACCGCAAAATTCGTCGGTGAGATTGTGCGCGACCCCGCTTACCACCAGGTGGTGGAGAACCAGCGTCGTCGCCAGAGCCGCGCTGCGGGTAAGCTCCTTTTAGTTTCGGTATCTGCCGCTGTTTATGTATTCACGTCAAAAGCCAGACGTGTCAGTTCTCGGTAAGGATGATGTGCGCATAGGGTCTTGCGGCACTGAGGATGAAAAGTTAACTTTTTCATTCTTCGTTCGTCGAGCTTGACAAGTGCTAAAGCTGCTCCTCGATCCGCCTTTCCCGTTTTCTTGCAGGTTTGCGCTGGGTACTTGGCACGTTCTTGTGCGCAGCGATCGTCGCTTCGCTCCTGGGTGTTGCGTTTGTTGGTTACCATCCATCACAAGCGCGATTGCGTACAAAAATCGCATCCATTTATGAAGATCCCATTAGCGCTCTGGGCAAGCTTCAGCAAGCAGGTCAGCAGCATCTGACGCGCATCGCATCCAAGCCTGGTTTGGACGTTACCAAGCTCCACGGCGCAGCCGCCGTCCTCGAATCATCAGAAACAACAACTTCAACATCAACGCCATCTTCTCAAGACGCTAAAGCTTGGGAGCAGGCTTCGTCACCACTTTCGCCGTCGCAATCCCATCCTGTGCCCCAGTACTCTGGACCTCCACAGCCCCAACCTCTACCATCGCCACCTCTTTCATCGCAACCTCATTTACCGTCCTCGTACGACACGTCTGGGTACAACGCAGCAGCAGCGCCAGCAGCAGCAGATATCATTGACCGGCAGTCGCCTCTACATGGGGAGCTTGAGGCGTTACATGATAAACACACCGTCAACACCCCAATGCGAGATCCGCGCTTTGAGGTGGGTAGAGGTGTCAGGCCAGACGGGGTAGGCAACACCGTGCTGTAGTGCCGAGGCAGTGGAGGTTTAGGGATGTTTGCGTGTGCTTGGGGAGCTGAAAAGGGGCCACAGCATGCGTGCAAATATGAATTGGGTCGGTACAACACTCACGCTAATTCGGAATGTGGGTCGATGCCCTATTAGCATCGACCCACATTCCAAATTAGCATCAGTGTTTTACCGACCCAATTCATATTTACACGCACGCTGTGGCCCCTTTGCAGCTCCCCAAGCACACGCAAACATCCCTAAACCTCCCAATCCCTACATTAGCGGGGGTGTTGGTTTTAGACAATACCGTCGCGACCCAGATGTGGTCTTCGTCGTAAACGTTAAACGCATGTTTAACGACCCACGGGTCCGCCCGTCTCATGAGAGGCTGTAGCTGTTCATTACCTGCTTACACCTGCTTCATTTTTGCCATCGTCCTTCCGCAACCATAGATAACCGCACCGCCTCCCCTGCCGCCTGCCCGTGCCGCCTTCCCCAAACACCACCAGGCAACCGCCGGTTGGATCTACCAGCCAGACGCCCTACCGCCCTTCATCCCCTCGGGATCGCCGTCGCCGCCCCACTCTATACCGCCCATGCAGCCGCCGCGAGCCGCCATCGCCGCTTTCGAGGCAGCTGCTCAAGGCATCGCCAATAAGCTAACCACCGGCCACTCGACAGCTTCCCCTGCGGTGGCGGCTGACGGAAGCACTCCTATCGTCTCCACAACCGCGCCGGTCGGCGCTTCTGCTACCAACCCCGCAGCTACCCTGCCACCAACCTTCGACGCCATCAACGCCGCCAGTCCTGGTCTGCTGCCCGTCGCCGACGCCAACCGTACGACAACGGCCGAGTCAGTTAGCGGTGCCAACGGTAACGGCCCCAACAACGATCACGATGGGGACGCTGATGCTCTTCCGCTTCTCAGCGGTACCTCCGACGGCGACGGTGTCGTCACAACTACCATTGGCGTTCGCATCACCTCTAACACCCCGCCTGCTTCACTGCACGTCGCTCGTGGCCACGCATCCACTGTTGGCGGCGCGGGTGCTGAAGGCAACACGCTCCCAACCTCGACACCGGCGGTTGCTGCCACCAAGACCCCGGCGCTTGCGGCGGCGTCGTCATCGTTAATGGAGGGTGGTCTATTTGACGACATGTTCATCCAGGCGGCAACATTCTTGGATGTGACACCTAATGATTTGGCACTCATTACGGTGAGTTCTGGTGGGGCGTTTACAGAAGATGGGGTTTTAGAGTGCTGAAGCTGCTCGCGTGCGCAGGGGTTGCGCCTTGCATGTATTGCAAATGCAATGTGGGTGTGTGGCATGTGGGCTAAGGGTAGAAGGGCGATGGGTCAAGGCGGGTTGGACCTCCCATTGGATGTCACATTCGAACAGTATTCGAATGTGACATCCAATGGGAGGTCCAACCCGCCTTGACCCATCGCCCTTCTACCTTCAATACTGTTCGTGCGCATGCCCGCCTATTTCTATCCCTCGACCTTCATCGCGTTCAATTCCTTACTTTCTACTGGGAGAAAGAAATCCTTGAAACCATGACCTCGCAATCACCTGGCATACCCTGACGCAAACCATCTTATGCCCTCTGTTGCCCCCTCTCCTTGCTCTCAGGCTGTCACCTTGGGTGCGCTGGTCGGAGTGCTTCTCGGCTTCTCCACTGTAGTGCTGGCAATGCTGGCCTGGACCTCACGACACGCCCTGATCCAGCGCGCCTACCGCCTGCCGGCCTCCCTTGCGAGCGCCCGTCAACGCCTCTTTGTCAACCTCACTCGGCTCTGGGCTGCACTCAAGGGCAAGGCGCACGCCGCTGTGGATGCTTTCAAGGCCCTTCGTGTCACCAAACGTACGGCCCCGATCCCTGCTGCGGCTCCGAATGGCCCCGCCACCACTGACACCGCCGTGGCCAGTGCAACTCTGGCCCCCTCGCGACCAGCGGAAGGCGGCGAGCAACGGGCGGACATCCTTTCGTCCCCTGCTGCGCCTGTCATCCAGGAGGAGGCTGCTGCCATTCCGGCCGTCACCAACACCGTCTCCCCGGCGGCTGAACGCGAGCCCACAACGACCGTTTCGGCCAATGAGACCGAGTTCTGGGAGGTCGAGTCTGAAGGCGATGCCTTTGAGTTTGACGTGCAACCAGGCGCCCAAGACCAGCCGACGCCCCTCCGCCACCGCGCCGGCATGTGGGTCGCCCGCCGACATGGCTCCCCGGCTGTCGCAACTGCTACGGCGAAGGCAGCGTCCATTGTGCCCAAGCGGCTGCCTCTTTTTTCCGAGGTTCCCGTCGAGTCGGCCGCTGCGACCTCCTCGTCCTCAGCCGCCGCCACTTCCTCGGCTGCTGCCACTTCCTCTGCCGCCGCTCCTGCTCCTGTCGAAGACGCGGACGTCGTCGACACGGCCGCCATTGCCGCCAAGGACGTTCCAGCGGCAAGTGTGGATGATGAGGTGCCCGAGGTGCCTGAGGCTGCTGCCGAGAAGGCTGTTGCAAGTGAGGATACGGTAGTCGACGATGTGATGGCCGCCGTGGAGGCGGAGGAGTCGGGTGCTGAGATCGCTGCCCAGGCCGCCGTCGAGGTCGCATACGTCGCTGCCGTTGAGGCAGCTGTCGAGGCCGCAACGGTTGAGTCCGCTGCTGCAGCAGCAACTGCCGAGGTGGCAGTGCATGCGGCCGCTGCTGTCAACGCCGCCCCTGCCGAGTTGGACGCTGGCGCCAAGACCGAGACCAGGCCTGAGCCCGAGGCGGAGTCGGCTCCCCGGCCGCTGTTTGATGTGGTTCTGAGCGGCGCTGCGGGCTCAATCGTGAAGCCGCTGGGACCGGAGGTGGATTCACCGCCGCGTGGTGCGTGCTTCTCGCCACAGCCGTTTGCGATGGAGATGCTGTCGCCTACGGAGCCGCCCAGCCCGCCTGGCTTGATGGAGTCGCTGTTTGGGGAGCAGCAGCAGGAGGAGGAGGAAGGGGAGGGGCAGCAGCAGGAGGAGGAGGGGCAGGAGCAGCAGCAGGAAGAAGAGGTGTCGCCGTCTGTCCATGCTGGTGACGTGGAGGCAGAGGAACCGCAGCAGGTGGAGGAGATGGAGGCACCGGCGGCGTCTGAGCCGCAGCAGATGGATGCGGTGGGCGTGGAGGAGGAAGAGGAAGAGGAGATGGAGGTAACGGAGGAGCACCTAACTGAAGAGGTGGAGGCAGAGGTGGCGGAGGCGGTTGAGCAGCAGCAACATGAGGATGAGGCAATGGACCGAGGACAGGACGGCGACAGCAATGGTGACATCAGCGGTGAAGCTGCTGAGGCTGAGGCGGCAGCGGAGGAGGCAGTGATGATCAGCACCCCCATGTCTGCATCCGCTACCATTGGCAGCGCTGGCGGCAGCCCCGCTACCGGACCCAGCCCCGCCGCCCCCGGCACCGGCAGCACTGCCAGCTGGGGCAGTGGCGGCGCCTTGGGCAGCGCAGGTCGTGACAGACCCGCCGGTGACGGAAATTCGCCATCGCCGTCGCCCGACTTTTCCGCCGTCGCCACTCGGCTGAACGGTGAGAGCGAGGAGCTGTCCCTGCAGGCGGTTCCTTCACCGTCAGCAGGCTTGGTGGATGACGGCGGCGGCGTCACGCCTACCAGCGCCCTTCTCTCCGCCGAGTACGACGACGGCGACACTGCTGATGTTGATGCAGGCACGCAGTCCGACGCGGTCTTCCGCTTCAACCGCCGCCGTACACCGCACCCGCAGTCGCCACCACCGTCGTCGCATTCGCAGCAGCAGTACGGCAAGGAAGTCAAGCTTGCCGTACGTGCCATGTCCGTCGCGCGCTCTGACGTCCGTGTTTCCGACATTGCCGTCGCGTCGCCGTCAAGCTCATCCGGCTCCGCCAACGGTGCCGCTGCTGCAGTCGGCGCTGACGACGCCAGCGGCGGCGGCGGCGCAACCCTGCATCCCGCGCTTGCAACCCCGACGGATGCGGCGCATGAGCAAGTGGCGTACGACGTAACGCCGTCGTGGCCGCCCAGGGCGCCGCTGGGTGGTGCTCCGGCGGCGGCTGCCGTACTTGGCGGCCGCCGCGCCGCCACCGCCGCCGCCAACGTTGACGAGGACGGCGGCGACAATGAGCGCTCCGCGTCGGCTGACGCTAGTCGCAGCAGCGGTGGCGCCACAGCCACGATCTGCCATGTGACTTCGGTCTGGGAGCCGCTTTGGTCCGCTGCAGGTGGGTGTGGCAGAAGCAGATGCTCATGTGATGGGGGCTGGTGTTGTTTAGCATTGCGGGAGTCTGCTGTTGCCGGCAGCTGACCCTGATGATAGGCTAGTTGTATGTCGTTGAGAAAGACTAATAGCAAGCCTTTGCTCTTGGCTTGCTCTTAGCGATGTGGCCACAGCAGCGGTGGCATATCGTGCGCTTCTCCCTCCGCAATTGCTTCTCCCGCCGCAATTGCTACCCCCTCCTTGACCTCACGCAGGAGGCGCCACGAGCTCAGCCTCCGACCGCAACGGACCCCCCAACACCACCTTCAACACCGCCGCGCCTGCCGCCACCGCCGCCGACGGCGCCATCGACCCAAGCCCTCTCCAACTTCGCGTGCAAGACCCTGGCCGTGGCTACACCGCAGCCGCCTCCGCCGCCACCGTCGCACTCGCAAACCTAACGCAGCGCTCCAAGGACGCGCTGCTGGCGGCGCTAGCCGGCGGCGGCGCAGGTCTCCTGGCGGCCCAAGACGCCCTCCACGCCGCCGCTACCGAGCTTCTCAACATGCAGCTCACGCCAAACACCTTTACCGCCGCTGGCGCCGGCGCATGCAAGGCCCTGGCCTTTAGTACGGCGGCTACGCCTGCTGCTGGCGTCACCGGCGCCGCCGCCAAAGCCCTGATGAGGGGATTGGTGAAGAGTGTCATGGCGGGTGCCGGAGGAGGTGGCAGTCCCTCGTACGACAGCACTAGCAGCGGCGCTAGCGCTAGTGCGAGTGGAGGTAGCGCGGCTGGCGGTAGTGGCCGTAGCTGGGCGAGCATTGGCAGCCGCATTGCTCGTGGCGATGCGAGCGGTGAGGCTGCTTCGACTGCTGCTGGCGACGACGATGGCGACGATGTCGCTGACGGCTTCGACAGTACGGCAGCTTCCCTCGGCGACTCGCCGCTGTCTATCGGCGACGTGCAGGAGATGACCGCACTTCGCAAGTCGCTGGCGATGGCGCTGCAATCCATTTCCGGCTCCGCGCTTGATATCCGTGCGATAGAGCCTTCCCTAGCGGGTGATGACGGCGGCAGCGATATCAACGCTGACGGTGACGTCAGCCTCGCCGTCACGCCGCGACTGACGCCGCCGAGGCCCCGCGACTTTGGCACGCCATCACCGGCGGCGGAAGCTCCCTCCCCAGCCTCCTCCGCAACCACCTACGCCAGCGCCAATGGAGAGTCTTCCGCTGACGCCGCTGCAGCGACGCCCGCTAGCGCGGACGTCAGCGGCGGTAGCGGCGGCAGCTCATCCCCCAGCACTGACGCCAGCCCCGCTTCCAATTCCTCCTGGCTGGAGGCGCCGGGACGCCTGCCGTCAGACGACGACATTGCCGGCTATCTTGCAGCCCGCAATGGCGGCTCCGCGCTCAGCCCCGTCGGCGCCGTCACACTCGCTTTCCAGAGCGCCCTGGCGGTGTTAACGCAGCACTTCATCGCGCTGTCAAGGCATTCGGCGAACGAAACCGAGGCCCGTCGTGCGGCAGAGCGACGCGCCGACGCGGCGGAGGCGCTGCTAGGCGCGGCGGTGACGGAGGAGCGGGAGCGCCGCATGCGAGCAGAGGCCCGGGCTGAGGCGGCGGAGGCGATGTTGCTTGGGGCGGAGACGAGGTTGGCCGCGGCTGAGGAGTGGATGGAGGCGACGGCGGGGGTGGTAGACGACTATCACCGAGCCGAGGAGACGGGGCTCAGCTCGGGGAGCTACAGCTATGGCTTTGAGCAGCAGCAGTACGAGAAGTCGGCAGCTGCATCGGCTGGTCAGGGGAGGATGAAGGAGGATGAGGAGGAGAAACTTGAACGGCAGCAGGAGCCGCTAACGGGCCAGCAGCTGTACGAGCGGTTTAATGAGGAGGACAAGGTGGAGCGTGAGGAGGTGAATGAGGAGGAGGATGGTGCATGGGTGTATGTACCGGACTGTGAGCCCGCTGCGGCCTCCCTCCCGCCCGCCTCAGCCTCCGTCGCTCCCGCCGCCGCCGCTGCGGCTGCCGCTGTTGATGCAGCGACGTCTGCTGCTATGTCGCCTGCCAACGGTGTTGAGCTGGTTGCTGAGGTGGCGGAGGCGGCGGCGGCGTTGGCTGAGCAGATCCCCGAGGAGAGCGACGAGGAGGCTATGGAGCAGGAGGCGCGGTATGAATTGTGGGACGTGGAGTCAACACCTTCGGATGAGGCCGTAGAGGAGCAGGTGGTAACGACCGAGGCGCCGCAGCCAGCACAGCTTCAGCTCCAGGCCCTGCTGCAGCAGCAGCCACTGCCATTGGCACTGCATTCCGACGACGAGACGGATGAGGGCGAGTCTGTGGCGGAGGAGGTGGAGGAGCTAGCTGCCAGCGACGATGGCGACATTGACGCGGCGGCGGAAGCCCTCATGCAGCTGCACTTGTCCTCCTTTGAGGATTTCCCGGCAGCGGCGGAGGCGGTGTCCTCGGGAGTAACGGCGCAGGTAGAGCCGGCGCTGTGGTTTGATGAGGCGCCTGAGGTGGAGGAGGAGAAGGGGCAGCAGGCAGCCGAAGGTGGCGAGGAGGGCCTCGCCGCCGCAGCAGCGGTGCCGTTCCTACATGTGATCGTGCCAGAAGAGGAGGCAGCTAAGGCTGGTGCTGCGGCAACGGCCGAGAAGGATGGGGACGAGTTCTCTGCGATGGCGTCTGCGGACGTGAGTGTGAACCCCGTCGCCGCAGCAGCGGCGGTATCGGAGGTGACGACGGCGGATGATGAACCCGTGGCGGAGGCCGCGGCGGCGGCTCCTGCCCTCACCCGTTCGACTTTTCCGGCTGTTGCCGTGCCACCTCATGCCGTACCGGAACCGGTGGCCTCTGCCTCCTGCAGCAGCCCCATGGCTAGCACCGCGTCCAACACCGGCAGCAGCAACGGCGGTAACGCCACTCCCGCTGCAGCTTCCGGCGTCATCACCAGCAACAACAACGACGGCAGCAGCAGCAGCAGCTCCTCCGGTGGCCTGGCGGCCCAACTGGAGGTGATGGCGGCGCTGTCCTTTGCAGGAACAGGCAGCCGGGAGCATGAGGCCGAGAGCGCTGCGGGGTTCAACCCCAGCCAGGAATCTGCGGATGAGATTGAAGACGCAGTGCTCGCCGGCGGCATCAGGCTGCCTGGCGGTGCTGTCGTACTGCTCCGGGCAGGCGTCACCGCCGCCGCCGCTGGTCGCGACCAGGGCAGCGGTGGTGAGGAGGTTACGGACGAGACGTGGCGTGTGCGGTCGCAGCTGGGACAGCGGCAGGAGGAGGATGCGGAGTCGGAGGGCGAGGCTACGGTGAACCAGCTTGAGGAGGCTGTGGGCACCCCGCCGAGGTAGGCTGGGCTGGGTTGGGTTAAACGGGTGGGTGCATCGTTGACGCATGAAATGTACTGGGCTGTCCTTGCATGCTTTCCTGCTCCCAGCCCATTCAAATCCCGCTCCTTATTCTCAACGTACTCCCCTCGCTCTCCCACGCCGTTGCTGTCTTGCCCTCCCTTCCATGTCAGGCATGGCAACGACCATCCCGGCTTCGCGGTTCCTCGCGATGACAACAACAGCATCAACAACGCGGATTTTGACGGCGGCTCCAGCTCCTCTCCGGATGCTCCCTACAGCGCTCCGCCCTCTGGCATGCGCCCCGACAAGATGAACTACTACACGCCCTGGTCCATGCACAGCAGCAACGGCAGTTGCGGCTATCACCAGGACGTGGGCAGCTGCTCTGGAGGAGGTAGCGGCGGCAGCGTGGGCGGGGATGCTGGCGCCGGCAGCACTGGTGCATGCAGCCGCATCGTCCGCGATGGCGTGGCGGGTGCTGTTGGGGTGCGTTACTCGCCCCTCCGTCCCAACAGCCTAGCGCAGCTACGTGGCGAGGTGACGTCAACGGCTGAGCCGGTCGTGACGTTGGTGTTGGATGCGGAGGAGGATGATGAGGGTTCGGTTGTGGGGGAGAACTAGAGGGGAGGTGGAGGGTGAGGATGGAATGATGTCTGGCGGTGGAGAAGATGGGGAGGATTGATAGAAGCGTGACTGTTAAGGGGAATTGCTTCCTTTTGACAGACTGCAGGGGCGAACGCGAACGACTTGACGGCGAACTTGCTGGATGGGATGCATACGTCTTTGCTGTTAATGACCCATGGGTCGTTTCTAGTAGTATGAAGCACCGTAGCCGCAGATTATGTAGCAGGTGTCAGCTGCGGGCAAGTGTGCTTTGTTATTGCGCTGAGGTATGTGCGCGTGGCGAAATCATGCATAGGTGGCAGGTCTGAGGTGAAAGCTGCTTAGCGTCTAAGCATTAGGACTGCCAACTTGTATCAATAGGTACGTGTCAATGCCGATGTCGCCATGCGGTGTTGCTGCCTAACTACCGTATCTCGGCGCGGGGCCATTGCCCAAGCCCCACTAAGGGTGACCGCATTGCATAAGATATTACCGTCTTGCGTTTATGTCTGCGCGTGCATTTTTATCTGTGCCTGTTCTGTTAGGACGTTTGTGTTCCCCGTTTGGCTTATGGGCTTCACAGTAGATCGAGACTACCGGTATGGCTAAGGCCTTCATATGCCCGGCAGGATGTGTGAGAAGTGGTGGGAAGCCGCATGCGAGTGGGAGCTTTGCTTCATCGTGTTAAGGAGCAATGTGACTTGATGACTGGCTTACTGATATGCATTAGCTGTCTACTCGACAGGGATCTACGGTTCGCGGGTAGCATGTGTTCTTTTCTTTGTCGTTTGCGACGGGTAGTGTCTTGCATGACATGTGGACAACAAGTATCACAGCCGTTTAACCATGCAACCCTGAGTCAGCAGGGTTGCTGCTTGAATGGACTATGTTTTGCATGTGTGGCACTAAATGCATGTAACTGAGAATGGCAACCGAAGAGTTCGGCAGCTGTCACACGTGCAATGCGAGACGAGTGCCACAGATGTAGCAGGACGGTTCCTATCTGCAACAGCCCTATACGCTACAACCCTTGTAGCAGCCGTTTCTGAAACATACCAGCGCATTATCTGAGGCAGCTATGTCCCCCCGTATCATCGAACACACTCCTTGGGAGGATGTACGGGGTATTGAGTACGTTCTAACCTTGCCAGAGATCTGTTGGCTGTGGCAAGCATCAACTTTTAACGTGAATGAAGCTGTAGGCACCACCTTACCAGACAAGCTTTGTGAACATTCGCTTCAGAGTGCTGCCCTGGAATTCAAGAGGACAGCGGTTTGTACGACAAGGTGCCATGTTCCGCATTTCCATGAATAGCGTGTATACAACCATCAAGCAAATGCATATGTAATAGTGGCATGCTCACTAATTAAGCAACATCATGACCGTCTTCGGTAGCTGTAGTTGCAAGCTTGCAACAGCTCGACATCAGGATTTAATTTACGACTTATATTAAGTTATACAGTCTGCAAGTATGCAATCATGACATTATCGCAGACAAAGCTTCTCAAGTCCAAATCTTGCCCATTATGATTGCGACTAGGCTCAGATTCGGTGCCCCATGCTGTCTGCCTTCTGCATAAACCATTAGTGGATCACACGAGTGCGGTTTCTTATGGCGTCCGGCGGGCTGCGTTTGCTGGAGTTGACCAAACCTCACGAGCCAACATGTAGCAATCTTCCACCAGCTGCGCCCCTCCGCCATGCTCAGCCCCAACGCTGGCCACAGCCTCATTTCCGTAGTTCTTCTGCAGCCCTCTGTGTGCTTCCCCGCTTCCTTCTGTTCCTCCTCCTATACCCATCCATCAGCATCTTCGCTGCCAATGCCCTCACCACAAATGCGGCCTCCGCCTCCTCCGCCTCACTCTCCGCCCGCGTGGTCGTCGTAAACGACATCGCGGGGCACTTTGAAGTCCTGGCAGGAGTGCTCACCTCGCTACACCGCCTGCTCGCGCCACATCCATCCTCCTCGTCATCAGCATCCCTGCAGCCCGCCAACAACCAAACCAGCGGCACCCAACACCGACGCCAACAACTACAACTACAACTACAACAACAGGGCACCGCTCCCAGACCACGTGTCGTATTTACCGGAAATGCCCGCGGTCCGGCCCTAAACGGTTTGCTGGACTGGCTGGGGCCCGAGGTGGCCTCGTGGGCCTCCTGGCACCCCCTGACCGGCAGCGGCGGCAGTGGCGGGGAAGGCGAGGGTGGCGGTCTCGGAGGAGGAAGCGCAGCTGGTGGTGGTGGTGGTGCTGGGGGTGCTGCCAACAGGGGGCGAGGAGGAGGCCGAAGAAAGGCCGGCGGCGGCGGAGGAGCAGCAGCGGCAGCAGCAAGGGGAAGGCTGCTTGCGGCGACGGGGGAGGCGGCCGCGGAGGGGTGGCAGGGGGGTGCGGATGTGGTGGTGTGCGTCTCGGCGGAGCTAGCACCCAAGGTGGGGGCGGGGTGGGGGCGGGGGCCAGATGGCGAGGACTGGGTTGGGGGCGGGGGGGCAGCAGAGAAGGCAGCTGGAGGAGACAGGAAGGAAGGAAGATCAGAGGCGGGAGGGTCAGAGGCTCAGGGCGTATGGACGAGCGGTGGGGAGGGGCTAGAGAAAGCCGATTACGCCGGTTACGTGCTTTTGTCGGCTGAGCTAGCCAAAGCTATTCCCTACCCGACCTCATCTCCATGCCTCCACTCACCCTAAGCCTTCCCCCCACCTCCCATTCCTCGTCCCGCCCACCCCCCTCCCTCTCCCCCTACTCATCCCCCCCCCCCGTGTCCCCTCCACACCCGCCCACAGGTCTGCTCCACGGTGGTTTCCGCCGTACAGCCCCGCCTGCTGGTGGTTGTCGTACACCGGGCCGACACGCACACCCCGCACGCGCGGTTCCTGTCGCTGGTGGCGTCATCCGCCCTGGACCCCTCAGCCGCCTCCTCCTCCTCCTCGGGGGGCCCTGACGCCCCCTCCGCTCTCCGTCTCATGGCCCTCGCACCGCACGTGGCTAACCTCAGCAGGTGGGCTGATTAACTGGGGGGCCTACCGTTGAGGCGGGTGGGGTGGGTGGAGGAACACTGACACGACTGGGTGTGTATGCGGGCACGGACTGGGTGTACGTCCCCTGCGCACCCTAACCTCCGCCCCCAGAACCTCCATCCACTTCGCCGCAACTGCAGCCCTCACCACCCATTCAATCATGTACCCCCGCCCCCACCCCACCCCACCCCACCCGACGTCCCCTCACCCCAACCCCCCTCTCATGCGGCAGCCACAAGCTGCGCCGCCCCGTGTCCTGGTCCCTGCCGGTGGCCCCCTTCCGGCCGCCCCCCGCCACCCCGCCCTGCGAGCGCAAGGAGTGCATGAGGGGCTTCAGCATCCAGGTGGGTGGGCTGCTGCCGCCCCCCTGTTTGGCATCCTGCGACTGCCTCGCATTCACTCCCTCTCTCCCCCCGCCTCATCACATTGTTCGCTAGTTGTTTCCTCTTTACCTCTTTACCTCCCCCCCAACACACACACGCTAAGACAATCACACGGTTCCTTTAAAACTAATTCACACACACGCACACACTCGCGGCCAGTTTTCTTAACACTCGCGGCCAGTTTTCTTAACACTCGCGGCCAGTTTTCTTAACACTCGCGGCCAGTTTTCTTAACACTCGCGGCCAGTTTTCTTAACACTCGCGGCCAGTTTTCTTAACACTCGCGGCCAGTTTTCTTAACACTCGCGGCCAGTTTTCTTAACACTCGCGGCCAGTTTTCTTAACACTCGCGGCCAGTTTTCTTAACACTCGCGGCCAGTTTTCTTAACACTCGCGGCCAGTTTTCTTAACACTCGCGGCCAGTTTTCTTAACACTCGCGGCCAGTTTTCTTAACACTCGCGGCCAGTTTTCTTAACACTCGCGGCCAGTTTTCTTAACACTCGCGGCCAGTTTTCTTAACACACGCACAGTTTTCTTAACACACACGCACTTTCGCTTCCCCCCCTGCTCTTCCCGCTCAGGGCGCCTTGCGGCGCTTCAAGAGCAAGCACGGCAACGGCCTCACACGCGACTTCAGCGGCCTGTGGAGCCGCATGATGGAGCTCAGGCGGAACAGCAGCGGCAGCGGGGCAGGAGGTGGGGTGAGGGGCGTGGGTGGGGGGGGTCAGGAGGGGGGGGTCAAAGACCATACGAGGGGCAGGGGAATCGTGGGACGGGCACTGCTGCGTGTGCGTGTGGACGTTTGGCGGCCAGGGTTGGTTAATGGGCGGGGCGGCTAGGGGGCATGCGAAGGTTATGCAGGGGCGAGGGGGGCGTCTTCTGCTACTTGTCGGCGGGTTGGGTTGGGATGACGGGATCTAGGACAGCATGCACACGCCACGCGTCCACCAGACAGCTATCCATCCGTGTGTACAGCGGCGCTGCTTTGGGGGTACCGTACAATTCGTACTACAGCCTTGATGGATGGTGTGGAATGCGGCCCCCTGCAAAGGCCACCATGATTTTCACAACCGCAGCGAGACAACAACAAAACCAAGCAACCAATTGCTTAACGCGGTCGCTGTCATGTGCGATGTGTCATGTGACATGCTGGACTGCAGGTGGGGGTGGGGGTGTGGAGCTGCCCCGAGTGGTGGTGGTGGGCAAGGGCGAGCGGCGGGACCTGCAGCTGCCCGCGGAGCTGGAGGACGTGGTATCCTTCCACCCCTGGCTGAGGTACCCGGTGAGAAGGAGTGTGAAGTAGAGGGAAGAGTGGTGCGGGAAGGGGCGTGAGAGGTGGGGAAGTGACCCGTGGGTCACATGGGGAGGGGATCAGGCGTGGAGTGGCTGTGGAGTGGGTGTTCTTCCATGTGGCTGGGGTACGCTGTGAGAAGGGGGCATGCAATGTAGGTTGGGGCCCTCGCGCCTGCGACCCGCCTCCCCCGCTTCCCGGTCGTCCATCTCACCCACATGCCTCCCTTCCCATACCTCTCCGCCTCCCGTCCTACTCCTTCCCCCGCCTGCTGCCCTCCTTCTCCCCGCCTGCCCCCTCCCCTCCTTCTCATTTTCCCCCTTCCCCCGTCTCTTAGGACTTTTGGTCGCTCATCCAGCGCAGCTACGCGCTGGTGCCCCTGTTCGGCATGCCCGTCTACTTCGAGAGCCGCATCTCCTCCACCGTGCTGGCCTCGCTGGTCACCTGCGTGCCGCTGCTGGCGGAGCAGCGGCTGCTGGACACCTACACCTTCCTGAGGTGGGGCGGGGGGCGCAGGGGGTTTAGGTCTGTAGGGTGTGTGTACGGCATGTGTGTACGGCATGTGCTTCCTACTGGAGGGTGGCTGTGCTGCAACCCACACCAACCCCCCGTACACCTCTTACCTCCTCTTTCCTCTTTCCCTGGCTGCACATGCTGACCTGCGCCATGCACCTGTTGCCGAGCCCCATCCCCTCTTCCTGCTCCATTCCTCCTCCCTTGGCACGAGCATGTAACCCATGGTGGACCCTACATGTCACACGGGTCATTACCTCCTTCCTCCCCTCCCCTCTCCCCTCCCCCTCCCCTCCCGCCGTCCCCTTCCCCACCCGCCAGCCCCCGCCACGTCTTCCTGCGCCTGCCCGGCGAGGACGAGCTGTCCGCCATGCAGCGGCTGCAGGCGCTGCCGGAGGAGCAGCTGCTGGCGCCCCGCCGGGCGCTGTGTGAACTGCGGGGGGCGATGAATGCGCGGGCGGACGAGCTGCTGGGGGGCTACCTGAGGGAGGCGGTGATGCAGGGGGGCAGCTAGCTAGGGGGGGGGCTAGACAGCTAAGAGGTTGGGGGGGGGGTAAAGAGGAAATAGGTACCGGTAACTGACCGTGTGGAAAGGCGTCATCACGGTTTGCAACATGTGGGCCAGCCCGACCCGCCCAGCCCGAATAGAGGGAGGGAGGGGGGAGGGGCGCGTGTGTGGACGCGTGTAGATTACGTGTCGTGTGACAATAGCGTTTGGGCGCGCGAGGAACTTTAATCGACCAGCAGCTACGTACAATGCATGATACGCGTGTGCCCTACCTGCATCACACTTCTAAAGGAACGTGCAGGTATATTATACGGCATGCAGGCAGAGTGCTGCGTGCGTGTGCGTACCCACTCACGTGCGGTGTGGCCACCCTGCCAGCTGTGTTTCAAACGCAAGTCCTGGGTGTACCTACACTGCCGTCGAAAAAGGTGTGTTGCCGCCTACCTGGCGCGCCAGGCCGGCAGCAGGTGAAAGCCACAGCGGATACATACCGCTGGTGTGCTTACGGCAGCATTTATGGCAGCATTTTGAAACATGAACTAAAACCCAGCTTCCATAGCCCACACGAGTATCAGCCCCTGGAATATGCCTTGCAATGGCACTCTTAAACATGTCTTGGGTGGAAACATTTCACCCGGTATTCCATTTGGAATTGCACGGGAAATGACTTGCCTGACCGGCCTTCCGTGGATCAATCGTCATAAAGGAGAAGACCCAGACACATGCAGGCCACGCGGATAACGGTCTACGACGCACGCCGCAAATACCTTCCACGCCAGCTAGTGTCCATGCAAGGTAAGAAGGGAGATCTACATGCGCGCACTGTTGGACGCAAACATGACGCCTGCTATACACCTTCACGAACAAATCCTTAGCCAATGTATGTAGAGCACATGGCCATACATCACGTGTGTTGCTTAATGAGAGTCGCTGAATGCGTGCATTACGGAATATGCCATGATACCGTCCGCAGCATGCGAGACCTGTCATCCTCCACCTGTTGAGTGAAGGCTCCGGGCTCTGAACCGCACCTATCGCGTTGAAAGGATGCCCTACTTTAAGCTCCGTAACACATACATAAAACAGAATTCCATGACAGCATGCCATGTGACCCATGGGTACTGGGCACGCCACCGACAATACCAGATGGCCTCACACCACATCACAGGTAAACCCAACCTCTTCCTCACCATCCATCACAAAAAGAGAACGGTGACCGCAAGCACACTTACAAACACCCAGCCCACACCCTGCTTCCGTACGACCCTAGCTAGCTGCATGCTGCCACACCCAGACGTCCTGCTCTCACGGGAGCGTGTCGTTGAGCCAGGCCACCCCCACCCTCAACGACACACGTGACCCCCGCACCGCCGCCCCCTGCCCTCAGAGGTGTGTTGCCCAGGGGCACAGCAGCTCGCCCAGGTGCTGGCGCTCGTCCTGCGTGAGGTCGCCCCCGGGGGACAGCAGCCGCTCCTGCGCGGCGCACAGCTCGGGGGGCAGCGAGCGACCCATCACCTGGAGGGGGGCGGGGGGGCGGGAGGGTGGAGGGAGTGTAGTGCCTATGTATCAGTGCAGGCCACGCACCCTGGCAGGAAGCTCCCCATGCCCTCATAACCCACACACCCCTCCTTCTCCTCTTCCTTCCTATGGTCTGGTCTTTGAACCCCCCCTCCCCCCCCCCGCTGCCCCACCCCCCACCCACCTCGAGCACGTTGTTGATGTTGTTGCCGTCCTGCACGGTGGGGTGGTCCGCGGAGTACGTCCAGTGGCCGTCCACGATGAACTTGTACGGGTACTTGCCTGGGGGCGGCGAGGGCGGGGGCGGGGGCGGGTGTAGGGGCAGACGAGGGAGAGGGAGAGGCAGGGAGGGTGGGGAGGGGGATCGGGCTGCGTCTGTGCATGCGTTCGCAGCGGCAAATAGCGGCAACGACAGCGGCGAGATGTCAGACAACACCACTCCCCACTTTCAAAACCCAAGCACCTCCCATGCACACCAGCTGCCTTCCTCCCCCTTCGCAACCTCCTTTCCAGCCGACCTCCTCCCTCTCCCCCCACCGCCCCCTCCCCCACCCGGCTGCAGCGCCCTCCTGAGCACCATGCGCCCGGTGGCCCCCTCCTCGCGCTGCAGGGGCAGCTGCTGGTGCCAGCCCACATCCAGACCCGCAATCTGACGGGGAGAGGGGGGAGAGGGAGGGGAGCGGGGCAGGCGGGTCGGAAAAGCAGGGGGATGGCGAGGTTTGTTGCTAGGCGGTGATTTTATGATCGGAAGAGCATATTGGGTACAGGGTCGCTATTGCTCCCGGACCGCACACCCCCTCTCCCCTCCCCACCTTCCAGTCGGTGGCGGTGCCGGTGCGGTACACTGCGATGGTGGCGGACACGGGCTCCGACCCCACCAGCAGGTCCACAGTGGCGGAGCGGATGGCCTGCAAGGGGGGGGGGGGGGATAACGAGCTGTATGACGGGGCTTCACCATGGGTTGGAGGGGGTTGGAGGGGGGGTAGAGGAGGGCATGAGGGGGGAGGAAGCAGGGTTGCGGGTTGGGAATGCAAGGTACCTGCACCGAATGTGGAGGAAGGCGTGAGTGAAGGAGTTCAACACGCACATCAATGCCACATCCCATTGCGTTAGTCCCATTATCCTTACCACCCCCCCGTCCAAACCCCGCCCGCACCTCTATCCTGGGGCTGCACAGCCGCTTGCCCCGCAGCAGCTCGTACCCCGCATCCAGCTGGAAGCCGCGCAGCCAGAACATGTAGGCCAGCGCGGTGGCGGGGGCGCGACCCAGGCCTTATGGGGGGGGTGGGGGGTAGGGGGGTAGGGGGTAAGAGGGGGGGGGTGAAAGAATACCTAATGGGGTTTGAGGTGGAATGATGGTGTGGGTGTGGGTGAGGCGGGTTATGATTGGTGGGTGGGCACTGTGCAGGAAGAGCCTCATACCCAACACCGGTACCGGCTGTCGTACGTACGGCACGCTTGAGCCCCCAGCAGGAAATGCAGTGCCTGGTACGGCACCCACCCACCCACCCACCTGCCGTACAGTGGATGTAGACGGTACCAGTGGTGGGGTTGTGCTCGCGAGCTAGGCGGGTGACGGCCTGGGGGGGGAGGGGGGTCAGCAGGGGGGCGCAGGCATGCCGGGGTTATACCGTGAACAAGGTCTGCTGCAGGGCCCTAGCTTCACATGGTGCACGTGCACCACCATCTAAACCCTGGCAATGCAAGGGCATTCCCCTGCACAAAACCCTGATCTTGCCTTGTCGTTTGCAGTGATATTCAAATTTCCAGTCCGTTACAAGCTTGCACCCCCCCCCTCTCGTCCCACACACGCCCCCTACCTTTGGCAGCTTCCTGCGCAGGTCGAAGGGGTCAAAGTCGCGGATGGGGAAGCGCACGTGCTTGATGTCACCCCGCTCGGCGCACCGGGCCTGGGGGGGGGAGGATGGGAGGGATGGAGGGAGAAGCATGTATTGAGGGCGGGAGGCGGGCGGGAGGAGCAGGAGGAGGTAATGGTGGACGTTAGGAGTTACAGGAGTGATGACTCACCTGAGTAGGCCATAATACCCAGCTCCCTGCCACCCCTGCCCTCCCTCCTGCCGCCTTATCGCACGGTCAGTTGGTTGTTTCCTCTTCACCTCACCTGCATTGGCCATCACTCCCCCTCCGCCCTCCCGCTGCACCGCATGAGCCCTCCCCGCCCCGCCCCCTCCCCCCCTGCCGTCTCCTATCCTTATAGCGTTGCCCTAACCTGTGGCTTCCCATGATCCGGTATGGCCTCTGATCCCCCACACCTGGATGGGCCTTATGTCCAGGCTGAAGTACTCCATGTCCGAGTCCTCCTGCAAACAGAACACTGTGGTGACGCCCTCGCGCTCAGCCAGCAGGTCCACGTCGGCGGGGGTCTGTGGGAGGGGGGGAAGGGGGGGATTAATAGGGATTATTAGGGATGGAGGGGGGGGGAGAGGAGGAGAGGGGGAGGGGGCGACGACCATACCATACCGGTACCAAACCATGTGAAGCCACAGAATAGGGAGAAGAGGAGGGGGGGAGAGGGAGGAGAGGAGGAGGTGGGTGACAGCAGCGACCCAGATGGCAGCGGACTGCGGGGCGGTGGCAGCGACGGTGATGCGGCTGAGGAGGCTCTCAGGACCCGCATGCGACTGCAAGCCGCTCCAGCCGACTTGTGGGTCCAGAGCCCGGTACTTTACGTCTGGCCTAGACCCCCACGGGTGCCCCAAGGCCCACACACCGAGCTCTACCTCCTCTCACGCCTCATTCCTTCGTCCCCCATGATGCTCCCCCCTCATCCCCATTCCCCCCGTTCCAACTCTTTTGCGTTTCTTCCCACCCCACCCCGCCCCCTTCCTCCACCGCATGCCTGGGGCGTCCGATAACGACCATTTAGGCGGGCGTCTAGGGCGTCTGGGGCGTCTAATTGCCATGCCGTATGTTGCCCTCTGCCTTATCAACCCCCACACCGCCTCCCCTCCCCCTGCCTCACCTGCAGGCAGCTGCCCACGATGAGGTCGGGCAGTATGCGGTTGTAGTTGAGTCCCTCCTCGTGGCGGTAGGTGAGCGAGGTGCCCATCTGCCGCTGCATGGCGCCGCTGTAGGCGTCGGACTTGGACGCGGTGGGGGAGGGGGCGGAGGAGGTGGTGGTAGTCGGGGCTGGGGCGGAGGCTGGGGAGGAGGTGGAGGCGGTGGTGGTCGGGACGGTGGAAGGCGAGGATGGGGTGATGGGTGTAAAGCAGGGAGGAAAGGTGGGGAAGGGGGGGTTCAAAGACCATGAGGTGGGGATAAAGAGGTGGGGATAACCCGCTTTGTTGGCAAGGAAGGGTACCATTTGCTCGTTGTCGTCATGTGCATCTTGTCACCCGAAGCGAGCATCCAAGCAGCACCCTGCCGGTTGCGCCATCATTCATTGCTTCTATCGAGCTGTATGGCATAAATGCGGGCCAGTGCCATTGTTTACGCGACGAAAGGATACCCATTTCGCAATTCCCACTTGTGGCAGCCACCAAGTCAGGCAGAACCTTACCTCCATCGGCTGGTGCTGCAAGCGTAGAGACCGTGCGTCCTGTAAGGAAGGATATGGAGTACAGGTCACGCAGTTGAGGATAAAGGGATTCAATTCAACACGGAAGCTTTGCGTGGACCGTGGGCATTAGGGCATGCCAATGTCCATGGAGCAGTTTCGTCGGCATCGGGTGAGGTGTAGCAGGAGAATGCTGTCCTTTGTGTAAGGTTGTGATTTTTAGCTACTACGCACATGTATAAGGCGAGGTAGTGGGTCTCCGTTCATGTGCCTATCCGACAGCTGGAGTCACAAAAGGTGCCCCTTCTTATCGTATATAACCACAAGCTTACTTGTAGTTCCTTGTGCTCCAGAGATCCGCAGCCCCGGCAGCAATCGGCGAAGGGGTGCATACGTAATGCACCCAAGTTCATGACGTCTGCAAGTAACACGTAAGCCGTGACTACCCTGCAAGGCATTTTTCCAATTGTTTGATGGAGATCTCTTCTCGTTCGAACTACCTGCATGGTGTTTGTGATGGTGCCAAGAGGCCAGCGCCTAGGATTGCCATGCTTAACCAGATTTCAATTGGAAAACAAAACTTGAAGTCAGGTGTACACCAAACCGGTAACAAGTACTAGTTCCCTTTACTACGTCTTAGCTGCGGTTGAAAACAACACGCCTCCGAGACCACAGTCCGAGCAAAAGGACTCCAATGAAGACAGCACTATACCTAAGTTATTATTTAACGACTTTCTTATATAGCCCTTTTGCAAAATGCCCGAAAGCTGCTGAAATCACGTTTCCTGATCGAAACACCACACTTTCGGGCGCTAATGCATTGCATACATCAATAAATGTGGCGCGACTTGCTGAAGTAGGGTGTATAACATATCTCTTACCAGTATGAAATAGCATTCCGGTGCAATGCAGCGTCTGGAAGACAAGGGGACGGCGAACTCAGCCAGGCGGGGCGTGCCTGAGTACACCATCATCGTGCCCACCTATAACGAGCGAGAGAATGTCGGTGTGCTAGTTTGGATGCTTATCAAGGCACTGGCCGAGCTTGTTTCGTTCGAGGTAGTCTTTGTCGATGACAACAGCCCAGATGGCACCGCCGACGCTATTGCTGCACTGCAAGCTGTATACGGTACATCACTCGTACGCATCGTCAGGCGGCCTGGCAAGATGGGTCTTGGCTCAGCATACGCAGCTGGCTTGCAAGAAGCAGCGGGGCGCTTTATCATCCTCATGGATGCGGACCTCTCCCACCATCCAAAGCACCTCCCCGCCTTCATCGCAACCCAGCGCACCACCAACGCCGACATCGTCTCTGGTACGCGATACCGGCTTGGAGGCGGCGTAGCCGGTTGGAACCTGGCGCGCAAGTTGACCAGCCGCGGTGCCAATCTGTTGGCATCTTTCCTGCTAGGCGCCCGCGCGTCGGACCTAACCGGAGCCTACCGTCTATACCGCCGAGAGGTCCTAGCGGAGCTGCTTTCGCGCACCGCCTCACGCGGTTACGCGTTCCAGATGGAGGTCATCGTACGAGCGCAGTACATGGGGTTGCACGTGGAGGAGGTACCCATCGTGTTCGTTGACCGTTTGTACGGAGAGTCGAAACTTGGAGTTGGGGAGTATGTACAGTTCGTGCGGGGTCTTTTGAGATTGCTGATGAGCTTGTGATCGAACCTGTTAAAACGCTCATAGCTACCTGAGCCCTTTTGGCGCGATCCTGTACAGCAAGTCTGATGTATTGTACTAGCGGTATGGGCATAACGGACTCGTCAGGTAGGAGATGATGGGAAGATACTTCGAGCGCGGCGAGGCGGGTGCAGAGCTGTGTGGAAACATAGGAGTGGGTGTCAAAAACGGCTACGTGACGGCTGTGGATGACGTTGCAGTCAACTTAGAAACGCTTCAGCCAAGGTGAACACAATCTTAAGATGGTATAGGTGAGCTTGCACGGCGCCTCTGCGGTTTGGACGTTTGGAGGATCAAGCCTGCAATCAGCACCTATTGTACGGCGCCCGTTCGTGCATGCAGCCCATCGCCACCTTGTGTAAGGCTTCCTTCTTACAAGGCAGTGTTGCGGTGGGCTTTTTTAGTGTCAGGATGCTGTAGGTGGCCCCAGAGATAGAGGGCCACTGAAGGGGCTTGTAGGGCATGTACCGGATGGGGGGCGCAGCTGCTGCATGGCAAGGTGTTGACAGGACCCCATTCTACCTCAACAACTAGGACAACCGGGTTCACCTAGGCGTTCTTTCCCCAATGTGCTTTGGTAGATTGAGATAGCTCTCCCTAGGTGAGGCTGAGTGCGCCTCTCCTACAACGGCTCCTGGGGACAGAAGATTGCTGTAGTCCGATCAGGGCTGACGTGCCATTGGTTGGATGGGTGAGTCCTACTGCTAGCAGAGTACAGGCGGCTTCTTGAACCTGATGGCCGAAAGCGGTGTTATCTCTGGTGCAATTGAACTGGGACGGGCTTCCAAGGCGCAAGGTTACCGGTTTGGCGTGGTACTGCAAAGGAGTACGACTGGCGTAGCGCATACCAGCCAACCTTTGACGCCGCAACACGAAATTTGCATTACGAATAACGCTCCGGCATTGGCATGGCTACCGCCTTGGCCGTTTAACAGGGTCTTTTCCACCCTTAGTAAGCCAAGTCACAGACGAACGCGTTAGCTTGAAATCGTGCACAGTGAGCTGATTTATATTGTAGCGGTACATGTTCTATATTCAGCGGCTCATAGTTGGCAAGCAGAGCAAAGTGCGCGTACGGTAGTTGAAGGACCTGTACCCCAAGAAAGGGTTCGGGCGGTTGGGACGCAAGTGCCTTGGTATGATTGATGCAAGTTCATTGTATGCATGAAGGCTGAGCATGGCAACCTTACAAGTTCTTACCCTTAACGTTTGGGGGTTATGGCTGGTGTCAAAAAAGCGATACAACCGCATTTTGCACCTTGCGGAGTTTCTTGCTAATGATGCACCTCAGAAACACAACCTGGTGAGCTTCTGGGGGCAGATCGGGTCCCATTTGCAGCTTTGCTTTCGGCTATAGACATCTGTACATGGATGCCCTCTGTACCCTCCCGCAATGTTTCGGGAGTCTTAAGTTACGTTCCATTATTATTGCTACTGTACTAAAAATGTGTGTGCCTTTCGCGAGCACCTTGACCCTACTAGGGCTTGGCTACTAGCAACCCAACACCCCCCTTCTGCCCTACAGGACGTTGTTCTACTACAGGAGGTGTGGGTTGACCACGATGCGCAAATCCTCATTTCAGCGGCCCGTGTCGGTGGCCTGCCGTACGCCGTCCATTTCCGATCTGGCGTGTTCGGCAGCGGCCTGCTCACCCTCTCTCGGTACGTCCCGGTGTTCCTTCAGTCCGCCTACCGGTACCGATGACGCCCTGTGTGGTCGGTCAGGGCGGTCGTGCGGGCCCCCGTGCCGCATGAGGAATCCCCGGTCATCCCAGGTCTCGCTCTCTCTCCATCTGGGCTTGCTGTTACTTTTCTACCCTGTCTCCTCTGTAGCAACTTCCACCTCGGGTTTCTATAGCAACCGAAACCCAAGGCGATTGGCGTGGCCCCAGCTTCCCATGTCCCCGACGCCCCTCCCTCCTCCCTCCCCCCCCCCCCCCGCAGCTACCCCATCATCGACACCATGTTCCACCAGTACAGCTGCGCGGGTGGGTGATATGGAATGCCCAATGGGTCAGAATGGGTGGGGTAAGAATAAGGAAACTGACGAACTGGCTGATCAGGCTTCAACACGGGTTGCCAATCCAATCCGGCCCATCCCATCCCACCCGAATTAGTCGAGCCAAAACAACAAATGGGCTTACCGGGTGTTCCAATGGGTGGGTGTGGGGGTGTGGGTGTGGCGGGACCAGGGGTGAAGCCCGCCCCTCAGCAGGTGGCGCGGAGATGCCTGATGGGCCTGATGCGGCATGCCGCTCACGCTGTCACGCTGCCACGCCTTCCTGGACTGTCCCCCTCCCGTACCGCAGTCAGCGCCAGTTCTGCGGCTTGGCTGCTGCTTTAACATCCACCATGCCTCCTCCCTCCCACCCTCCCTCCCGCTCCCATGTTCCCCCCAGGCGACCCCCTGGCGCTGTCCTGCGGGGACTTCCTGGCGGCAAAGGGTGGGGGTGGCGGGTGGGGCGGGACGCGTGTGTTTGTGGGCGGCCGGTGTAGTGGTGGGTGCAGCGCGGGAGGCCGGGAGAGGGGAACAGGCGGAGAGGGGAAGAAGCGGGGTGGGCGGGAGGCCAGGAGGGAGACGGCAAGGGGGGGGGATTAAATAAGTGAAACAACGAATCCCAATCCCATATCCCGACTCATGCAGTGAGTGCATTCGGAGGCACTAAGAACACGCATCTCAAATTACTTACCGAATCGTTGTAGGGGGGGGGGGGGGGTGCGCATGGGGCTTCTTGATGCAGCGGAGCCGGAGTGGATCAACATGGGTGTGGGGGTTGCTGGGTTGATGCCGATGCCGGGGCCGGGGCGAGATTCGTCGCCCTTCCCTCAGCAGCGAGGGCCCTACCGCCGCCCTATGCCGCCGCGATCCGCTCCTGTTCCCGCTCCCCTCCTCCGTCCTCCCGCTACCTCTCCTCGCGCGCCCCTCTCCTCCCCCATCCTCCTCTCCTTTCACCTCCCCTCACCTCCCCTGGCAGGTGTGGGTTGGGTGCGGCTGCGCGGTCCGGGCGGGCGGCTGGTGGATGTGTTCAACACGCACCTGCACGCCAACTACTCCCACAAGTACGACAAGAGGGGGGCGGGCACAGCGGCGGCAGCAGCAGCAGCGGGAGGAGGCGGTGGAGGGGCAGGAGCGGCTGGAGGAGGGGCAGCAGCAGCGGAAGCAGTAGCAGGGGGGGAGGTCATTCCCGCGGCTGCGGTGGACGAGTTTGCAGCCTTCCGGATGGCGCAGGTGGGGAGGGGGGCGCGGGGAGGAGGGGAACAAGGAGGGAGCGGGGCGGGGCGGGGCGGCTGATGGGGGCCATTTGGTACTTGGCCTCATTGGGCAGCACAGGCGGAGCGAGGCATGGCTGTCCCCGGCTCGCCGCATCCTGCACAGCATGCAACCCCTTACGTCTTGCGCACCGGTGCACGCTGCCTCCGCTTCCTTCCACCACCCCCGACACTCCCTTGGGCCATTACTGCACACCCCACCGCTGTACTCCCCAACAGCAACCTAGCCGGCAGCTCGGCTGACCATACCTCCTCTTTGCCCTCCTTTCCCTCCTCCGTCCTCCTCCCTCCTTCCCTTCCTATGGTTCGGTATGGTCTTTGACCCTCCCTTGTGCGCCCCTCCCCCCCAGATGGTGGAGCTGTGTCGCTGGGTGCAGCAGGTCAGCGCACTGCGGGCGGAGGGACCTGCAGACACTGCAGCCGGGGGCGGCGGGGGCAGTGGGGCGGTGGCGGCGGTGGTGCTGGGTGGGGACCTCAACTGCGGCCCCCACACCCTGGAGGCGGCGGTGCTGAGGGTGAGGGGGGGGGTGGTGGTCTGGTAGTGGGGAGGTGGATTAGATGAGCTGAGGCGCGAGAAATACTGACCTTGACCAAAGTGTTACACTCCTCCGAAGGATGATGGCGCGTCCCAGGCGTCTGCAGGCGGAAACGAAGGGGGGTGGAAAGGGCGGCCCCGGAGGGGGGCCCCGGTAGGGTTTAGTTTGGGAAGGACAAGGAGGAGGGTGAGGCTGGGGGTGCGGCGGTGCAGCTAGACGGGTCCTGTCAAGCCTCACCTGTGCATTACACCTCCACCTACTACACCCCAACCCTCACCGCGCTTCACTCCCCTCTTCCCCCTCCTCCTCATCCCGCCCCCGCCCCCGCCCCAGTCCCTGCTGCCCCACCTCCGCGACGCCTGGCTGGAGGTGCATGGCTCCTCCTCTTCCCCCTCCTCCCCCTCCTCCCCCTCCTCCTCCTCCCCCTCCTCCTCCTCCCCCCACCCCGGCCACACCTGCAAGGCGGCTGGCAACAGCTTCCAGCCGCGGCGGCAGCTGCCCTCGCGCATCGACTACGTGTGGAGCAGCGTAGCAGTGGAGGACTGCAGGCTGGCGCTGCAGGTGGGGGGGAAACAGGCAGTGGGTGGAGAGGAGAGAAAAAGGGGGCGAAGGGAGGCGTTGAGGGTAAGGGGTTAAGGGAAGGGGCGGTAAGAGGAAGGCACCAAGCCAAGGTTAAAATCCCCATTCTGCAGTCCTGAAGATCCGATCATTAACCCATGCCTTCACCCGCACCTCAAATGCCTCCTCCACAATGCCTCCTGTCCCTCCCCTCCACCCCACCACCTCAGACCACCCCCGAGGGCCACTCCTACTCCGACCACTTCGCCGTCACCGCCCGCCTCGCCCTGCCACCTCCTCCTGCTCCTGCTGCGGCTGTTGCTGCTCCCCCTGCTCCTGCTGCGGCTGCTGCTGCCAAGGAGGGGGAGCAGCAGCAGCAGCGGGAGGTGAAGGCGACTCAGGAGAAGGAGGAGGAGGCGCAGCAGCAGCTGAGGCGGCAGGCGAGGCGGCGGCAGGCTGCGCTGCTGCGGGCCGCCCTGGGTGTGGTGGGCGGCGGAGTGGGGCGGGCGAGCCAGACGGCGGGGGGCCACATGCTGCTGGCGGGGATCATGTTGGTACAGGTGGGGAGGGGGGTCGGGGAGGGTGGGTTTGAGGGGAGGAGGGGGAGGGAAGCGCAGGTGGGGGGGGCCACATGGGGCGGGGACATGCGAGACAGTCCACCGTCGTTCCCCTGGCACCGCTTCCTTTCACCACCCTCCTTCTCACCTCCTCCCCTCTTCCATCAGGGCTTGTCAGCTAGTTTAGCACTAACACACCACACATTGGATATTATTCTTTCCCCATCTTCCCTTCACCCCCCAGGCGCTCTGCCTGTGCGCCTTCCAGCCCGCCCTGTCCTACCTGCGCCTGCCGCCGCTGCCCCCGCCGCTGGTGCCGCTGCTGCCGGTGCTGGTGCTGCTGCTGGGGTTGGGGGCGGGTGTGCTGGGGCTGGTGGGCCTTGGGGCGGACTGCGGGCAGAGCAGGGCGCTGCAGCAGGCGGCACTGCAGCTGCATGTGAGGATAGCGGAGCTGGAGGAAGAGGGGGAGGGGGAGGAGTGGGGGAAGGAGGGAGGAGAGAAGGGAGGGAGGGCAGGTGGTGGTGGTGGTGGGTCGGCGGGCGGAGTGATGCAGCGGGGGAAGCAGCGGAGGTGAGGGGGTGCGAGGTGGTGGGATGGGGAAAAGGATGGTGATGGAGCTGGTATAGGGTAGCGAGGGTAAACATAAGGGAACCGACGAACTGTAAGACGAGCGAGGGTGGCGAGGGTGGGCCGGGGGTAGGGGGTGCGAGCGTGTGCGGTCGTGTTGGTGGTGTGATAGCGAGGGTGGGCGGCGGGAATGGTATTATATCGTATATACACTTTTCACTACACCGTGTATACCGGTGTATACGTGCGCCGTGGCTTGCTTTTCCTGGCTGGACATGGATAGTAAGATGTGGTGCAGTCTGTGACGAGCAATGGTAAGGCGCACACGGTAAGGGCGGAAGTGTACGCTGGGCAGTTGAGGGTAGGGCAGCTCAGCGAGCGACGTGTGTCGTACATACATACGACTCGTCCTGCTGCAATTGTCGTACTGCGTGTATTTCACATAGTTACCAGTCGCTTCCCTAGCAGCTGCCAGTACGTGCCTCCTCATTCGTCAGCTAATGGGTCAGTATCAATATGCGGTTCAGTTTCAATTTATTTACTCACTCACATGCAATCCGAGTGGTATCCGTACACGCATGGGAACGTATGGGTGCATCGATGTTGCCGGCATCGCCCATGTGCTTGACACCAACAGGGCAGGTGTCATGTGGCGTGTGCTCGGCACCGCTGCTGCCGGTGGCAGCTGGACTGCACCGCCCGCGGCCTTACATCGGCCAGCGCAATCCGCCGGAAGTTCACCCGATGCTAAACCTTAACGTAGTAGCTACGACATGTGCCAGAGCAACTTGCTACCCGCACCTTCCTCATGCGGTCATGCCTCTAAAAGACGTTTTCCTTTCCATGACACCACGTGAAACCAGGTAGAAGGCCCTGATGGTTCCCATCCCATGGGTTCCCATCACCCACACATGCTGGAACGAGCCGGCATATACCCACCACCACCCAACAAGTACCCCTCATCACAACCCCGCACTTCCCTCCCGCTACATCTCGCCGGCTAGGCTCCAAACATCCATCATCCGTCGAACACCACAAAGCGCCCCGCATGCAGTCCCGTCCACTTGTAGCCGGCATCACACCCCCTCGCACCCCTCACCCACAATCACCGCCACCACCACCACCACCATCACCCCTCCCAGCTTTCCTGCAGCCACTGCCGCAGGGCCGCCAGCAGCTCCCCATCACCAACCATCACCACCGCCTCCTGCTACGCACTTTGCAGTGCTGCCACCTCCCAGCAGTCCAATCAGACCGGCCAGTGTTTCCGCGGCTCAGTTTACCTAATCCCAGCAGCCCACCCAGCAGCCCACACCGCCTCCCAGCAGCATCATCGCTCAGCACCGGCTGCAGCACAGCGGTCGGCAGAGCAGCACCGGTCAGCAGCCGGCACTGCGGGGGCCCCAGGGGCAACAGCCCAGCCCAGCCGGCGAAAGCAGCGTAGTGTGGCCAGCAGGTCGCCGTTCGGGGAGGCTGTGAGTTGGCGCTCGCTTTAGGCCTGCGTTATTTCAGGGGGGAAGGCAAGTAAGCGTGGTGTCAGCAAGAGAGGTCAGGAAAGGAAGGACAAGGAAAAGGGGAGGTAGGCGTTAGACCGAGGGAAGGCTGAGCAAGCGACAACAGGAATTGCACGGTCGGCTTCACGACCAGCACCAGGGGCCTTTTCCCGGCACCAACCCTTCGACTGTCCCACAGGAGTTGTAACTACCCCCGGTAAACACCACGCTCTGGCCTACCACGCTCCCCAGCACCCCACCCACCCACCGCCATGAAGCAGCCCACCTCCTCCACCAACCCCTGCAGCACCTCCTCGCATCCCGCCCGGTCAGCCGCAGTGAGCAGCTCTTCTGCCTCCTCCGCAGCCCAGCGGCAGCCCAGCCCTCGCAGCCACCTCAGCAGCTCCAGGCTACCCGAATCCACGGCACTCCACAACGCGTACCCATCATACCGCAGCACTTCAACGCCCCGCGTCTCCACCAACCGGGCCACCACTTGCAGGCGCCCTCCCTTGACCGCCACCAGAAAGGTGCCGACGTCCAGGGGGCAGCCGCGCGCGTGCAACAGCCTCAGAGCCGGCCAGATGCCACCGCGGATGCTGCAAGAGGTGATGGCAGCCAGAAACCAAACCTGTTCTTGACCTGCCTTAAATTGGGCTTTTGTGGCAATTCGCGGCTCAATTGTCCTTCTTGTCGGTGTCCCCGTTTCCGTCGCTCCCTGAGCTCTCCTTTAGTGTCTTGTCTCCTTCTTTTTCCTCCTGTTCCTTATTTCCGAAAAGCTGCTTGTGCTGTTCCTCCGCGTCGGTCAGGCCAAGATTGGAAATCAGCCAGTTGATGGAAGCCCAAAGGCCGAACGCTAGGATAAGCAAGACTATGACGTGGGGCGTCAGGACGGGATTGCGTAGGATGCTGTGGGCTAGGAGCCCGCAGAGGGTGAGGACTGCTAAGCCGATAACTACATTGAGCAAAACAAAGGTTGGCGCGTTGACGCCGGAACCAAGGGCGCCAACCAAAATGTCTTCGTACCAAGCCATTGAACCTTTGCGTTAAAGGAAAGTCAGACAGTTTGGCGACATATGATCTGCCGCCATTAAGGTGGACGAGCACGATAACGGCAAAGATGCTGGGGAGCAGGGAATCGCAGGGGGGGCGCTGCAAGTTGCAAGTCGGCCAATCTTCCTCTTAATCAATAAGGCTGGTTCCAAGATGAGACATGTTGTCGCCCGTGTAGGAAATCGCTGGGGATTCCCCGGCTCCTCTCTCGCCATGCCTCCCCCCCCCCTTCCGCTGCAACACCCTTACGCGCCTCTTCCCCCAACTCAGGACTACGGTGAGCCCCACTCGGCAGCCGCCCGCAACGGCGACCTGCTGGCCACACTGCGCTGCCTGCGCAGTGGACGCGTGCGCAAATCCGAGTGGAGTCGTCGTACCGGCACATGCATGGGGGGAGAGTATGGGTGCACCCGCGTATACCGGTACTCGCGGATGGAGGGATCGCACCGCTCCCAAACAGCTGCCATTTAGCATGCATGAGGCAGACGCCATTGATAAACGAATTGGGGTGCACTGCGGTGGGTCTGTGAATGGAGCGAGAGGGCTTGGGACGTGGAACTGTGCGTCTTGTGCCTTAAGCCACGCCTGAAGCAGGCAGGCGTGGCCAGCTGTACTACACTTTAGCCACTGTGACTTCTCTACTTCCACGGTTTCCCATTCACTCCCTGCAATCGAGGCCTCCAGTGTCCTAGCCGTAAGCCAGAAAAGCGACGGAACACGCCTAGCTCGCCCTCCTGCTGCTCTTCCTCCTGCACCTCTTGCTGCTACTGTTCCTCCATCTGCTGCTCCTCCTGCTGTTGATCCTGCTCCTTTATCTGCTGCTCTTCCTCCCCCGGGGGCGACCTCCACACGTGCGCCTCGACTCCCGTCCTACACCACTGCCACTGCTGCCACAGCCACCACTGCCACTACCACCGCCACTGCTGCTGCCCCCCAGAGCCACAGCCAGCGCACAGCCGCGGTGTCCTCAGGTCACCAAATCACCCGTACGCAAAACACTGGTACTGCTGCTGCTGCCGCTGCTGCTACAGCCCCGGCGGCGCCAGGGCTCGCGACGGGTCCCCGTTGCCACCTCCCCCTGCACCCCCCGCAGCTGCTGCTCCCGGCCCCCCTGCTGCTGCCCCGGGCTGCTTCTCCGCCCCTGTCCCATCCGGCTGCTGCTGCTGCTGTGGCGGCTGCTGCTGTTGGCTCTCGGTCACCCGGTATTCACTGAAACGGGCAACCTGTGGAGAGATGGGGGTCAGGGTGGGATTAGGCCGGGGGGAGGGTTCTTGACACGCAAAGTGTTCTGCGGGGTTGGGCTGGGCTTTGGCGGGGAAGGGCGGGGAGACACACAAGGCAGGCACTGGAGGGATTGAACGACTGGCAGGTGTTAGGGGACCCACCCTCCCTCCCCCGCCGGTTCCTGCCCCGCCAGCTTCTGCCCCCCCCCCGCCCGCCTTACCCTCTGCAGTATGGCCGGTGCCAGCGCCGCGTTAAATTGGCGGTGCAGGTGGTGCAGGTAGAGGACGTCGTCGGAGGCGTAGCGGACCTGGGGGGGGGGGGTCGGGAGAGGTGGGGCGGGGGGTGGAGGGGTGAGGGAGGTAGGGGAGGGGGAGAGGGAGGGGCGGCGGAGCTTGAGGGAGGGACATGGGGGCGAGGAGCACGTGCAAGGAAAGAGCTGGGGGAGACAGGGCAATGCAGGGCGGGGGCAAGTAGCGAGCTGGGGGGGGCCCGTCAAGATGCGCTGATGAGGGCTGCAAGATGCGACCGTTGTTCGTCGGTAGCAGAAGGAGTGTCCTCCCGTGTGTGTGCACGCGTACGAGCAGATGTGAGCGCTACCTGCCTGCAACCCCTACCCTACGGCTGATGCAGGCCCCACCCTAAGGCCTACACCCTCCTGCAGGCCCTACTGCCACTCCGCGCACCCCCCCTCCCTCCCCCTTCCCTTCCTGACCCCGCCCCCGCCCCCCACGCACCTGCTCCTCGGTAAGGGGGCGCCGGTCCCAATACTGCCGCGGGGAAGGAGGAGAAGGAGGGGGGGTGTTGATAGCATTGGTGTGACGATTGGGTGAAGGGGCGGGAAGGGGAGGGTAATGGGCTAATGGCAATCGGAGGGAGGTTGAGCATCGGCCCCGAGATGTCCCCCATCCTCCATCCCGCTGTTCCCTAGTCGGGCTTACCTAACGGGTACGGTGCTAACCCCCGGCGCACAGAGAAGCAGCAGCGCCAGGCGCAGGCAGCGCTCCCCTACCGCCCTCACCCTAACCTGTGGTTTCGGTACACCTCTGCCCCCCCACACACACCGATATAGGTTCTTTTTGTCTCTAACTCTGTCCCCCTTTCCTCTCTCTGGTTCATGTTTCTGCGCATGGCATTCCTCGCATTACTGCAGCTGCTGGTACTGGTGCTGACTCCGGCGTCTTTGCTCGCAGGTACGCAATGCGCGTTTGCACGCACGCATGCACAGCATTGTCGTGTCTCGTCTGCGTGACCAGAGCGGGGGCTCCCGGCGTCGAGCTGGTCAGCGGGCTAGGTACTCAGCAGTAATTAGTTTTTCCCGACACCATCAGCATCACCGACATGCGTCGTCAACCCGCAACTCTTCTTACATCCAGCACCAGCGATTTAAGCAGTTATTGAGTTACGTTTCAGGTTTGTTTACCTCTGTTTTCCCTCTGTTTTGCCTGTACTCGCGGTTCACATGCGAACCTATCCCAACTGCTTGCTCTTGTTTTCCGCTCAACTACACACCGTGGGGTCGGTGTTGTATGTCGCATGCAGCAGCCGCTTGTCCACCGCGGTGGCCCGCCAGCGCTCCCGCACCTCCGCATCAAGGTACCACTCCAGCGCCCGAGCCAACCCCACCACGTAGCCCACCCGGCGCATGGAGGGGCCGTAGCGCCGGAAGGCAACCTGGGGGGGGGAGGGGGGAGGGGGAATGGGGCAGGGGGTTTCCTTGCACTCCAGGAAAATTCCGTGCTCCTCACAGCTCCTCTGTTGTTTCCTCAAGTTTCCCTTCCCTCCCCCCCCCCCGCGCGGCGCATGTCTCCCTAGTGTTACCACGCAAGGCGGCTTCTTCCTCAAGTCGTCTCGGTTTCCGGTAAGCAACGATTCGGTAAGTAATTTGAGATGCGTGTTATTAGTGCCTCCGAATGCGCTCACTGCATGAGTCGGGATATGGGATTGGGACTTAGTTGTTTGCATTTCTTATATAATTTCCCCCCCCCCCCCACCTCGCTTAGCTGCAGGTCCACCACGCCCCTCAGCCTCACTCCATGCTGGTGGAACAGCGCCTCGCTGTCCGCCCGCACGTCATAGAAGAGCTTGGTGACGCCCTCGCACTCCAGCAACCCCTGCAGACTGCGGGTGGGAGGCGGAGGAGGCGGAGAGGAGGGCGCTGGCCCGGGTGCTGCCGCTGTTGTCCCTACTGCGGTTGCGGTTGCCCCCAACGGTATTGTCCCAGCTGCTGCTGCTGCTGCATAGGAGCGTGGCAGTGGCGGTGGCGTGTGGGTGAAGGCGGTTGCGGCCAGGGTGGAGACGTCGAGCAGGAAGACGGGCGGGTGGGCTCCAGGGGGGGAGTCGGGCGGGAGGGAGGGTGACACGGAGAGCAGGCAGAGCTTGCCGGTGCGACCAAGGCTGATGCCTGGCGGGGAGGGGAGGGGCGGGAGGAGGGAGAGGGGAAGACGGGGGGAGGGGACGGGTCTGGATGAGGGGGGTGGGGGAAGTGATGGTTGTGGGGAGCGTGAGCAACTCCCGCCCACCTTCAGCGTCTACTGCCAGCTGCTTGGCACCCGCGAGCGACCTCAGCATGTGCTCCAATGATGGTACCGAGTCCACGAGCTGAGCGATGCCATATGCCTGGATGATGCATGGAAAGTAAGCGGCCTAAAAAAAATAGCTGCAACCAGGTGGTAAGTTAATGGCGTGTTTCGGTAACATTGGCAGTCGCAAGGGATAGAGACGCACCAGCGCTGGCTCTCCAGATGGAGCCAATGCACCAAGCTTTCCGCGCATTAAAGATGATGCCAATCGTTCAAGCTGTTGGCCAATCGATCTCATAATAGCAGAAAGCAGCCCAAGGATTGCCAGCCAAAGCTCCCACATCCGGCGCCTAGGCTGCGCAGAACAACTGTTTAACCACAAGAAGACCAATTAAGCTAATTCCGCAAGGTGATGTCAGCGAGCGTGCCAAAATTATAGTAAGTGCTTGCCAGGTCGTCGAATCGGTGGAAATTTCTACCCTACGAGCCTTACATAATAAAAGAGGTGTTTGGTTAGCCAACCTGTGCCATAGGGGTATCAACGACTCCCCTTAGTCAGCTAGCCTTGCAGGGGCCGTACAATGGGCTTCCTTTTCCGAGCACCTGAGCAGTGGCGCTTGACATGCTAGTACCTGATGCACATAATTGATCACCTGTGACATCTTAGGGCTTTGATCAAACCGACAGTTGCTTACTGTAATGCTCGCTTAAATGTTATAGCTAGCTTTCATAGCCATTGAAGTGGATATCATTAACAACGAAACATACGTTATAAGATGGAGGAGCCTAAAAAAGCCAACGACAAGGGCGCGACAACAGAGTTTGCTGTCCCTCCGCCGCCTAAATTCAAGCCACCTCCTCCTAAGTTCCCAGCCGCGGGATCAAATGGAGATTCCGCTCCGCCCGGAGGTGCGGAGAGTTGGTTGGTCATAGGGCACCGGTGCCATTTATTTGGAGAGCTACACGCTCTCGACTGTTGTACACAGACGTACCAAGATCAATGCGTATAAGGTCTGGCATGTTGAAAAGACTGGGCCTTGGGTAACGTGTACTTCGAGTCCGCGCTCGTCCTGCAACCAAGTCAACCTCACTCTTCTGCGTCCATTTCCCTTCCTCGCCATCCCGCGCACCCGCCGACCCCGCTAGCCAAATCTCCACATGCCCACGCCACACTCATTTTGGGTTGGCGGCATTCCTCCTTATGCACGTCGACTATACCTCCCTCCATCCAATGCACCTCCCCCGCACCTCTCCTCCTCCCACCCCAACCTCCCGCCTTCTCCTCCTTCCCTACCCCCACACCCTTTCCGCCCTCCCCAACGCCACATGCACTTGTTCCGGTTCCCACCACCCACAGCTCGACCGGACGCTGCCGCCACCGCCCCGCCTCCTCCACCCCAACGGGAGGCCCCTCCCACCGCCACCTCCGCCTCCCAACCTCCACCCGTCGCCTCCTCTTCCTCCTCCTCGACAGCTGCGGTCGCTGCCGCCGCCGCCGCTGCTGCTGCAATACCGGGTCAGCGAGATCGGGTGATCGCGCAGGTCACCTCGGCGATGGTGGGTGTGGCTCGGCGGTGGTGGGGAGGGCCATGCATGCGGAATTGCGGATGCAGTAGTGGTTAAGGGCTGTAGTTAAGAGTTGTAGTTGTTGCAAGCATTGCGATGTTGTGCTGGGGCTGTGTGTCTGAGGACTGCCCCGCCGCCACTTGCAGTGTCATGTTGCCACTGCCCCCTCCCTCTCCTCCCCCGGTCCCTCTGTGTCGCTCCTCCCCGGTCACTTCCTCTTACCTCGTACCATGTCGTACCCGCATGTTGTCCGCAAACTACCCGCAGTACGCCAAAGCTGCCGCGGCTGCAGCTGCCGGTGAGGGAGCAGCAGCAGCAGCGCCATCATCATTGCCATCAGCGGCAGGAGGGGCAGGGGCAGGAGGAGGGGCAGGAGGGTCTGGAATGGCAGGCGACGAGGATGAATCTGCTGCTGCGGGGGCTGCTGCTGCTAGTGGAAGCGGCAGTGGTGGAGGTGGTGGTGGTGGTGCGGGGGGTTACGAGCCGCCCCCTTGGAGTGGAGCGCCGGAGGGGTGAGGGGGGTGGCGGGGGGTAGGAGGGAGGGGGGGAGGGGTGCTGGGAGGGGAGGGCAGCCGGAGGAGGGAGGGAGGGGAGGGTGGGACAGGCGGCAGGTCGAAGAGGGCTTGCGTGGGGGATGTTGAGGACAAAAGAAGTACTAATCACCACAAGTGAGGGCAAGAAGACAAAGGAGGAGAGCCCTGGACTGGGGGCCACCGCATCCTGATACCTCCGCTCCGCTAAGACGCCTTCATGCCCCCGCTGCCTTCCCCTTCCCTTTCCTCTCCTCTCTCAATCAACACATTGGAATTTCGTTTTTCCCCCTCCCCCCCCCCAGTGTTGGCTACACGCTCGAGGTGCTGAAGAACGGCACCATCGTTGAGGTGAGGGGGGGGGGTGTGAGGGGGTTCGTAGCGGTGGAGATGAGGGGAGAGGGTGATGGAGCATGAAGTCCCTGCTGCGCCGCACCCCGACCCCACCCTCCTCCTCTTTGATTAATACCCACCCCTCTCTTGCCCCACTCCTCCCGCCCCCTCAGACCCGCTCCATCTCCTCCCAGCCCTACTACACCTTTGGTCGCAACCCCGCAGCCGACTTTGTGTTGGAGCACCCCTCCGCCTCGCGACTGCATGCCGTACTGCAGTTCAACGGCGACACGCGGGAGGTGGGGGGGATGGGGAGGGATGGGGTGGGGGGAGAGGGAGGTGGGGTGGCATGGGGGCTTGCTTGACGCTACATTCACCGGGGAAGGGGGACAACAATGACACAGAGAGGTGGAGAGTATTGGCACGGCAGCCCCCTCCACCACCTCTCCATGCCCCTCCTCACACGTATCCCCCTACCCCCCTCCCCCTACCCCCCCCCCCCTACCCCCCCCTCCCCCTACCCCCCCCCCCCACCCCCCCCCCCTCGTACAGCCCTACCTGTACGACCCGGGCAGCACCCACGGCACCTTCCTAAACAAGCAACGCATCAAACCCCGCGTGTTCGTGCCGCTGGCGGTGGGGCACACGGTTCGCTTCGGCGCCAGCAGCCGGCTGTACCTGCTGGGTGGCCCCGCGGAGCTGCTGCCGCCGGAGGGGCTCAGCCGGGAGCAGCGGCGGCAGCTGGCGGCGCTGGAGGCGAGCATGCGGATGAGGGAGAAGGAAAAGGAGGTGGGCATGAAGAGGGGGTTGGTGGTACAATACATGTGGATGACGGAGCATCAGCTGCATCACGCATGGAGACCCTCCCAGGCATGTGTATGGCCCATCTCCCGCATCGCCTAGGCCTCGTCTAATCCACACCCCTCTCCTACAAACCCTCCCGCCCCTCCTCACATCCTCCTCGCAATCATGCATACCCACACCTGCGCTCCCCACCAACCTCTACTCGCCCTCCTCACAACACCCACACACGCAGGCCGCCCAGCGCAGCATGGCAGCTGCCCTAGCAGCCAGCAGCGGTGGAGGTGGCGGTGGTGGAGGGGGTGGGGTGAGTTGGGGCATGCTGGACGACGCGGAGGACGTTGACGCGGTGTTGGCGGAGGGGGGGGACATTGATGCGGATTCGCTGGACTGGCGGGCGCTGGTGGCGGCGGGGAAGCACAGCCTGACGGATAAGCAGCAGAAGCTGGCGGAGAAGATCAGGTGGGGGGGTGGGGAAGGGTGGGGGAGGGGGGGAGGGGGCAGGACCATGCTACCATGGGCGTTAGGGGGAAGGAAGGGGAGGTCAGGAAGGAGGGAGAAGAAGAAGACCCAACTTGTGATACTGGAGGTGAGGAAGGAGTGAGGTGAGGAGGGTCAGGAAGAGAAAAGGCTCCGAAACGTGGAGCCTGTGTGGGTCAGCCCCCCAGGGCTTCAACGCCTTATCCTGACATGCTATTCCTTCCCCCTCCCCTCCCTCCACCCCCTTCCTGCTCCCCCAGGTCCAAGGAGTGGCGGCTGGGCAACCTGCGCACTGAGAGTGAGCGCATCCGCGCCAAGGAGCGGCAGGAGGGCGGGCTGAGTGCGGGGCAGGCGGCCACCCTGGCTAGGAACCACGAGGTGGGGGGGGCAGGAGGAGGAGGAGGAGGAGGGAAGGAGGGGGGAAGGAAGGAGGCGGGGGCAGCAGGAGGGGGTAAAGAGGAAACAACTAACTGACTGAGGGATAAGGCTTCAGGAGGCAGCAGGAGGGGGGGGAGATGGGTGAGACCCAGGAGAGGATTGCCGACCGTCTTGTCCCTTACCCTTACGTGGCCTCACCCGTCTTTGCCCCCGTCCCCCCTACCCCCCCCCGCCTTTGCTGCACTTATCATTTATTTCTTCCCCCTCCCCCCTTCCCCCCAGGTCATGGACCGGCTGTCGGAGGAGGTGGAGGAGGTGGAGGAGGCGCTGCGGGAGAGCATCCGGGACTCGCTCATGGAGAAGGTGGGGGAGCAGGGGGGGAAGAGGAGGAAAGAGGAGGAAACATCCATGCTGTGGGAAGAGGGGAGGCTTGAGGGGACCCCGTAAGGGTCGGTCTTGCCTAGCCCTCCATCCTCCACTAGTACCCATGCCCGCTTCGCACGGCAGCGCCTTCCCCTGGCTATCCCCTTGGCATCCGCGCCCCAGCGCTCACACCGCTCACCCAATGATGCGTCGACACTCCCATAATTCGATCCCCCCCCAACACACACCGCACAATCCGGTGATCTTCCGGCAATCACAGTACGTTCCAACTCGCGGCCAGTTTCTCACACACCCCGTAATCCCTACATCCCACAATCTTCCCCCACCCCACCCCACCCCCAGCACCGAGAGGCCCAGGCGGCTCGCGGCGAGGGCAAGAAGCGGCGGAGGGGCGGCGAGGAGGAGGAGGACGACGCCGGCAGCGATAGCAGCGATGAATTTTTTGACCGTACGGCAGCGGGGGGTGGTAAGGAGGGCGGAGGAGGCAAGAGGAGGCAGAAGGGCGGCGGCGGTGCTGGGGCGGCAGGGGGTGGTGGTGCTGGCGCGGGTGTGGCGGCGGTGGAGAGCGCGGAGAGTTTATACGGCAAGAAGTGAGACTGGGGGGAGGGCGGGGGAAAAATTATATAAGTGAAACAACGAGGGAGGGCGGGGGAGGGAGGACTTGGGTTTTGGAGGTTGTGTGTGCGTTTTAACAGGGCAAAAGGAAAGCTTCGCCACGGAGGTGCTGCTGCTTCTGCTCCGCATCGTCAACCTTCTTCTCCAGCTCCAAGTAGGCGGCACAGCGCTCCCTCTGTGCCGCCTGCTTGAAGCTGGAGAAGAAGGTTGACAATGTGGTGCAGAAGTAGCATCGTCTTGCCGAAGCTTTTCTTCTGCCCCCTTGAAACGCGCACACAACTCTCCAAAACCCAGTAGCAGAGTAGCGTGACGTGTCCTGCCTCAAGAGTGTTGGCGAGGATGGGGGGTCCTCACAGCAGCGCGGCCAGCAGCACACCGTTCGTGACCGCACCGTCCTGGTCGTCCTAGCGCCGTCAGATGGCCAGCAGGAGATCGATTGCCTTACCACCAGCAAGGGCCCCTCCCCCCAACTTTGCTCACCCTTCCCAATCCCCCCCTCCTCCCCCTTTCCTCACCCTCCCCCCATCCCCAGGGAGTTGTTGCTGGCCGAGCAGCGGCGGCTGCAGCAGGCAGTGGCGGAGGAGGAGCAGGCGGTCAGGCAGGCGCAACAGGCGGCAGTAGCAGCGGGGGCAGCGGCGGCAGTAGCAGGGGGGGCAGGGGAAGCGGGGGCAGGGGCAGCAGCGGCGGGGACTGAAAAGGGACCGGAGGCGGCAGCAGCGGCAGCGGGGCCAGCAGGAGCAACGGGAGAGGGCGCAGTGGCAGCAGCGGCGGGCACTGAGGAGGGAGCAGCGGGGCCAGCAGCAGCAGCTGGGGAGGGGGGACAGCAGCACCAGCAGCATGCAGATGGCATGGACGTGGAGGGTGGTGCCGGGGGGGCCGGTGGAGGAGCAGCAGGAGGGGGGGCAGCAGCAGCAGAAGAGGAGGGAGGAGGAGGAACGGGCGAGGAAGGCGGAGTTGACAGTTTGGATGCGTTCATGGCGGACATGGGGACGCAGATGGAGAAGGACAAGGTATGAAGAGTGAGGGTGGGGGAGGTCGTTAGGTGGCGTTGAGGAGGCGACCCACGGGTCGGGCGCCCCCTCTTTGTTTGCTTGGACGTCTTGAACGGGTTAGCACAGGTCTGCACAGGCGGAGTGTGTGCCCGATGGTAGTGTTATAATGCCGGGGCCTTCTCTGTAGTGGGATGTCATCCTCCTTTACCCTATCCCCCTACCCTCGTGTCGTCATTGCCTTCTCCTACCCCGGCCCCACCCTCCCTTCCCGCCATCATGTATTCTCCGCTCCCCCCCAGCTCGCCTCCCTCAAGCGGCAGCTAGCTGACGTGGAGTCGCAGCTGGCCCGCGTGTCCCGCCTGCTCCGGATAGCCGACCCTGACGGCTGGCTGCAGCCGGGATCTGCGGCGGCGGAGAGGGCGAAGGCGGCGGCAGTGGCGGCGGCGGCGGACAAACGGGTCAAAGCGGCGGCGGCGACGGCGGCTGCTGCTGCGGCGAAGCGGCGGAAGGAGGAAGAGGTGGGTGGGGGCGGGAGGGTGGGTGGGCGGGAGTTTCACGGAAGGAAGTATAGCGGGCTGGCGCGCACATGCGTGGCGGTTTGGGGTGTGCATGGCGGGGTGGGACGCACCCCCCTCCCCTTTCAGCCGCTCGGTCCCACTTCCCACTCCTCCCGCCCTCTTGCACGCACCCCAGGCTGCCAAGCGCGCCTTCCAAGTTGAAGAGGAGGAGGAGGAGGAGGAGGTGGGTGCTGTAGCAGCGGCGGCGGCTCCTGTCGACCTCACCTCCCAGCAAGGGGCCCCTGCAGCAGCCACCACCACCACCACTGCAGCACCCGGACGTCCCAGCGTCATACCCGCCAAGCGTCCCGCTGCTGCTGCTTCCGGCACCTCTGCTAGCGGCGGAGCAGGAGGAGGGGCAGGAGGAGCAGGACTGGCGGCAGCGCCGGGCGGGCTCATCATTCGGCGGCCTCAGGGCGCTTCAGCCGGGGGGCAGAAGCAGGGGCAGCAGCCCGGTCAGCAGCAGCGGGGAGGTGGAGCAGGAGGAGGGGGAGGGGCAGGAGGTCAGCAGCAGCAGGAGGTGAGCGAGGCGGCGCGGGCGGCTGCTGCAGCGCTGATGGAGGAGATGAGGTCGGCGCCCAGCCAGCCTGCAATGGGGGCCAGGAGGGGACGGGGGCTGGCGGCGAGTGGCGAGGAGGAGGAGGGGGGCGCGTGGGGAGGTCGAGGAGACAAGGTGGGTGGTGGGGGAGTGGGGTATAAGGACGGGACAATAGGGCGGAAGGGGAGAAGGAGGAGGGCGTGGGTAGTAAGGATTGACACGCCTAGCGCCGCTTTGCAACTCTGTACGGCTACATGTCGTGTGTACGGTACCTCCCACACAGGTGCCCCGAGCAGGCGGCGGAGGCGGCAGTGGCGGAGGAGGAGGTGGGGCCGGTTCCGCTGAGGCGGCGGTGGCGGCGGATCTGGAGGTGTTGGCGGCGGCACGGCGGCGGCGAGAGGAGCTAGCGGCGGCAGAGGCGGCGGAGGCGGCGGTGTGGCGGCCGCCGGAGGGGCAGCGGGGGGACGGGCGTACCAGCCTCAATGACAAGCTGGGGTACTAGTGGGCTGCAGGTGGTGGTGGGGGGGTCAAAGACCATACCGAACCATAGGAAACCACGGGGGCGGGTACTGCCTGCTTTGGCCATGCGAAGCGTATGAGTTTGCAAGGAGGCACGGTTGCATCAGGAAGAGCGCGGTCTCTTGGGTACAAGGCGAACTTCTGTGGCTCCCTGCGGCTGAGTGCATGCATGATTGCAGGCACTGAAGACGCGTGCATGAGGGCACTGCATGACTATGCGGGGAGTCTGGGGGGGTGGGATGACCGTGCAAGTTACCGTGCCTTTTGGTGTATAGCGTGCGCTTTGCTGTACAACTGTTAATTCGCAAAGGCGTCGCTGATAGTTAGTTTTATTGAGAATCTGCTTGTGATAAGCCGTAGAATTGACTACCGATGATTTAACTGTTTACATTTGGCCAACATACATCCACTCACAGCAACCCAGGCTCATAAGACTCTCACGCGGCCCCCTCATTGCAAGGCCTGCATGCCGGTGCTCACCGACTTCAAGAGAACACCGTCATGCATATCCGGCGGTTACCAGTCTCAACATGGGCGCCATTGCATCACAGCAGGCATGCAAACATGTTTCTGCACACCCGAGCAGCGCACATCCTGCACCATCTCTCCTTGGCTACTACGTCGACGTGAGGCGAAAGGTTCTTCGCATAGCTGACGACCCATGGGTCGCTAGTTGGTAGTCGACGACATGGCAAAACGCTGTAGCACACGGCTCGCCACCACGCCCCGACCCTGCCGGTCAACCATCTGCTCCTCTCACAGCCTCTGCTTAGCTCCGACACAAGACCACCCAGCAGCCACCGCACATCCCCTTTCATCTCTTCCGTGCCTCCCTTTCCTTGCTTCCTCCCTCTCCTTGCTTCCTCCCCTCCCTATTTCTACCACCGTTTTTTCTCCTTCCCTCCGCTGCCTTGGTGGCATGTCGCATGTGCCGCCTTACCTGCCTGTGCCGTACGTGCCCGGCTACCCCGCGATGTCGAACCCCAGGTTCTCCACATTGCTCCTGGCGCCCACCTGGGAGCGAGCACCGCTGAACTTGGTGCCGCTGCCGTACCCCGTGACCTGGCCACCTGGCGGGAGGGACGGGGGAGAGGGGAGGGGAGTGGAAGGGGGGAGGAATGGGAGAAGAGGGGAGTATGGCAGGGGGTACGGCAGGGGGTATGGGTGTTTCTGTTAGTGAGATGTTGGGGCAGGCGCTGTGAACATGGGTGACGTACATGCATGGGGGCGTTATGGGGGTGTAACTATGTGTTTGGCGCGGTGCCGTGACGCAGCTAGCCCCCACCTCCTTTGGGCCCCCTCCTCCTCCCGCCTACCTGCCCCCGCTGTGACCGCTCCGCTGCCCCCTATGTTGGCTGTGGAGGTGGCGGACGTGACGGAGTGCGAGGGGGCGGTGAAGAAGTAGCCGCGACCGAAGGTGAGCCCGCCTGCAACCACCCCCGACTGGCGGGCGGGGTCTAACATGGGGCGGAATGGGGCGGAATGAGATAAACTGAGCCGCGGAAACACGGCGGAATGGGGAGTGGGGGAAAATTATATAAGATATGCAAACAACAGGAGGTGAGAGGAGGGAGTGCATTGGGGGAGGAGAGTACCGGTGTCGAAGAGGGTGGTGATGGATAGGGGATGCGGTGGTGGCGGTGGCGGTTAGTTTGCTCTTCTTACCCACCCTGCGGCGCCCCGGTGAAGGTGCCCGAGCCGAGCAACGGGTCAGACTGACGCAGGCTTTGACTGATGCCGCGAATGGCGCCGGAGATGGACTTTTGGGGGGGGGCATGGGGAGGGGGGTAACGGGGAAAGAGTGGAGGGATGAGGGAGGTTAGGGGGAGGAAACAGAGGAAAGGCAGGGTGCGGCAGGTGGGAGCCACAAACCCTACCCACAAACCGTACATATTCCTCTACTACCGCCGTACCACCAACATGGGGGCAGCAGGGGACACATACGCAGCGGCTCCCGCCTCCGCACGGCAGGTCACTGCAGCCTTGGGCAGCGCCATCCGTGCATGCAACCACCAGTGGTTAAGGCAGCCCCCGTCATGACTTGCTGCTGCGTTCACATGTCTGGGAGTCGCCCCTACACACACGCACGGACCGATTTGCTTCACATACACGCGGTTGCTTCCCTGCCCACACAACCGCCTGACCCCTCACCTCAATCACGACTCCGACTAAACGTTTCATGCGCAAACCCCTCATCCATCCCATAGCTCAAAACCCCATCCCAAGCCCCCCAAAACCCCCTCAGCCCCCCAAGCCCTTCCGCCCCTCCAACCACCCCCTTTACCTCACCCCCCGCGGCCCCACCTGCACCACCGTAGCCACGTTCAGCCCCGTGGCCGCATTCTGGCAGGGGGTAAAGAATGGAGGGGAGGGGAGGGGGGTAGGAGGACAATGGACGTTGGGAAGGTATGAGCTGGGTGATCCACTTGACACACAACTTTCGTGTCAATTGGTGGGCGCGGCAGGCGGCTCGTAAGGGGTACGAGTGTGAGGCATACATCATCATGGGAAAAGGGTGGCCTGTAAAGTCTCGCGCAACCCCCCTCACATCCCCTGCTTCCCCAGCTCCACCCCCCCGGGTTGCACCTGTGAACTCCCCGCTGTGGTGGCCCGGTCGTCCGTGACGCCCCCGCTGGTGCTGCGGGTGCGACCGATGGCGGTCTGGGGCACGATGTTGGGACCCGCGTAGTAAGAGGTGAAGAAGCGGTAGTAGTCTGCAGGGCAGGGCGGGCGGGGGTGTAACGGTTCTGGGGAGGGAGCAACGGTTGGTAGCAACGGACTGTGGCCGCAAGAGGGAGGGAGCGAAAGGATGCCCGATAGGGTTGTTCAGAGTAGGAGGGTGGAACAAGGAGTCGTGGATCTACTTATAGGGGGAAGAAAATGGGAGGGGATTGGAAGGGGTTAATTTGGAAACAGAGTCCGCATTACGCTGGATAGTTGGGATAGCAAATAATTGTAGTTGTTGTATAGTTAGTAGCATCAATCAATAACAAACCGTATTGGAAGGGGGTGGGTGCCATGAATAACTAAAACACACCATCTCCCCCGAGTGTGGTAAGAATATATGTTTGACATATGCTTGGCTCGCGTGTTCTGCATACGCACGCACAAACACATACACACACATACACACGCGTGCGGCCCTCCTCATGCAACACCACTAACGCGTGCACCTGAATCTCAACTCACTGGAATAGAAGTACGAATACTGCCCTGCTCTGCCGTACGTTAGGGTAGTTGCTAGCAGTACGTCGAAAGGGTCGTACAGATAAGCGGTTGCATTGGCAGCGATTGCAGCAACTGCCGTAGCGTTGAAGTTACTTCCGAGCTTGTCTTTCCTTTTCTTGTTGCCGCTTCCGTAGCCGTAGTAGTAGAGGTAGTCGTATTTGTAATCGTTGTTGTTGGGGTTGTGGTGGTTAGGGTCACCGTTGTTCATGACGTTGACGACACCGTTACTGCTGCTATTATCCTTGTTACTATTCCGGAAGATAGCGTCGCCAGGAGTATTGCTACTGCCGCTGCTGCTGTTACTAAACACTCTCATGTTGTTTTCGTCGTTTTCCGGCACCACCAGTGGCGGAGGCCGAGGAATGCCGTACGGGGCTCTAGGCCTCTTCCTCCTCCTCACAACCACCCAACCACCGCCGCCGTCACCTCCATCTCCGCCGTACCCATCCCCTCCACCTCCGTAACCGTAGTAACTCGGGTACCGCTCACGGCGTTGCTGCCGCTGCTGCGCTCGCTGCTGCTGCCACTGCTGCCGCTCCTTCGCCGCCTCAACAGCGGCCTCCCGCAGCCATGCCCTCGTGTTTTGTCCGCCACCTACTCCTTCCCTTGCTGCTCCTTCTGCTGCCTCATGCTCTCTCCCTACTCCCGCTCCTGCTCCTGCTACTGCTCCTGTTCCTGATATAACAATTCCATTGCGGTTGATGCCGTTTCTGTTGTCGTACAAAGCCCCATCAGCAGCGGCACCACCAGCAGCAGCACGGGTACCACCACCATCCTCCTCCTCCTTCACCTTCTCCTCATGTACGGCAGTGTTGTCACCCTCATGTTGGCCATGTTCATGTTCGTACGACATGTCGTATTCGTAGTTATAGAAAGGGCCCATGTA